ACACTAACTCGGGAGAAAACCTTACTAAATGTAAGTAGATGCAATTCGGAACAAAAAGCCCTATGATTGCACAAAGCATGGCAGTAATATATTCAGTTCTTTTACGTGGACTCAAAATAATCAAAGTCATAATTACCGTAAATAGTAGGTGCTCCTATTGAATATTTCCCTATAATAAGCCGAGTGGGAAAAGCTTATAAGCAACATGTTCACATCAAGGGAAAGAGACTGACCGGCCTTTGTAGTTTAAATGATCTGGTTAATTACAGTTCAAAGCCCTGCCAGTTCTAACAAAGCGGGAAGTTCTTTTCTGGCTATTTTTTAAAATCATCTATGTATGATCTTCCTCGTTTCTATTGAGCCAGCTGCAATAAAGCGCCCACAAAGATGACCAAACAACCCCCAAGGTGAGGTCTTGCCACCACTGCCTTCCAGAGCAGCTTGCTCTTGGCATGTGGTAGGAATCATTTCTCTTCTTACCTTGGGTCAAATTTCAGAAAGGATTCCTTCCCCAGAATTCCACACATCTAGAAGATACAGAAAAAACTAATAATGCAAGCAGAACCAGAAAGAGAAAGTCACTGCCTGCTCTAGAACCAATTTGTTGTGCTGTTTCATTGCACATTTTAATTGTGGATGTTTAACATTTGGATGAAATTGTTTTGTTGTGTATTTTAACTATGTGTGTCTATTAGCTTTATACTTGTACTGTAAACCACTTTGTTGAATAAGTGGTATATTCAACAAAATTATACAAACAGTAATGTGAACTCATTTCTAATAGAACTCTTCCCATATTATTTTAGAGATGAACCTCTTTTTATATCGCACAAAATCAGCTGTCCTCTAGAGATGTTCTGTTGTGCACATGGACTGCTTTTATATCTTCAGGATTAGACCTATTAGTACTACATTTTGGAGAGAAGAATTAAGAGCCATTAAAGATGTAATGGGACATCAAATGGAGCCCAAAAAACATATTCCTCTATTGTATCTATGTAACTGACTTACACAATATGTTAGCTTTGAGTAAATTTTCAGGTCAGTATTGTAGCAAATAGGAGTGAGGGCTGTGGACATAAAACTCCTTTCTGCTCCTTCTGAATTGCTTTAGCATTTGAGATATAGCATTAATGACCTAAACTGTCATTTTTTTCATGCTTATATTTTAGAAAGAGATTTGTGGATAGACTCGCTTCATCATATATTGAGAATATAAATATTCTGATAATATTGAACCTTTTATTTTTTCTTGTTTTGTTTTCCGTTTTTCTTTTCTTTTAAAAAAACTGCTGTACTCCTAACCCCACCTACCTGGGAGGCAGCCCAATAGAACTGAATTGTACTTACTTCTGAGTAAACATGGTTAGGATTGCGGCCTTACATTATTATTCTGTGGACTGTAATATCTAGGCACAGCTCATTTGTAAATAAAGCCAAATACTACTTCTAGGATGAGAAAATGGTTTTACCACTGATACTCAGATGCAGCTTTATACATCAGCATGAGAAAAAGGAAGATAGTCTCATGCTACATTGACAAAGCTCAGAGTGAGGGCTGTTGGTGTTTTTTTACAAACTGTCATTTTGCAATTTTGTGATGTCTCAGGTTTCTTCCATTTATCTTGCAGCCTTCTCGCAACAGATGTTCACTTGTTTTGTTTAACTTGTCATAAGAGTTAGGCGCGCTTTGAAATGGGACAAACCATTAGACAGCATCAAAGCAAAGCTTTCTCAAATGTGACACATAATATAATCCATGCAGCTAATTAGGGGGATTCTGCTTTTCCTTTCAGCTTAGCATGAGCAAAATCTGATGTCAGGGAGACCCTGTGCATTACGGTATTGGCAAAAGATAACATGGAGGCAACCTAGAGATCAAAGACGACATCATGAGTTGGCCCCTGCCTAGGACACAGGCGTGGGTGGGTGTGCTAAAATCACACGTCTCTACTCTGGCTCAGAGTGGCTAGGAGCTCACCTGCCCATCTACACGTTCCTGGGCCGCTCCTCTGCTGCTCTGGGTGACTGAGCAAAGCGCGCAGGCTCCTCTGGGCACCTCAGTGGAGGAATTTGGCTCCTGGTGTGGGCCGTCGCAGCAGCCCTACAGAAGTGTGAGCAGATGGCCCAGTGAGGCTTAGAAAGAAGAAAGTTGGAGAAAGCAGGTGAGATTTGCAGGAGGAGGAAAAAGGGAAGGAGGAGGCAGAAGCGAAAGCACTGAACAGAAGGAAGGAAGGAAGATGGACAGAATGACAAAAAAAGAGGAGCAGAGCAGATCCGACCCCGATGGCCATGGAGGAAATCACTAGTGGAGTGCAAAAGGTGTTGAAAAGCCATTTTTTGAGTTTCTGGTTCATGGTTTCTCGCAGCTTGGGAGGTGCAGATATATCTCTTTGCCAAGGGCAAAAGGATGGAGGGAGGGAAAGCATTGGTACAACTCCTTGCCAAGGGTGCAAGGGATCCTAGGTACGCCTCTGATCATGGTCATACTAGTGCTTAATTCCTGTCCAAACTACTTCTTGAACTTGGGAAGGCTTTAAAAATTGGCTGCGTATGCCATTTTTGAACAGGAAATTCAGTAACCTATTAGAATGCATATGGGGAATGTGTTAGTAACTTGTTAGTTTCCATTCTGTTTTATGTTTTGTAAGTGCACACACACAGAAAAAAACAATAACGTACCAATAGAGCTCAAGTGAAACAGATTTGAGCTTCTTGTTACAGTAGGCCAATTGGGGGAGGGTATTGTCCAAAGCAGTATGACACTGCCAAGTGGATGCTACCTAAACCAGTGCTGTCTTCCCCATCTTTATAACTTATCACTATATCATGTGTGCTTGGAGATTCACTGAGCCAATTTTAACATGTCCCATTTCCTCCCCAACCATCCACTGAGCACACGCACCTGGACGTCATGCTTCCTTAATTACTCTTGCCTGACAGGACAACACAAAGCAGGGCTCCCTATATTTATAGCTTCTTTGTCATCTCAGAGAAAGAGGAAAGGAACCCAACCAGGCAGGGACAGAAGGTCTTTGTTTAATTTTAATTAACTCCACTTCTTTCAAATCTGAGTAAACCCCAGAACCAGAGCAGCCAAGCTAATAATATTATGAAAGCTCTCTGCAGCTTTTTCCCCCATCGAAGGGAAATCAACATTGGGCTATGTAGCATCTGACATGTTTCTCTGGACGTCTACATTCTGAGTCTAAACAAAAGTTCAATCACTTTACTGCACCAGGTTTCCATAAATGACACTTGTAACCGTTTTCAAGAAGACTGACATTAAACCTTTGAGAGGGAACAACTGGCCTCCCGGCCATTGGTGCTGGTTTTCTCTAGCGGCAAAATCATGGATATGGTGATCCGAAAAGCAGCAGCCAAGGTCAAGACATGTAAACAACACAGGCCCAATTCCAAGTGCTTCCACAACTAGAGAAACAGCTTCTCAATGCATGAATATAATATACACCATGGGTAGGCAAACTAAGGTCCGCAGGCCGGATCCGGCCCAATTGCCTTCTGGATCTGGCCCGCGGATGGTCCAGGTATCATCACATGGACCACCAGTGTGCGCATTCTTTTCCTCTCACTCCCTCTCCCTGGCTTCTCCCTGCCCTGCCTAGAGCTGGAAGGGGGCTAGGCTTTGTTGGTGCCAGCAGCAGCAGCGCTCGGGTGGCCGCCATTTTAAGCAGCCCCTCTCTGGAGCCCTTTCGTCCCTCCACCGCCAGCCCCTGCAGCTCACAAGACACAGGTAAGCAGCCACCGGGGCTCATGGTGCTCTTGCATCATGTTTTTTCCCCAAAATATAGTCCAGGCCCCCACAAGGTCTGAGGGACAGTGGACTCACTCCCTGCTGAAAAAGCTTGCTGACCCCTGAGGTACACACAGACTCTGACTGCCTAACTACACCATGACTTGCCATTGATTTGCATACGTGAAACATCCTTTAGCAATGGATCAAAAATTCCTAGACCAGGGTTTCCATCCTGCTGTCAAGAGACAATGACTCTTTACAATTTATCATAAAGTTGCTCCTGAATGATTCCATGGTGATAAATGAAATGCAATATGGAAAGTTCTTAAAATAAGCATGATTTTAAAAGATAAAGAGACTTTATCATCATCGCCGTCTTTGACGTCACTGCCTATTGAAGATTTCACACAAGGCTGCATCCGTGATGTAGAGCAACATAAAAAGTATGTACAGACTTTCTTGTGAATTTCATTACCACCCTATTGACGGTAGATAGGAAAATTGTGTTTGGACAGCAGACCAGGAAATATATTTTTTATGAATTAATTAATTGAGAAATATTTCCCCTTTGAGGAGGGACAGCAGATGGCCTTTAAAACGTACAACTTCTCCTCTACACACGCTGTTGAAAATACTCTGCATGACAACCAAAATAATATTGATACAAGCTCAGGGCCCAAATTAAAGGGCAGTCTGTATCATGTTACACTCCACTTCGCTGCAAGAAAGAGAGATTTTCTCTTTATCTTGGGATTCTTAAGAAACCAACTAAAAATTTAAAATTCCAAGGAGTGAGGAACTTTTTCAGGTCCAGGGGGCAAATTTGGCAGGGGGGGTTGGGCCAACTGGGAAAAACTGGTAGGCCAAGTTTGGCCTGTGGGTCAGAGGTTCCCTTAAGAGAGCAGGGTGAAAATATTTAAAACAGCTCTGCAGCACCTTGACGTTATGCCAAAGTCTTATCTGTGGCACCATTAAACTGTCACATAGGCCTTCCTCTCCCTCCACCCCCAATGCTCTTTCTCTGCATGAATTAAAATGCACGTAACGTTCCTCAATACCTCCACAGGGTTGGAGAACATTTACGTGTGCTTCAGGATGTCTGTGCCTTGCCCCCAACAAAGGTGAAAAAAATGACTTGACATTAACCCACCCAGCAGGGCCAGGTCCAATTCCAACAGAAAGGAAAGCAAAACATGCTTTAGAGTTGGGTCTGAATATACGTTTCCACCTGAGATACTTGGGTCCCTGGCTGTTGTTGAACTACAACTCCCATCATCCCTGACCACTGGTCCTGCTAGCTAGGGTTGATGGGAGTTGTTGTCCAACAACAGCTGGGGGTGCATTTTTGAGAAACACTGTTCTAAATCATGAGACCCCCAACAAGGAGATGGGGGAAGGAACTAGTTCAGTTGAACATAGGTTTTGAACACAGAAAGGTCAGAGGTTCAATCCTCACCAAAAAAGACCAGATGTAGCAAATTTAGGAAAGACCTCCTGCCTGAAACTCTGTGGAGAGATGCTGCCAGTCAAGGGTAGCCAGCAAGTGAGGCAATGTCATGGACCAGTTGGACACAGAGGAATTGTGATAGGCACCGACGAACCCCCAAGGGAAGAAAGCTCAGATCCAGGGGATTGGTGGTGGTATGGTGATGAGTGATCCAAGGGAGAAGACTGGGAAGAGGAGATGTAGGAAGCTGAAGAGCTAACAAGGTTTAGTGAGCAGGGAAAGTCTGTGAATCAGAATCTGAATGACAGAAGGGAGGCCAAGAGGCAGAGGTCAGGTGAAGAAGCCATGCTATCTCCTCCTGCTTCTGCAAGAAGCTCCCCGCCTCCCTGGATCAGAAGAGACATGAAGAGGACAGAGCAGAGAGATGTGTGGGTGTAGTCTCAGATTGCTTGGGAAGGACCAGGGGGAGATTAGGCAGCTGTAGGAAGCTGGAGATTTCCAGCCTCCACAACTGCCTCATAAGGACAAGTTCTACCAAGAAGAGTTGGTAGAACTCATTAGGCCTGGCTCCCTCGAGCAGGCCTTGTTTCTGCTAATACAGAGCACTCCATGTGATTTATTGCTTCTGTAGGTTATATATAAAGGCTAGTTTAAATATCTAACTATTATTTAGTTTAGAATGTTTCTATGCAGATAACAACATATTGCTAACATCCTACTAAGAGCAAAGTAACTCCATTTCTCTAAAGGACATCCTCTTTCCAAAGACCAATATTATTCCAAACAAAATTATACCATGTCAGATTTACTTAGCATACACCCTGTCAGATCGGAACCAGTGAAAATTCTTTCTGACATGACCAGTATGCAGAATTGTAAACCTGCAACCAAAAGGATTTTTCTTCTCTCATCTTCCTATTGCTTCCGTGGTATGTCAAAGTTATCTAAGAAATTGCATCTATCATGGAGAAATGATTCTGACCTCAGGTAAAGAAAGCAACATTCCTTCCCAGCCAAGTCTTGATTTTCACATGATTTTAAAATCATGATCGGTAGAATACACAGGATAAAATTCTTTGGAAATCTTTAAGGTAAATAGATAAAATACAAACTTCAAGCTTCACAGTTAAATTACTACTGGTCTTGCTTTGTTGAAATCAGTGTGCTACTGCCTTTGGATTCTATAGATTGCATCCTATGTGCATTGAAGGATATAAGGATACCTACCCTAAATATTGTCATCTTGTTTTGTTTGTAGTAACTACAACAAACTGAACTCTGAAGCATGGTCTGGGCTGCAGCCCAATGATAACTGCATGCTTTTCCTGTATGAACCTCTAGCTTCAATCTACAGCATCTTCAGTTAGAATACATGACAGCTGCACATAACAGGCACATCTGAAAAAATTACCATGTACCCCCAGAAATCCACAACATGCAAGGCAGGAGCATGTTGTTCAGAACGTGTGTACATCTCAAATGTGCAATTTGGAGTGCTACAATTGCACAAGAAAGCCAGTGACAATTTATTATTTCATCACCACTATTGCTATAAAAACAGCATGTTATGTATCAATAATGGCATCTAATTAATTGTTCAGTGTCTGACCTGCTTAAAAGCAATGCACTGCTTTACTACTATTATGATAGCGAAATGCAATGATGTCTAAAACAGGCATTGTAGCAAGGAGAAAACAGAGAATGGCAACCATATAGGAATCCAGTTATTCATTAATTCTTTTGTAATTGATATTACCATTAGCAGTTAATTTTTTTAAAAAAAATCACTTTATGTCAGCATGTTTTCCACCTTGCATACAAAATGACAGCCATTTGAAGAATGACATCATGATTATTAGCACAGAAGAGAAGCATTCTGCTATTCACATGGCAAACCTTTGTACTCTCTATACAGCAGAATTAACACTAGGAACATATCTGAGGTGTCAGCAGTTTGTTTTTTAAGGATGTACCAATAATGAGTACTAATCAGTTACAAAATCAGTTTTATTAAGTACAGTTAACATAATTCATTCTGCATATTTGATACTACATACTTTAGGGTCGCTGAGGAATGTTAGGTCCTTAAATATAACCGACATAAATCCCATTTGTGGGCTCTTAACCTCTCGTAGTTTCTTCGCACGTAAGCCTGTTATATGCCTTCCAAAGATGTGACCAGTGTGTGGCGAAATAAACTGTGATAAAAGCTGTACATTTTTGTCGTCAACGGTCACCCCACACAAGACACACTTTTTGGAGGCTCCTTACAGGGATTGTCCATTGACACAGGCATACCTGCTTTACTGGACAACTGTTCACTGTATGAACGACACCGCCCCCCCCCCCGTCTCCATGATGCAACTGCACCAGAGGAAACAGCGCCCTTCCTTACGCCAGTGAAGAGGCAGTAAACCTGCCCTGAGCCCTTGGTGGCCATCGCCAAGGCAGCCAAGTTTTCCACCTTTCAAGCTTCCGCTGCAGAAAACGCAGAGCCAACAGTTAACTTTTTAAAACTACATACAAGCTGTTTCAAAATAAACGAAGCATCTTCAATTATTTTGTCAATTAAAGTGAGACAAACAACCTCAATGGCTACTAACAAATAAAACTACGCTTGCACTCCCCCTCAAGTACATTACTTAGAACTGCAGCTGGAAAACAAGTTCTCCTAAAGGATGCGTTGTATGCCATTCTCCACTGCTTCCATTCTTGTTTTATGAAGGTGTTCATCTGAGTTTCTGTGCAAAGATGCTTCAGAAATAACGCACGCTTCTTTATTCTTCACATGTTGCTTTCTTAAAACAGGAATGAATGATTCCAAATCTTCCTGTAAAAAAATTAATATGCTCCTATGCCTGAAGTCTCAAGCTTGGGAATGCTTTTTTTAAGTTGTCAGCAAGGACCTGATCGGCTTCATTCAGCACTTCAAGAAAATTCTCTACCTGTGTAAAATAAAATACAAGTGTCAACAAGTTGAGTGAGGTGGACCACAGGAATTGCCAGGCTATTTAGCATGCATCTTGAATAAGATTAATGAACTCAAATGGATTATTTAAATCAGGTGTGGCTAACCTTCTTTGGCCTGAGGGTTGCATTTACCTACTGGGGGCAACAGTTTTTTGCTTATTTTTAGAGATCATACATACCGGAGAAGAATACAACGGGAGAAGGTTTTTAAACGCACAGGAACATTTCTGTTCATTTAGATGGCTTTGCTTGAGCCCCTCCAGTATGTTTTCCTAGAAACACCAAAATATTATTAGTTCATATAATATTGTGTGTGTGTGTGTGTGTAGAATTTTGTTGCTATCCAACTGAATGAACATGCTCATATAGTACTGTATAAAATAATAATAAAATGCTGACAATGCAGTGCAAATGCAAGATGACAACAAATTAACATGCTCCCATGAAAAGCTCCACATGATGACAATGCACACATGGAACCCAGGTGATCAAGGGGTTATTTACCATACCCTGGAAAACATTTCAAAATGAACGCTGTAACCCATATAAAAGATGATCGTGTTCATCACTGCACTAGTGATAAAACCAGAGCAGAGACAAAAAGCATGTGAATCTACAGGTTCATATGCCTGTTACCTTAGAAAGTTCCTGAAGCACATTGGACAGTAGTTCACAACAGATGTCCTTCAAGATTTTAAAATGAAAATCCTCCTCAGCTGTTCCCAACTTCTTGGCCTCCTCTGATTTGGGTTTGTTGGAGCTTTCTACAGATCTCTTCCCACATTCATCCATGTTCTGCAAGACTCTAATCAGGCTATCAATCAAAGGCATATCTGACAGGTAAAACAAGAAAAAACTTTATGGATGTATGAACTAGCATTTTTTGTAATCTGCCCTAAGTAACAGAGTAATTAAAGGTTTTGAGATGTGAAAGCTTTGATGAAAAATGGAATGTGTCTCTACATGCTTTATTATAATGAAAACAATGAACATTCCGAGGATTGAAAGAATTATTCCCCAACTAAGGAATATAAGACACTAAAAGGGGAGGGGGTCCAGCCACCGAAGCAAATTTGCCCGTACTGGGGAGTCACACAACTGTGGTCTACACAGACATTTGCCTAGATGAACATATACTTTTTCTCATTCCCCATCACCTGTGACCTATACCACAACTCCAGACTGCCACTGTTTTTTATAAAAACCTTAGCATCCCTAAAATATTAGCTCTTGTGGTAAGAAAATACACTTGCTTTTCTCCATCTTGATATATTCATGTCTGTGTCCATATATAGTCTGTGAAGCGAAGATGGCTGATAACACAGACAAAGTAGAAGCCAAGACTGTCTTCTGTTCATGAACAACAATTGGTGGATCATCGGGCTGGCAGAGTTCATGACAAAACAGATCATACAGCAAAGTCCAAGTTTCTTTTCCATTACCAGGAGTCTGTACTTCAGAATGGAAAAAAAGAAATATCTCATGCAACTTGAAGAGAACGTCTACCAAAGAATTCTTCAAATTTGTTACAATAAAGTGCAATTGAAGCATCCTACCAATAGCTTGAACGCCTTCATCCACTGTGGTGAGCAGCTGTAGGATATGCATATAAACATCAAACCCTTCTGAACTTTTATCTGTGCTGCAGAAAAGTATTACAAATTATGTTTAGAACTATTACCACCAAGATATCTGTATGCCTATGTAAAGTGAATTATTTTTTTACAATATTTCTACCTCAGTTCTCAGTCAATTACTCTTAGGGCGGCTAAACTCAAGTTGTTCTTGAGTTTTCATTTCCAGTAATAGTTTGAACAAGCTATTTTTGTTCAGGCATGTACACTTGTTCCCTGCTTACATGAACAGACTTTCTCCTTTTCTCCATAAGGAAAAAGCCTATGTGCAGACAGACAGAGACACAGCCCTCTTATAAATATGAGTACAGTCTTCCTATCGCTTTGGCAGGTAGGTCAAGTGTGGACTTTTTAAAAAATAACATTTTGGGCACCCATGAAATGGTACACGTATACCCAAAAGCCACTATGCATAACACAGACTAAAACATGTGAGATTTGGGTTCAAATCCCCTAATCAATGAGTCTCATTGGGTAACATTGGTCTAGTAGGATAAAATGGGGAGAAGGGAAACTATGTATGCTGCCAAGTGTGGGATAAAAATATAAATAAGTAGCTCCAATATCACATGCATTCAGATATGGGCATATACATACCAGATTTGTTTTACAGCTTCAAGCAGGCAAGGTACAATTTTGAAATTTGGAAGCTCATCTGGAGAATCATCCGCAGGCTGCTCCACTGACTGACAAGAACCTTTCTTAATCCAGTTTAACATTAATTCTTCATCCAAATCAAACAACTTGTCGACCACCTCACCTATTTTCACTAGCAACTCCACTGTAACAAAAATCAAGGCTCATTTATACATTGATGAACTAATTAAATAAAATTTAATCTTGCTCACTTCTTAGAAAACAACACAAAGAAAACAGTTTCAATTGATATATTTTTTTGGTCTGGCTTCTTTTGGTGATATCTGTTATTGTGACTTACTTTTAGTATAAGCTCCTTGAGATCTTATTTATTAGTTCAAACATTTCTATACAGCCCCCCACAACTGTCTCAATACAGTTGTAAAGTACATACCTATCACCACTTCCACTTGTGCAAAAAAGCACCCAGAACAACACAAAGGGGTAGGGTTGGGTCGTTCTGTCTGGAAAACCTGCAATGCTTGAGTGGAACGGAACTTTTGTCATAGCCCAACATGGAATTCCACCCAAAGGCTGTAGTCAAAGTAGCACGAAGATAGTTTCATCCACATAAGTACTGCAGCTTGCCAGACGGAATTGGGTTCCCTTTTACTATCATGAGCGGGAAGGAGACAGCTGTGCTGGTTAGGATTACAATGCATTCAGAAGAATTCACCAAAAAGAGTTAAATAGTTATTGATATACCTCAGTTAAAATGCCTGGAACATTTTTCTTAAGAAATATAAAAACATTCAATTGATAAAAGAGTTATTTGAAACATGCTAGCCTTTTCATAAGGAAACAAAAAGTGGCCTGACAGGAGCAATATTCAGATTAATTTATAACATACCATTTGTTGAACTAGACATGATGAAACATACACAGTCATACACTGATGGACTTTGTCGAATTCTTTCCACCCAAATATTGGCTACCTCAGAGTGGCAGAGGCAAGTTAGCAACAACCTAAAGGGGAAAAATTACACTTAATCACACTTAAAAAAGAAAGCCAATATTTGGGATGCAACCTTGGAAGTAAGTCCACTTGAAGTCAATGGCACTTGCTTCTCAATAATAGGATTGTACCATTAATTTTAACTCCATATGTGTAAATGAGTTACAATAAAAATGAGAATCTGGGATACTGGTATCAGTTCAAATGTGATTTTAGGTAGAAAAGAATTTGGAAGCCTGAAAGTAAGGCCTATTGTATTCAATAGCACTTGCTTCCAAGTAAGTATATGTAGGATTGAAGCCTTTATTCATGAAATTAAGCACAACTGCTAATATTTTATTTACATGCACTACAACTCAATACTTAGGGGTAGCTTATGCTATTTTAGTTACTGACAAAATAGCTTACCTGCTTGTTTCGAGGAGAGTAGGGGAATCGGAATCACATAAACGCTGCAGCACCATCTGTCTGAAAAAATGACAACAGATTGAAAATGAGGAGACAGCGAGGATTAATTTCCCATACATTTTTCTGAAATTTTGTCCAGACGTACGCCACCACATGCCACCATCTCCTAAATATACATCTCTAATATTTATAGCTGCAAGAATAAAGAATAAGTAAGCTGGGAGGAACTTCTTTATCCAAGCATAAGATGAAGTGAGACACATACAGTGGTACCTCGGGTTAAGTACTTAATTCGTTCCGGAGGTCCGTACTTAACCTGAAACTGTTCTTAACCTGAAGCACCACTTTAGCTAATGGGGCCTCCTGCTGCTGCCGCGCTGCCGGAGAAGCTACGGAGAAGCTGCTGAAAAACCTCTATTGGAAAAGGACTGTGCATGGTACAATCTGAATTGTACAAATTTTATGCTCTTTTCCACACTCCCCCCTGTTCTCCTTCAAACTGTTACATTTCAGACATTCTTTCAGACAATTCTTTCTCCATTCTTTCAGTATCTCCAAGCTCTCCCTCACCATCCTTCTGCCCTCCCCATACAAATGCATAGAAAACCAGGTCTCAGTCTATCAGTTCCTTTTCTTACATTTACTCCATAACTCTTATGCTTTGGCTCTGATTCCTGCCATATCAATGACATTCCTCTCACTAAAACTTCTTCTGTAGTGAAGTCAAAAACTTACAGAGTCATCTGACTCCTACTTGCCCTTATTACCAGTCACCCTCCTGTCCAGTCTTACAAATGTTAATATCTTGAATCTGTTTTCCCCCACTCTATAAAGAGCATGTCTAGTACATGTGCCTGTCTAGTACTTTAACAACAATTAAGAGTTGAAACATTTACAGTTTCAAAAACACTGAGAAACCAAGAAAAAGCATACTACTTACCCAAGGTTCTCATGTTTACTAATGGACAGGCATATGTCTTGGCAACAGGCCATATTGCCCAGTATTCCCACACAGATTTCCTGAAATGCCAATATAGTGGGGTTAAGCACATAAAGTAGAGCTTGCCTACAGTAAGCATAAAGTATTTAAGGAGAAAAAGAATGGAGGAAAAGATTGTAGCAGAGAGAAAAATAGTTTCAAGGAATAGGACATGTGTGCTTTTGACCCTTGCTTGGTCTTCAGCAGCCATACAGGCTCAGAGCAGAGCAACATTTAGCCATGTCTTCTTCTTTGGCAGTGGCTAGATTCAGGTGCTCCAAGATATTTTGGAAGAACATGAACCAATTAAGTATTCCCAAATAAGAATAAAGTTATTTGCACAGTAACACTGTGTGTTACTTGGTGTGTGAGAGAGAGAAATGTATACTGTCAGGGCCAGAACACAGCAGATCAATGGAAGTTCTGCTTTTGTGAGCCAGCCTCTTTGTCATCAGCAAGCTCCCAAATCCATCTGCACCTCATCTTCCTATTTCCTTCCTCCTGGAGGCAAGAAGCTGCACTGCATCATCAACTCCCAGAGGCCAAAAGAAACTGCCTCCACACACCAGCATTTATAATAATATTGTGCAGAACTGTGACTAAGAACAAAACCTGCTGGAAATTGAGAAATAGGCCTTGATTCTATATTGGCTTGTCTACTGGTAGAGCTGAATACCAATTCTTTTCTATTTTGCCTTTCATCTACACCTGCCTACATAAGGCATATGGATCGCATCAAAAAAGCACAATACATTATTAATAAACAGGGTACAGAGTCAAAAGATGACTTACAGTAAGCCGAGGACTCTTGGACTTGGCAAAGACACCCAAAAATATATCAGGGGCATTAAACTCTTGCAGAAATAAAGCAACATCCTGAAAACAAGAATGGTTATGTGTCAGCGGACGATTATATGAGAAATGAAATTCAGTTCACTTTGAAAAGTAAGGCAGTCTTTCATTCAGATTCAGATGACCACTACACATACCCAACTATAAGTAGCTATCTTGTCAGTTCTTATTTATCCAGTGCATTAAAACTTGTCATTTTAGTCCCTCCTACACCAAAGTTAATGATTATCTATAATGATATATCCATTAATAGAAAAATATCCAATTGCTTCTTAAATTAATACAAGATATTAAGAAATTGGTAAGAAAGCCAATAAGGTCCTATGTATTTTGCTGAGCTGGCCCAGATTATTCCCACAATTCCTAAGAACTCTGTGATGGACAGCAGTTTTTCCACACACAAGAAACTCTCATGATACGCAACTTGACCAGCTACAGTAAATTGATATTTCAGAAGGTACTCATCATTCATCTCACATTTTTTTTAAAAAAATAGGGCAGGAAAAAAAACTTCCAAGACAATATACAATGAGTGAATATCCAGTGTTAGTCACACTCAGAATAGGTCTACAGATTTTAATGGGCCTACTCTGAGCTTGACTAACACTGGATTTTGCCCAAAGAGAGTGCTAACAGATAGCACAAAACAACACAGTCTTGCAACTTACACATTTTAGCAGCGCTGTTCCTAGCCAACAATAGCTATGCATGATTCTTCTTTGACAAGCTTACTGGACACTAAAATATCTAAGGAACAGATACCAGACGTCTCCCAGATAATTGCAAACCTTTACAGAATATACTTATTTTATTAATTTATAGATATCTTACTCTAAAAAAATTGAAGTTGTTTACAATAAGGCTAACCTTAAACATAGAATAAAACAAAATACATATCTGCAAATATCTACAGATAACAACCACTAAAAATATCCAAATCACTAAAAACATACCTTATCCATTGACATGTCCCATACTTTGCAAATGTCATTTTCCAGTTCTTCATCTAGCTCCAATTGTTCTTCAACATTGTTCAACTCAGATTCATCTTCCTTAGAGCTAACAACCTTCCAAAGAAAAGAACATACTGACAAAGGAACCAAAGTAGCACAATAAGCCATTGGTCTGCTGAAACACACATTGGTCTGCACTGCACAACTTTTCTCCTGTTTGACCCATAAGGAGCAACTTCTACCCAAATATGAAGTATTACCTCAATACACTACTGTTTCAGTGGCCTGAGTGTGAGCAATAAGTTTATCACTAGAAATCAGAAATTATGTTATTCATTATAGCACAAATAAAGCATAACTCCAACAAGATTTTAATTTAATTTCACTTTGCATTTGCACCAGCATGGCAAATTTTAAATTATCACCTGCCCACCTCAGTCCACCCATCTTTACTCAAAGACAAGTCTCACTGATGTCAACATGACTTAATTCCAAGCAAATACAAATAGGACTGCAGCCTTAGAATACACATTTCACAGTTCCAATTGAAATCAGCAACCACTGGTTGGAATGGACCTTGAATATCATCCAGTTCAATTCCCTGCAGATGCAAGAGATCAAGCATTTACTTAGACAGGGCTTCTTCCCATCTATTTTTACCTGCTGTTTTATACATTATATGTTTTATAGACTACATATTTTTCACATATATACACATTCATTTTAAAAGCTTCTAAAACTAGACATTGTACAATTCAAACATATTGTTTGTTGCCCTCACATCCAGTTTGGCCTATACGGCCTAGGACCCTCGTACCTACGGGACCGCCTCTCCTGGTATGCCCCACAGAGGAACCTACGGTCTGCAAATAAAAACATCCTGAAGGTCCCAGGCCTCAGAGAGGTTAGGCTGGCCTCAACTAGAGCCAGGGCTTTCTCGGCTGCGGCTCCAATCTGGTGGAACGCTCTGTCACAAGAGACTAGGGCCCTGCGGGACCTGACATCTTTCCGCAAGGCCTGCAAGACAGAGTTGTTCCACCAGGCCTTTGGTCAGGGCCCAGCCTGACTCCCTCCTCTGGCAACCTGCACAGAACTTTGCTTAACGGTTGCCATTAATTTGATTTTAATTAATTTTTATAATGAAATGTTTTAGAATGTTGGATTATTTGATTGTTTGATTATTTGATTGTTGTTAGCCGCCCTGAGCCTGGCTTTGGCTGGGGAGGGCGGGATATAAATAAAATTTATTATTATTATTATTATTATTATTATTATTATTATTTCATGTGTATGCAGCATACCTCAATAAGTTTTGTAAGGACGCTGAAAAACCAGTGTTTGCTGTAAACTGTATTTCTAATAGAATCCCCAGGAACGACATCCTCCTCCTCGTCATTGCTGGAAGGTGGTGATGGATTCCTGTCCATATTTGAGTAACACAATCCAACTGCCAGATCAAAAGATTTCTAGAAGTGAGCATAAACAACAGCAAAATATTTTAAAACCACAAAGGCTCATCCCAGCACTTATTATTCCTTAACAGCTGTCCACAGATGAGACCAATATGTTTTATATCCAAAAGATACATGCATATGTGCCTCCTTTCATCCAAAAACAAAGCCTTGCAATCGCTTCCTCTCAATTAAAGCCTTAAAAAATGTTTTGTTAATGTGCACGGCAATCACACTGTGGGTTTTTAAAAATTAAGTACAGTGGTACCTCAGGTTAAGTACTTAATTTGTTCCAGAGGTCCGTTCTTAACCTGAAACTGTTCTTAACCTGAAGCACCACTTTAGCTAATGGGGCCTACCACTGCTGCTGTGCCGCTGGAGCACGATTTCTGTTCTCATCCTGAAGCAAAGTTCTTAACCCGAGGTACTATTTCTGGGTTAGCAGAGTCTGTAACCTGAAGCGTATGTAACCTGAAGCATATGTAACCCGAGGTACCACTGTACTGGGCACATGAAGTGGGGAGGTGGTCCTTTGGAACCTAGAAAGCCCTTCAATTAAAAAAGAAACAAGGTCACTTCAAATGCTGACACACCTGCTGACAAACCTACTGCATTTACTCAAATCTAATGCTCATCTTTTTTGGCCAAATTATGCTGCAAAAATTAAGGTGTGCATTAGATTCAATGGCACATTTACTGTACATTTGCCAGGAAATACTTTTTTGGGTTTCAAGGTTCTGAAAACTGAGGTGCCCATTAGATTCGATGGCACATTAGACTCGAGTAAATACGGTACATCTTGTGGGATGTGGTGCTGGGCCTCCCACCAGCACACTCTTTCCCATAGGACTTAATATGAAAAGCACACAAAACACGGACACAGAAGACATGTATTCACCTATCCTTCCCGGTTCTTCAACAGCTCTTTGAATGAAAGGCAGTGTACCTAAACCAGGCATAGGCAAACTTGGCCCGCCAGATGTTTTGGGACTACAACTCCCATCATCCCTAGCTAACAGGACCAGTGGTCAGGGATGATGGGAGCTGTGGTCCGAAAACATCTGGAGGGCTGGGTTTGCCTATGCCTGACCTAAACCCTGCGTTTTACAGAAGTTTGCTCCGTTTTTAACTTTTAAATATGGTTTTTACTGTGGAGTTTTATGTATTTCTGTTGCAAACCGCTTTGCTACTTTTTAATGAAACAGCAGCATATAAATACTGTATTTGTAAATAAATGACGGTCCTGATCTGCCCCATTGGATCTGAAGCTCGCAACATCTATAATCCATTGAGAGGACTACCTAGAAATTAAATAACATTTCCAAACAATCCCTTGGATAGGGCATCTCAAGGTGCAAGTAGAAAAGAACAGAGAAGAACAAGAGGGCACCACTATGATGATGAGCGTCAGCTCTAACCATTAAACCAGGCGGCTCCAAGGGCTGGCGCCCACCCTGAGCCTTAGTCATCCTTCTCTCTCCCTCAAACCGCGAGGAAAACTATTTAAACCCAAGCAATCAAGATGAGAGCTTTCTCTCTTTTTAAATCACCTCACGTGCTTCCTCGCCTGAGCCCTAACACTGAAAACACGTTCCGGGGATCAGATTAAGCCATGGCAAGACCCCCCCCCCCCGCTAGACCGAAAACCAGGACAGGATCCAGCCCCTCAGCAATGATTCCCACAGGAGCCGCGATATATCCTGAGCGGCGACAGGAGGAACCTTGGCTCGCCGCCGCCGCCGCGTCTTCTGCTTCAGCCCCGACAAGTTCAAGCGGCCCCGTGGGAGACGCGCGGCCCCAGCCGCCACCGTTGTTTACAGGCCTCCCCGTCCTTTCCCGCCTTCTCTCTCTCTCTCGGCCAATGAAGCAGCTCCAAGGATGGGAGGAGGAGGAGGACGGCGGCGGCAAACCTTCGTAGGCCCTCGGAAACTGAGGCGGCTTCCGCCAGGTCCTGGAGGCGCCCCAGGCCTTGCCTCTCCCTCCGCCCGGAATGGAGAGCAGCCACAGGGCCTCGCCCTCACGAAGCCGCCGTGCAAACTCACGAAGCGAAGCGCCCCCGGGCGGCGGCCTCTCGAAACGCCCGGCAACGGGTGGCCTCGGCGTCCCTTTTTAATAACAAAATTTCCCTTTTCCCGCAAAGGCTTTTTTTTTTTTTAATTCACCGAATGACGGCGCGAATGGAACTGTCGGGTCGAGAAAGTTGTTTCCTGGTTGGTTCTCCGCCTTTTATCAAAAGTAGACTTTCCAAGAAATGCAAAAATCTCCCACAAAATTCGACTGGAACCTTCTCAAAGATCCAACATGACTAGGAAATCCTAAAATGAGGATTTGAAGAGCCGGGTCTCTTTTTTCAGTTGCTGCTGTTGTCAAAAGTGGGTGGAAATGAAAGGGTGCCTGGAAGACAATCAGTGCGCTTTTTACCTATAAGCTAAACAAGCTATAGCTTAGGGCCCCACTCTCTTGCCCCCCCCCAAAAAATTCACTATTAATATACAGTGGTACCTCTGGATGCAAACGGGATCCGTTCCGGAGCCCCGTTCGCATCCAGAAGCAAACGCAACCCGCGTCCAAGCGTTGTGATTCGCCGCTTCCGCGCATGCACGAGATGTCATTTTTACCGTCTGTGCATGTGGCGAAACCCGGAAGTAATGTACTCCGTTACTGCCGCAGCGCGCAACCCGAAAATACTTATCCCGAAGCTACTTCAACCCGAGGTATGACTACTTAATTGTATTTCAGTTCAACAATTACTTTGATAAAATACATATTTTGTTATGTGCAAATGACTTTAGATACCTGTTAGGTCCATAAATGACCATATAGCATATATTCAACACAAAAAACAGCAACAATTTGTTGACATAGGGCAGCTGGACATATAAAAGGCCCCATTACCTTCAGTAGCTTAGGGCCTCATCAGACCTAAATCTGGCCCTGAAGACAATGCGCAACTGGCTCAACTGGGAAATGACTGCCCAATTCATGCCATCTGGGCAAGGGGGTCCTTTCTACAAGGAGCTGGTTTATTGCAGGGAAAGGAAGGAACTTCCACAAACTTTGCAAGGATTCGGTTCCCCTACCCCCCAGGAAATAGGTTGTATTCAAATTTTAGGGGGGGGGGGACACTGGTAACTTTGTTTCAGTGTCATGGAGAAATAACTTCAGACATATTTCCCTTTTGTATTCAGCAGTATTGTCTCCTGCCATCATACAGAAACTGAAAATATTATACATAGGTGAAAGAAAAAAAATGTATGCTTCTCCATCTTTATTTTGATTCCTCAAAAATCTATTATGTTTAAACAATGGAGGTTCAATAGCTAGCCTAGGGCTATTTTATAAAGTTACATTATTAGAATGGCACAAACGTTGGCCCTAGGGTAATTTTCTACATGTCACTGAAAGAAGGGTTTTCAAAACAACTGTGGTTCAAGATTTCAAGAGCTGATGCTTTGCTATGTTCTTAGGTGCAAGCACTTCTGTAGTAAAAGCAGTAAGAAGGAAAGTCTGGCAGCAAACGTGGCTCTCTTCTCTTTTGTGGAGATGAGACCCTAAAATGCAATGATTTCAGTTTCATAAATCCCTAGATTTAAATTCAAACCTAGCACAGAGAAAGCTGACCATTCACTCCTACTCAACAGGATGACCTGTCACATGGAAGCAAAAAAAAATTCAACATAGTACTCATGAGAATTATAAAATAAACTGATTGTATATCCTTTATTTTCCAGCATGTAAACTAATATTTTATGGCCAATCAACTTTTTACATCCCCAATGTTACTGAAAAATGAGCAAAACGTTGAGTAAGATATATTAATTTTTATTAAAATCTGGATTAACAAAAACATGAACAAGGCACAAACAAAGCTGTTTGGTTACAAGCAATGTTTTAAAGCTGTTTAAACATGAACAGTGACTAAAAAATAAAGTATACTTGCAAGTAAATTATTTTTAAAAATACAAATTGTTAAGCTGTAACAAAATGCAAAACAATGTTTCATAAACTTTTAGTTGTCCCACATCACATTCTCTTAAAAAAAAACCTGTGTGAAAAGTACCATTTCATGATTTTGTGCTTCTTTTTAATAAAAAAAATCCAAAAACCAACCAAGTGATATCCAACCAAGTTATAATCAGAATGGACCTGTCAAAATCAATGGACTTAAGTCTACTCTGAGCACAATTAGCACACTGGCTATCCCCCCACCCCCAATGTGAGGTAGTAAACATCCATTTAAAAATAAGGCCCAGATTCAAAGTGCTGGAGGGTGAACTCTACACACAGCTGGGCTTCTGGAAGTAGCCTCCACAGCACTAATGAAACCTGCCAAAAAATTCAGGGGAACAGCACAGGTCTAAGAAGATACTGTGGAGAATCAAGCTTTTGCACATGGCCAACAAGACTCTTTGAGCTGTGTCCTAAAAATATATATAAGGCCCTCAAGCATGTAAGTTAAGAAAGAAGAACTCAGTAGTATTAAATTATGTGTAAGTCCGTACAAGCTGTACAGTAAACCTGAGTATACAAGTTGATGCAATTGTGACATTTCGGTTTTCAGCTGAAGGACTATAATAATATTACACAATTCTGTAACCTTTCTCTAGCCCTGATTTCCAAGCTTCAATAAATCACTAGTAATGTATGAAAACTGCATAGTTCTAACATATTTAATACAAGAACAATGGGTACCATTCAATGAAGTCATACTCGGTGTCTCCCTTGAGTATGACTAATGTTAGATATCACCCAATATCTAATAGGCACAATTTACATGGACTTTGAGTCAAACCACCTCAGTGCATTAGAAAAAAAGCACTATTTTACGTGCGTGGTGTGGGAAAGTTGCCGATTCCACCATCACCACCCCCAACAAATTACTGCAGTGCTTTCCATTCCCCCAAAAGGCCAATCTAGAGGATCCCCCCCAACTTTCCGCAGATCTTTTTTCAAAAGATGTGGGGAGCTACTGCCAGATGGAGAAGCAAGTAGGCCCCCTTTGCACCAGGAGAAATAACTGCAAACTGCTTTGGATCCAAGCCTTCTCAAAAATGAAGCATCCAGTATTAAATAATCTTAACATACAAATGGAAACCAAATTACGTGCATATATCTTGATCAAATATCCAATGGTAGTATTAACAGAAATGTTAATACATCATTTCTGAAAACAGTCAAGCATTACAAAAAACAACAACCCAACACCTAGATTTAGAAGGAAAAGTATATTATTATACCGATTTGATGAACAGGATCCTATGCGTGCATACTTGGGCATAAGCTGTATTGAACAGTGGGAACTGTTTCCAAGCATGCATGCACAGGATGCATTGTGCAAGGATGTAAACAAAAAAACAGTGCAAAATATTTTCTTTAGGATGTGTGCAATGAGAGAGCACTATGCCATAGTATACAGGATTATATAAACTCTTAAAACGCCAAAATATTATGTTAAACACCATTTTTAATATATGCAAGTTCTGCCAGTGTTTACATTTAACTACTGGAATCTCAGTTCTGTTGATTATCACTTCAAATTCGGAATAAAACTTGTAAAATTCCACAGTGCTATAGTTATAAATATTTGGAGATTATATACTTGTTTTAACACCCTTTTACTTCAGCCAATGAATCAAAAGTTATATTAAAAGTGTTTTAACTCAACTCAATTATTATACACTTAGTCCCTGCAATTACATTCATTTATATGCAGCTTTCTGAAAATGGCAATCTGCTAGAAATGTGATGGAAGTTAGTCATTTGAAATTTATATGCTGAATGGGAAGCACTGCTTCCTACATAAAGAATCCAGTTTTCACATCTAAACTTAATGCTAGTAGCTCAAAGGGGTTACCATGCACAAGCATTCTTGCTGAGCAAGCAGCAGCATTACAATTGTTCGTTAGAAGTATTGGGTAAACATGCATTCAATTACTGAATGACGGAAATCCAGTAGAAAAAGGAGCTTCGTTATCACTTTTTCTGCAAATCTGACTAAATGCATCTTCACTTTGACAGGAAAGCATTGCTGGAAAAATGGCACAGCACAAGAGGAACATGCTTCTTACTACTATCATTTTCCGTCATTTGTTTGCTATGCTTGTTGAGACCACAAAAATCGGTCACATCTTTCCAACATGGACTGAATCAGGGCTCTGCAACAAAAGTGAACACATAAGAGAAAAGAGATATTATAAAGAAATTGGGGACTAACTTTACACAGCAAATTTCATCAAGTTTATTAACTCATAAATGTAACTTTACGCTTGTCTGCCCTGCAGGTTGCTACTACCACAACTTCTGGTTGTTTAAAGAGACGCGAACCCAGTTCCCCAGATTACGAGACTACCGCTCTTAACCACACCACCACACTGGCTCTATTATTCTGACTGTTCATTTCATTTATACAGAAGTGGGCCATCCCATGCCAGTATAGGCTATTCTATGAATTTTGTGAAAGAGAATTTCTAACCATCCTTGCTTCTGGTTTCAGTAAACTATAGCTTGTACCACATCTGGATGCAATGCTATAGTTTGCCATTAACTGAAGTATGAAGGTTCCAATCTTGGCACATGGAGTGTGTGCAAGCCTGAAGGCTTATAGCTACTTGAACATGCAACACTTAATCATGACACAGTATTACCTTTTGACACAACCAATTTTAGACCATTATCAGAAGACTTACCTTTGTCTTTTTTCAGCAATTCTTAGTATCTCACAGACCTTGGCAAATCTTTCAGATAATTCAACCATCAGGCCGCATTCCTGCAACAGCTGCAAGGCACGATCGGGACCAATTACTCTGGCCAACAGCAGAGCCACATTTTCAACTGTTACACTATTTGGCCAATTCGGATCACCATTACTAACAGCACCGCCATTTTGCATAGCTGGATGAGGAACACTACTGCAATGACTCTTCACAAGGCAAAGAAGGAATTTCCATTCTTCCATTGTTTCTGGAATTGCCCCTAAATGCAAAAGGAAATGATTTAGAGATACAAACCAGATTGCTTTGTAGGACTCGATGGTGTGAGTTAAATTAAGCAGGCCAGCCCAGGCCAATCTTAGGTCCCTAGATGATGTTGGCCTGCAACTCCCATAATCCTTGACCACTGGGTCTGGGGATGATGGAAATTGTAACCCCAAAATACTAGAGGACCCATGGTTGGGGTGGGGTGGGGAGATTCATGGACAGAATAATAGAGTAGATAGCAGGTGACACTGAGAGCATGTACGCAAGAGACAGGAAGAAGGATGGAAGTTTCCAATGATGGACACTTAACTGCATTTGCTGCAGGATAGAATGGCACATTAAATTGTCACAGCAACACTATCTCCATTATACTGGAACACAAAACACAAATTGAAGAGAGAGTCTGATTAAATTTAAATAAGCAAAAATAATAAATAAAAGGTTTTTCAAAATTCACAAGTTGCCAATGTAGAAGAGGGCAAAACAATGTAGCAGAAATGCCACATTTTATTGTGTGCACAATACTGGTGTTCTACAGTACGTTTAGGTGTAATTGCAGTGAAAAAAAGGATGCATGGTAACAATGTGGTTTATTTTTTATTTTTTTCCTGCCAGAAATGCACTTGGGGTGATTACTTCCATAGCTTGTTTTTGTTCTTGTTGTTAAACTGTTTTATACGGACTTTGATTTAAAAAATTGATAAATAAAAATATGTCAAAACTAGTTAGTACAAGTAGAGAATATGGAATTCCACTCAAGAATCAAATTAAGTTTTACAAACCATGTTCTCTATCCAACAAGTTCATATCATCCAAACAAACAATATGGGTAAGGGCTTCAGGTCTTCTATCCAGCTCCAAACAGAGAGAAAGATATCCAGGCCAGAAGCTGTAACAATATTACGGAGAGTTTCACAAACCAAAAGTAAATACTTATTATGAGTAATTATAATCTGACTGACACTTCAATATACTACAACCTTCACTGAGAAGATGAGCTTCCTTTTGTCTCCTCTCACTGAACAAAGAGTTACTAGTTTAGATCACAGCATAATATGCAGTATTATATTGTCATTTTTGATGCTCCAACAGCATACGTCTAAATCCATATTCCATGCCTATCTTCAGGAGAATAATGACCCACTACACACCTCTCAGTATCTATTAATAGCAACAGCACCAATTCCCCCTTAACACAGAACACATACACCTCCATGTTAACCAATATCTTAAATAAAAAAAGTTATGAAATCAAATCCAGCTGGGAGGCCCTCTTCAATTAAAATAAATAAATCTAGTTAGTTGGTTTCTGGGAGCATAACAAATCTTGACTTAGCAAGACAGCGGAGCTCACATCCAAATTCACTTCTGCCTGGTCCTTTTTGATGCCGCATCAAGCCAAGTCAACATTTGGCTTAGTGTGTCATTGATCTGAACAGGGGTTTGTGGTTAATCTCTCTCTTCACTAACCATGAGTTGCAACCAAGAGCCCTGGGGTCAAATGAAATGAAGGGAACCTAAATTCACAGCTGAGAACCCAAATCCAACAGATTTATATGGAACTTGGAAGTACATTAACATTTTCAGAATTCTGTACTTCTTGGGTAAAATTTATTCATTCCACAAAGTTGTCAGCTACTTAACCTCTAGCTGGGGTTTATAAAGAATTTTGACAAAGGCAAAACGCTGCTGCAGACTGTATATTCTCAGTACCATTTCTCAGTTGTTCTCTTCTTCAGCAGAAAACAGAATGCAAGACTTTCGTGTTACTACATCACCCCCAACAGGCCCATGTACGCAATTCTAGGAATGGATATTTATGCTGTGGAGTGGGGAAGAGAGAATAGGCAGGTAAGCTTTAACTCAGGGATGGGGAATCTGGGGCCCCCAGAGGCTGACCACTGGAAGGGCCACAGGTTCCCCAGGCCCGTTTTAACTGAATCGCAGTTGCAGCTTCATTATTTATTACTGCTGCTCAGTGCTATGGCAGGCTTTGGAAGGAGAGGTAGGCAGGCAGGCAGCAAACCTGAAAGCAAAAAGCACATTAAATATGTACTCCAGCCAGAAAGCCACTGGCTGTGAACACACACAAAGAGTGTGATTGAGCAAGTGCATAACACATACTCTGGATAACTAAAGCTGAACAGACTAGACTATTACTTAATGAAGTGAAACCAAGGGAGAGAAACATGCCCTCTTAGGTAACAAAGTTTCAAAGACATTAATTTTACCAAGGACTTCTACATTACCCATAGCTTTTGCAAATGTCAGACATCTTCTCTTTCATTACAGTGTCAGCTGGGAGTTTAAGCAATAGTAAGATCAGTTGGTTATAGCCCCAAGTAAATAAATGTGAACGTGGCCTGAAAGTATTAAAGCAAAAGCAAAAAAAAAAAAGTTAGGGAAATTACATAAGACTTTTTAAAAAATGATAGATAACACAAGTTTGTTTCAATTTGAATCAAAACACTGCCAATATTAAGGGGAGATTCATGCATGCTGCTTTAAATTAAGGAGGGGAACATGAGGTTGGACTACTCCCAACAAATTCCCCACTGTTAAATATACAGTCGTACCTTGGAAGTTGAACAGAATCCATTCCGGAAGTCCGTTCGACTTCCAAAACATTCGGAAACCAACGCGCGGCTTCTGATTGGCTGCAGGAGCTTCCTGCAGCCAATCAGAAGCCACGGAAGCCCCGTCAGACGTTCAGCTTCCAAAAGAACATTCGAAAACCGGAACACTTGCTTTCGGCTTTCGATCGTTCAGGAGCCAATTTGTTTGGGAGCCAAGGCGTTCGAGATCCAAGGTACGACTGTACCTTTTAAGTAGAGATCTTTACCAATCTTCATTTGTACTGGAATTACGTTTTTTAGCTGTGCGCTTATCACCCTGGGCTTCTCTGGAAGGACAGAACTTAAATTTAATAAACAACTAATAACATAATCCTTGATCACTGGCCATGCTGTCTGGGACTAATACGAGTTGGAGTCCAACAACATATAGAGGGCCAAGGGTTTCCCATCCCTTCCATGTCCTAAGTAAAGATGTATCGTATAATAGAATTCCCCACCCCCACACAGAGCAAGGTTATCCAAATCAATTATATATCATGCATTCTGTCTCAGTTCTCTCTCCTGAAGCTAAAAGACTGCTGGGTGATCTTGTGACTGTCCTTGTGACTGTCAAAAGATAATGCCTTTAGGAATGTGAATACAATTATGAAGTGTGGACGAACAGCAAGCTTGAGTCAAACGCTATTCATACCGTGGATTTCCTTGGGCATCCATTGTACTTGCTGTATGTGGGGCATCTTGAGAAACTGCCAAAGATAACCAATCTAATCGTAATGACTCAGGATGAAGAAGAGATCCCAGGAAGGACAGCCTAGAAAGAGATTGTTCTCCGCTAATTATATGTGCATTCTGGCAATAAAAAGGATTTACAACATACAAGCAACTAGGACTAGTTTCACAATATGGCATACTTGAATGTCATTTAAGTAGTGCTGCCTTTTAAAAAGAAATTATCATCCAATTCTAAAGAGCCAAAAGAAATGTTTAATGCCTTATTGTATACAACCATACTGTATTAAAAATTTCTCAAATAACCATGTCATAAATTTGATGTATGCAGGGCTTTTTTGCTAAGTTACTACCCACTCAAGATATTATTTCCCTTCTCAGAGACCTAATGTCATTAAGAAGCAACAAATATTTTAGAATCATAAAATTGTGGAATTGGAAGGAACCACAAGGGTCATCTAGTCCAACCTCCCACGATGCAGAAATTAAAGAATCCCTGACATATGACCACTGTTTAAAATCTTCTAATGAGAGTCCACCTTTCACCGCTACCCTAATTATTACTTCCATGCATCCCATTCCTTAACTTTTGTTCCACAGAGTAAGAGAGTACAATATATACCGTTCATCTTCAGCCCTTGATTTGATTAGACTGTCTAAATATGCCAGGAAATGCTGAGGATTGCTTTTACAAATTTGCTTGATATCTGAAGGCAAAATAGAGGGACAAAACTTGATCAGGGGCCTTAGCGAAGTTTCTCCAAATTTTTCATAAAGCCTGTATGAGAACAAGAGACGACACAAAAGTCACACTTATTTAAGAAAACAATTCTCAGAATTATTATTTACTAGCATGGTATTGATCCACACATTTAAACATAGCTAACACTGCAAATACAGGGCGAGACTTTTAAAAGAGGCCCCATAGAACATGTGTACTCTGTATCCACAGGGCCTCTTTTAAAGGACTCACCCTGTATAACTGCAAGGTTTATCACAATACTAGTGCAGCTTGCCTGAAACTAGATTGTGGAAACAAGGGTCAGTCTTAACATTACGCCAAACGTGGGAAACCTTTGGACCTCTGGCTGTTGCTGAACTACAACTCCCACTATTCCTGGCTGCTGACCACGATTACTGGAATTGATGGGAGTTGTAGTTCAACAACATGGGGGGGGGGAGGTTCCCCACACCTGCACTGAGCAAAGTGAGCAGATGTTGGGAGCAGCACCATCAGCTCCAGGGCTGTTCCTCAAAAGGCTTCTGACCCTTCCTCTCTGCTGGACACTACAGAGCTATGGCTGCTATAAGACATGTTTTTCCCACCATACTGCCTCAGGTGTTGTGAAGGACAGTCACATCATCAGTGCTGAATTAAGTCAGCTTCTCTACATATAATGGGAAAGGGTAATTACCTTCACCTCAGGTAATGAAATATTATGGGCCAGCCCGAGAAAATGCAAGTATGAAACCGCCTCCCATTAGTAAAAATGCAAGAAGACTGATCTGAAGAGTGACTACATACGCAAGCCTAGTATTAAATAAGATGTAGTCCAATTAAGTCAAATGGTGAATACCTTAGGACATGTGCTAGCAACACAGGAGCATCCCAGGGACCCAGATCCACTAGCAATTTCAGTATTCTAAACATATCTCCATTCTCCAGGGCCATAGTGACTGGACTAGTCCGAGTCAGTTCTGAAACCAATAATTTTACATGTAACAACAACTATATTGAAAAGTAACATTAAGAACAGGAAACGTGCTAATTTTCACATAAACATTGAATTGGGGAGGGGGGAAACACTTAAGAGATAAACGGTAACAAGGAAAAAAATCAGACAATGTAATTCAGGATATATTTTAATTGGATTTTACTTTTATGAATGGGAGTTAGATAAAGCTTTCAACTGCATTAATGTTAATTAGGAGTAAACATATAAAAAGCCCACTGTATGATGCCAATGGTCCACCTAGTCCAGCATCCTGCTCTCACAGTGGCCAGCCAGATGCCTGTGGGATTTGAGCGCAAGAGCACTCTCCCCTTCTGTGCTTCCAGCAACTACTTTTCAGAAGCACTACTGCCTCCAACTGTAATTCCAACTGTGGAGGCAGAGCATAGCCATCATGGCTAATTGCCATGGAAAACCCCAGACAGCATGCCCCATATTTCAGCTTGCAAGTATTTTCAACAAATTTCGTTTTGAACAAATTCTATATAAAGCTTCAACACAATGACAGACACAAGATCCTCCGACAGTTCAATCTTACATAGATCTGCCTGGAATCAGCCCCAATGAGTTCAATACGACTTACTTCAAGTTAGGTGTGTATAGAACTGCACTGTGAATTCATACAACTTGAGAATCGTAGAACTGTAGGGTGGGAAGGGACCCCAAGGGACATCTAGTCCAACCCCCTGCAATGCAGGGATCTCAGCTAAAGCATCCATGACTGATGGCCATGCTTACCTTTTAATCCTTCCACATAGGTTTCCCAAACTCTAGGATGATTGCTATGACAGGTTATAATACATTGCTTCAGCCTTTCCAGATCCAGAAGAAAAAAGTAGTCTTTTATGAATCTACAAGCCAAGGCATCTGAATCTTCTGGCTGCACACACTGTTCACCATTACTTTGTGAATATTCATATACATTTAACTCAAAACATAAAGTTGCCAGCTCTACCAGATCTTTCTGAATATTCTCTGGTATGAAACATGGGGAATGAATCTGAAAAGAATGGTTAAATGTGGTTTCCGACTTCGGATGTTTGCTCAGTATTTTATCAATATGACTGCTACTATTTGGCTTGGTATTTTCTTCCCAGGCATCATCTTGTTCTTTATTTACATCATCATTTTCATAGTTTGTTCTCAAGACAGGCAACTGTTCCATATCTGCACATTCATCATGTTGAGGCATTTCCACATTTTCTTTGAAAACTTGCTGGTCTTCAGGCTGCAAAGGCATCTCATTGTCTATCTTAGATGAGCTCTCATCCAAAACAGCAGGTGCCTCGAATCTAAATGTTTTTTCCAGAAATGGAATCCAGTTTAGCAAAACTGCTCTCAAGTACTGTGGCTGTAACAAAACTAGTGGATCCTGAAGTCTGGTTCTGCAAAAAGGAAATATGCAAACTTACAATTTGATTTTATACCCACAAGAAAAAGAAAGCAAATTATACTGCCAACATTGTAGTTCTCATAAAGAATCTCTTATATGCATTTTTAGGATTGCAACCCACAATTAATATTTTGTGCACAGTTCAGTCCACCTTTCCTACAATACAGCTACATGGAAAATTTGTTCCGCATATGTGCAAAAGCAACACAATGAGTCATTTTGGAGAATGGAAGGTTTGTGTGGACTTTCATAGCCCCATCTTAGCCAGCTTTGATGTTCCAGAGTTAATAACCATGGCTCCTAAACTTCCAGATAAATCCTAAATGTAACAGTAAGCTACTTTTCTAAGAACTAGTATTACAGTGTATGGAGAAATATTAACATAGCATTACCTCACGCACAGTTTTAATAACAGTCAACTTTCATCTGCGTAGAACAGGCATGGGGAATCTGTAGCTCATAGGCTAAATTAGGCCCAGCAGGTATGTTAATTTAGGCTGTGAGGCTTCCCCTACCCCCAACAATGCCCACCTGCATCACACCCAACATCACATGTGTAGCAGAGAAAGGCATGGCTGCAAAGGAACAATCAGGAGTATTAAGAGTACACTCTGCAAGGAGGACCTTTCAAACTGGGTACTAAGCCCCCTGGGATGGTGATGGTGCTTTAGTAAATTTGTTGGTCACTTGATCTTGCCCAAGGCAACCCAAAGAGACTTACAACCAGATTGGCTCTACTCTGGAAATTTCAGCCAAAGCTTCCAAGGGGAACAGATCCATCTTCATTTTCAGCCACCGCATGAATCCAAACCACCCCTGCGAGTGTCCTCCTGATACTTTCTTTTGAAGTTAAGCCACCTGACATCATGGCAGCATCATGAGAATGAGAGGTGGGCAACCATCAAGGATGGGGAAATTAAGGATCAGGAATATACTGGTGTTTGATTTTCACCTCTTTTTGCTTTTAACTTGTTTTTAACTTTTTAATTATTTGCCTGTTTGGTTTTATGGTTTTTGTATTGTTGTATACTACTGTGATATATCTTTACAATACAGCGGTATATAAATCTTTTTTATAAATAAAAATATAAATTACACAAAATATTCTACTAATGTTTTTAATATATTTCGATCCTGCCCCTGCTCGATAAAGAGCTCAAGGTTCTCTTCTCCCTGCTCTGCATATTGCATCCTCAGAACACTTGATGCCTTACTTACAGGGTCTCCATAGTTGCTGCCCCGAGGTCTTTAAGGGGGTCCTCTTCATGAGGCTGGCTCTGCAGCTCAAGCCTTGAAAGAAAAAGTTAATTTTAATAGCCAGTGGGAGGAATGAAAAACATTTCCCTGTCTTACTCCTAAGTTTGTTTCAGTAAAACTCTATACCACCTAGAAGACAGGTCAGTATAAAAGCACCAAAGCCTTTCCGTTTTCTTTTCACTTTGGTGGCTCTGCTCACATATTTTTCAGCACTACAAATACAGAATTATGTTGTCATCATCTAAAAACGATGACCATGTATTCCCATGCGTGTTTCTGGGCATGGGTTTATTACTATATTTCTGTTACCAAACCCTACCCCAACCACATCTTTCTTAGTAAGCTTGGTATTCCCATGTCACAAAGTCAAATGCATGGCTGGATTCCAGTGCCACTTCCAATAGCCAAAGGTTGCTTTTTGGTAGTATTGCAGTGTGTTACTAGAAATGGGTGATTCGGAAATGCATTTGCATGATGACAAGTTAAAGAGTCAACCAATAATGCAGTTGTTCTTCCTGCCTCATCACCCTGTCGAAAGGAAAAGGTTGCTGCACAGGGTAAAGGAGCTTTTACTCACTCTTCGTCTTCTTCTCCTTCCTCTTGAGGTTGGGCTAGTCTAGCAGTCATTTCTGGAAGCTGTTCTTCATCTTTAACGTCCTGTCTGATTCTATCAGGACTCCCATGAAGAGTACCAATCTTTTCTGTGGTCTTACGTACAAAGCTAGAAACACTGTAAGTTAAGTGTAAACATTGTATGAGCACCAAAAAGGAAAAAGCCATAGATTAAGGCAGTTGTGTGGCACCTCAGAATTTATCATAGCAAGAGCTTGCACAGGTCTTCTTCAGATATATAAAGCAGATCAAGAAGATGGATGATATATGTTGCTGCTCTTTGCGTACAAGTCAAAATTATTTTGGTCAGCATAAGCAGAGATTTTAGAACATTAAACGATGTTGATCTAGGATTGTTAAAGCAAGCTTAAAGAAAGTATGGCTAAAAGGACTAGTACCCCACATTAGCCGATTGCTGGGATTAAGCTATGGGTTTAGGGAAACGTTGAACCTAAAAAGTGGAAAATTCAAATACAAATCCTTGCTTCTCTGATGCTCTACCCACTTAACACTGTTGATGCAACAGCACTCCTAGATTGAACATAATACCTGAAAGAACACCATTCATTCCAGTTTTATTTGTTTCATGTTTTGGGGCTTTAAAGGTAAAGGTAAAGGGACCCCTGACCCTTAGGTCCAGTCGTGACCGACTCTGGGGTTGCGGCACTCATCTCGCTTTATTGGCCGAGGGAGCCAGCGTAAAGCTTCCGGGTCATGTGGCCAGCATGACTAAGCCACTTCTGGCGAACCAGAGCAGCGCACGGAAACGCCGTTTACCTTCCCGCCGGAGCAGTACCTCTTTATCTACTTGCACTTTGACGTGCTTTCGAACTGCTAGATTGGCAGAAGCAGGGACCCAGCAACGGGAGCTCACCCCGTCGCAGGGATTCGAACCGCCGACCTTCTGATCGGCAAGTCCTAGGCTCTGTGGTTTAACCCACGGCACCACCTCCATCCCTTTGGGGCCTTAGGCTATGTCTAAATGAACAAAGGTAAGTGAAATCAGGGAGCTGGTGTAGCCAAGATTAGATGCATTGTTTCTATAATGTTCATACAATTTTTAGCATGTTAGATTGTAGAATTGTTTCTTTTAAATAGAAGAGAGTAATCAACACTATAGCATTTGTTTTCTCCCATGTATGCAAAAATTGCTGGTGGATACAGATGTTCAATCATTAGAAAATAGGAATAGCAGTAGAGCAACACCTTTATTATGATCACAAAGCAATATCACAAAGCTTTCAAGTGTACAGAATTCTTCATCAGGCTCAGTGTTGACCAATTTTTTGAAAAAAAGGAAGTGGGAGAGAGGAAACATCTGGGCATTATGAAAAACCCCAAAGTCTGCAAAGTCTGCAAATGCCATGCTGAACACACTGTGTTAATCTAACTGGAGGATTGTGCTGGGTGCAAATTATGTTTTAGGTTATACCAAGGACTACCAAAACTATATGGCCATTCCTCCTTTGAAAACTGTAAAGCAAGAAGTTAATTAGATACGGATGGCTGCTGGCTTTTATATTTTCAAAAGGGAAAATATAACAGCCACTATTTCTTTGTTCCATTATCCTTTGTAGCCACTTTCAACCCGAACAACAGTTATGAGTATTGTGGGTGCATTATACTGAATTGTCTGAGCTCATCATGTCAAGAAGGTTAGAATTCGCATCTCATACTATAGCCCTTTTCAGGCACTCTCTTCTCGTGCAAGTGGAAGATGGAGAGTGAGGTGGTGTTAAAACAGTATTCACCAACCTGGTGCCCTCCTGTTATTTTAGAGTATAACTCCCATCAAAGTCATGGGGAAGGCTGTCTTACAGCAACCCTCAGAATAGTCATTATCAATTCCGTTGTGGTGGTTTCCAGCCTCTAAAATGTTAAAATGCAGCATCACTATATGGCCCAAAGGCAAGCAATCTGCTTTCCCCCCTTAAGACATATTCATTTACTTTGCCATTTTGGTTTTTTCTTCATTGCCAATTCAATAGAAAGGACTAAAAACATATTTTAAATTTCAGTATTTTATTTGACCGTTCTAGGGCCAATTTTTCAATGCAGGAATGAAGAGACATCCACATATCACCTGAAAGTAAGTATGGCTCCATTGGCCTTACACAGTAATGCTTTCTCTGTCTTGTGCTGAAATTCATAATTAGAAGAGTCTTCTGCAGAGTCCTCCAAGCAGGACACATCCTGATAACTTGAGGACCTCAAAGTTAATCAGATATGAGGTTTGAAACAGCAGTAAGTGCTGGGAACCTACAGAGGTGGGATCCTTCAACTATATCTTTCTTATATATATACACGAATGGCATCGATCCCTTTTCAAATCTCCTGTCCCGATCCTGAATCCATGGTCTGAGAACTCCTCGATTGTGCCCTGCATCTGGTTCCAATCATGAAAGGACTTATTTGACTTTAATGCTAATTGTATGCTCCTATTGGTTTTAAAACTCACCATTTAGGATATTATTGACCAATGGGTCAGTCACTGGATCCTTACTAGATAGCTCTGTATACCCTACAGCTGCCTTTAAGCACTCAAAGCATTCTAAACTGGCACCACTTGGGATGATATAGTGTTATACTTGTAATGGAGAGCTAGGTTAAGAAGGATAATGAAAAGCATTCACAGTTGCAGAAGCATGACCCACATGTTAAAATTAGTGGTAAACAGCTGAAGATTCATGAGCCACCCAGGATAAGGTAAGCTTTCCCACCACACTCTTATGCCCTTTAATGATTAAGAAAAGACTTTTAACCCCAGCCCATTTTCAGCTACCTAGTTTCATGGAGTCAAAGGCTAGCATGGAAAAATGTGGCATGAGTTACAAGTAATGTTTAATGATTGGACAAAACAAAAAGTATGTAATGGGTGAGGAATTCACATGTGATTTTACCTGTCCTTGACAGCTTGAAGAGAGACGAGGGGAGATGGGGAACGGAATGACAATGGAATACTGAATGGAAGAAAAGTCTCATTCCGATCAGTGTCGACCATCACAGAAGCATGAGATACAGTGTCTAACAAACAAAATTAAAATTTAAAAGTCATAAAATGGAGTGATTTGACAACATATGCTTAGGACTGATCAGATGCTGTGCTTCACAACAGATTTTTTTCACCTCCTTCAAGTAGGTATCAATGCCAAAAGCCATTCAGCCACAATTACCACCTTTTGCCAAATCATATGGGAATTAAGAACACAATCTGAACCACCAGCATTTAGGTGATCTAGCAGTTTTACTTTTTTAGGAAAGCTCCTTGATTTGTCAGATAACTTTGGGCCTAGTTTCAAAGCATCTGTAGTAAAATGCAGCTTGAAATAGGAGTCCTAAAACACACTGCTAAAATGCATTTGAGGTTCGGGCAGCAATTTAGAATCTACAGAACCTGAGGACTTTTCAAATGTTTGTGTGTGTGGTGTGTATAACACACACACCTATATCTATGTGTCTCCTGGAATCGATTATGCAACACTTAATTTAGAGATGCAGTTTTCACCAAATATCACTGATATTTTAGAGTGAGCAACAGATCATTTCCACAATGTATTAAGCAAAGTGACAAGCGGCAAATGAAGCTTACAGTGTAAAACCTCCAAAGGCAAGAGCAAGGGGTTTACAGAATAAAGAGCATGGGGAACACACAAGAAAAGCAAGTACCTTGCTGCTATTACCACTGTTTCAAGAAACCTGAATGTCTAAATTCCTTCTTCATCTTAATTTATGGAATTAGAAGCATTCTTGCAAATAAACCCTCAAGCATGCAGTTTATTCAAGCCCAAAGCTAAGATTTAAAAGGGACTATATTTTGCCCAAGAGAAAACTACAGCAGTTTAAAAATCTTAATTTTGTATATGAGTGAGAACAAAGGAATCCCTTCAAAGAACAGAAGGGACTATTCATTACAAACGCTATCAGGAAACAGCACCAAGCAAAGCGTACATATATAGCCTTAATCCAAAACATGCAAAATCTACAACTTGACGTTACCAGCAAATTTGGTAAACCCCCCATATTCCTGTTATCTATATTCAAACTACTGTTGTTCTAGGGCAGGGGTCTGCAACCTTTAAGCGAAAAAGAGCCACTTGGACCCGTTTCCGAAGAAAAAAAACTGGGAGCCGCAAAACCATTGCGACATTTAAAACAAATATATCTCCGGAGCCGCGATCTGACAGCGGGCAGGAAGGTGACGTCGGGATGGTGCGTGACTAACGCACGCACCACGCCCATGCGACGTCACAGCCAGTACAGCGCCTGTCACAGTGGGGAGTGTCGGGGCGCACAATGCGCCTCCTCCCCTCGCTAGTATCCGCCCCGGAGCAAAGCTGTAAAAGAGCCACATGCGGCTCCGGAGCCGCAGGTTGCAGACCCCTGTTCTAGGGGAATGTTCACTGAAAGAATGGAGTATTTATCACCAGGACATTTCTCCCTTAAAACACCGCATATAATAAACAAAGCTCTCTTACCAACCATTGATAATGTGGTAATGACTCAAAACATTACTTTTCATGTACAAGACTAAACTATCCTCCTGAGGTCCAGTGAACCTCCTTCCATTTTACAGAAGGAATACAATTTTAGCCATAAAAGTGAAACAGCTCCAAGTTTTGAATCCTCACCATTACACACAGAATTGCTTAGTTCCTATAAAACACTGAATCACCTTGTCAGCTCAAAGCTGGTGTCATTCTGAGATACAGAACTCAGATGCTTACAGTTTCACAATGGCTTGACTGTAGCAGAAGAAGCTAACAGGTTTCTGAACACAAAATCTTAAAGGAGCGCCATGAAAGCAGCAGAGGTGATTATGATTTTCTACTTGAGTGAATTTATGGATCAACTTTTATGAATCGAACAGGATAGCAACCTTCATTTACATGACAGGGCAGCAACATCAAGAGTAGGTGACATGAAGCAGTGATGTCTCTCTCACACAAACTATCAAACTTCCACCTAAGAATTACATCACCTGTTACTTACATGATGAGGTACAACCTTTTAATTTTAACAAATTACTTTGGAGGAAAACATGACACCAGCATTCAAAACTGTCGCTACATAAACAAGTTAAATGATAATTTGTAGGGGAGTGTAGAAGTCCCTAAGAATGCCACCAAACAGCTGGAATTAGCAACAACCTTGTTTTCAGAGCCAGCAGCAAATCCCCATCTATTTACAGGATACACACACATGAGTATTTAATAAATGTTTGTATTACCAAATTCCTGGTGCTCTTCTTCCTGGTGTGTGTGAAATTCTCTCAATCTTTCATCTTCTGATAGAGTTTGGCTATGTAAGGAGCAAGAATCCTCATCAGATTGGCTGCCTCTTCGGCTAATAACACGATAAATGCCAGAATCTAATACGCTGAAACTTTCCTGTTGAGAAATCATAATGTAAGCTTTTAAAGTCTGCCTTTATAAACTTGATCCAGCCAAAAGACAAGCCACTGATTTTAGTACAGAAGAGCACACATTTAACTCTCCTAATGCATATGAAGTCAGAGCAGGAACGTGTCCTTGCTATTTCTAGAGTTCATCGATATTATAATACTCCAATTTATTTATTTAAAATAGTTTCATACCTCCTTTGAGACTAAATGCTCTAAGGGCAGCTTATCAACATAACAGAACAATGGAACTAAGATGCAATAAACAATACAAAGGGTTGTATCCAAAAGGTGTTCAGCTGGCAGTAAGGTTTCCATTAGCAGAACAGGGAGGGGAATGATTTGGAGTGATTCAGCTTTTCCCCCTATAGGCGTCTGCACCTACTAAAATCTGCTCTAAAGGATTTCGCAAGCCTCTGAAGCAGATTTAGGGGTGTGTGAGTGATTCAGTGGCTAAAAACTACTTCCTTCCACTGACAAAAGTCTTACTGTCAGGTGAGTGACACCATTAGATACAACCCACAAAACACCAACGATACAATAAAAATAAAACACTGGGAAACATGCAACTAATAAAACGAAGAAGCCCAAGCAACATTACTCAAATATACAGTGGTACCTCGAGTTAAGTACTTAATTCATTCCGGAGGTCCGTACTTAACCTGAAACTGTTCTTAACCTGAAGCACCACTTTAGCTAATGGGGCCTCCTGCTGCTGCCGCGCTGCCGGAGCACGATTTCTGTTCTCATCCTGAAGCAAAGTTCTTAACCTGAAGCACTATTTCTGGGTTAGCGGAGTCTGTAACCTGAAGCGTATGTAACCCGAGCTACCACTGTAATGCATATGTGATATGTGTTCATACAAAATATAATACGTGTAAATGTAACATTTGTGTTGCCTACCTATTTTTTAAAAGGCAAAACTGGTTTTGCAGATAGGAAAAGCCTCCAAGCAAGATTACATTTATTCCTAGACTATTTTGATTATATGCATATTTATTGTATTATGAAAGCTCTCTCCATACCTTAGCATTGTGACTTCAAATCTGCTATAACAACAGATGCATCTTGGAACAGGAAATACAGCCCAAACTATAGCTCCTATTATAAATATCAAATGCATGAAATGTACCCACTTTTTTTTTAAAAAGCTAACTATAATGAGGCACTGATAAAATATAATTTTAAGGGAATGAAAATATAGCTATAATATGGATTTATATGAATACACTTACATGTGAAGAAATACTGCTCCTCCTGCTGCTGCATGCAGAATCTAAAGGCTCCAGCTTTGAGATCAGTTCTTCAAGGTGAGTAATGATATCACTTTGTGTTGAAAGATCCAACTGAGATTTCAAATGTTCCAGCTTATCTATGGGAAGAGCTTTTCTTGCCTAATAATGCATAAAGTTTTATTAAACAGGTTAAAATCTACTATATTATTTATTTCATAACTTTATACGCCGCTTGACTGTAAAAAAAAAAAAGCACAAAACCCTCAAAGCATTGGGGTACTGCTGCAGGGGTGGGGGGAGAGAAGCAAGGTGTAAAAAACTTTCCTTCCCTGAAGTTCCTTGATTGCCACGTTGGCCTGGATCCTAAGGTAATAGATTATCTTTTATTTGCATCACATGACTTACTATTTGTCAGAACTGCTTTTAAAAAGACATTTTTTAAAAATGATATATTAAGCTTTGATTACCCGACATAAGACAATAGAATTCTGGAAGAGGCAGCAGACCCTGGCTGCAAGCGTCCAAAAGCTTCTTCTAAGTAAACGTTCTATACATTTTTCCACGGGTAGAAGGGAAAGGTGAGAGACTTTTCCACTGGTGTGCAAACAGAAGAGCTCATTTTTATATACTGCAATATCATGAATATCTAGGCAAAACAGAAGATTACAAGAGTCAGTACAGAGCTCCCCAATGTTTAATACTATACTTCATATTAACTAAAATAGTCTGATTGCACCTTTCAAGATGTTCATGTTTATAAACATATGAAAACTAGATAGGAGAATGCTTTCTTCTTCAGGCACAGCTAATAATCACCACCACAAACAAGTGCAATTTGCCTGTCCCAGTGCTTGTAAGAAATGCAAGCCTGACTTCCCTATCAGTCTTTATGCCATTCCATATCTAAAACAGGGGACTGTTTCAAGCACTTGCGGCTATTAAGAAATAAAGTACATGCTCATGTAGAAAAGTCTTGTTAGCATTACCCATTTTGCCTGATGCAACACATTTCCCCTCACTGTACACTGCGTGCACCAGCTTCCAATTCATGGCAAAACAGGTACCAACCTCACTTCTCGCAAAGGCAGAGTGAACTTTATTCTGATGTATGTACAGTTTCAAGAGCACATAAAAGAGATCCAAGTTCACTATAAATAATGTAATTTACCTTTCACTTCGCTCCAGAGCAAAACTTGAACATTTTGTGGAATGAAAATATAAATGCCTCTTTCTGTCCATGTCATTACACAGTGCTCACTGTAAAGAAAAAAGATGTGGGTATCCAGAATTTGTTGTGATCACAACACACACAAAATTGAAAGTTTGAATGACAACATTCTAACACCTTCCATGATGCAGCATTCACAACATACGGTACATTTAATGCCCTATGAAACCCCTTTAATCAGTAATGGGCTCCCCCAAAGAATTATGGTAGCTGAGAGTGCAGAAAGGTGTTTGGAGACCCCTTTTCCCCTTCTAGAGCAGCCATTCCTAAAGTGGTTTAACAATCAATCCCTCTTCACAGGAAACTCTGGGAATTGTAGCTCTGTAAGGTGGAAAGCATTCTCCTAACAACTCTCAGCATCCTTAACAAACTCCAGCTCCCAAAATTCTTTGGAGAAAGCCATGACTATATCAAAGTGCCTAGACAGCATCTTAAAAAGTAGAGACATCACCCTGCCAACAAAGGTCCGTATAGTAAAAGCTATGGTTTTCTCAGTAGTGATGTATGGAAGTGAGAGCTGGACCATAAAGAAGGCTGAACGCCGAAGAATGATGCTTTTGAATTATGGTGCTGGAGGAGACTCTTGAGAGTCCCATGGACTGCAAGAAGATCAAACGTATCCATTCTGAAGGAAATCAGCCCTGAGTGCTCACTGGAAGGACAGATCGTGAGCTGAGACTCCAATACTTTGGCCACCTCATGAGAAGAGAAGACTCCCTGGAAAAGACCCTGATGTTAGGAAAGATGGAGGGCACAAGGAGAAGGGGACAACAGAGGACGAGATGGTTGGATAGTGTTCTCGAAGCTACCAGCATGAGTTTGACCAAACTGCGGGCGGCAGTGGAAGACAGGAGTGCCTGGTGTGCTCTGGTCCATGGGGTCACGAAGAGTCGGACACGACTAAACGACTAAACAACAACAACAATATCATATCAAAGTGCTTTAAATGTATGGTGTGAATGTGGTCTCACTCAGCGTAACCTACCACACAAGGTTAGTGCAGGGACAAAATACATGTTTCTATCCTGAGCAACATGGAAGGCCGGTGAGATATAAATGCAATAACAGAAAGCTGAAAGAGATCACTTAACCTAAATGTACCATTTGTCAACTAAATTTTTTAGCTGATCTGAATTGTTTTAGCTGCAGGGCTACAAGAAGAAATGGCTTCATATTTACCTCAAATAAAGCAGCCTAGGAAAAGCCAAAGACTGAGGGGAACAGGCTGAAACTTTATACTCCAGATCATCCCTTTAAAAAGAAGTAAAGTTTAATCAATTAGGTTTATTCGGTTTTTATTGTTGGATCAAGCACTATTTAAATTTTTGTTTCAAGAACTGAAGTATCATTCTGAATTATTTGGCATTGCTCAGTTATGTATGGCTGTTCTTTTTTGTTGTTGAACCCTTTTATATTTGTTTGGTTTAGAGAAGATATATTTCCCTGAACTTTATTTCTTCTATTGCATTAAAAAAAAACCACCACCAATATATATATTTGTTCCCAATTAATAAATTATCAGGTTGGATCCAGAAAAATGTTCAAAGAAGAGCTAGCTCAGTGGAAGGTGATTCCCTGGCAACCTCTCTTAAGGACTGGCGAACCCCACAAAAATCAGATGTAATCATCTGAAAAGCTTGGTGTTATATTAAGCAACATATAAATCCACCACAAACAGTGTCTTTACAGCTGGGTTGCTTTCAGGAACCCGGTACATATCTGTGAAGTTAGCAATTTGTTCAAAAAGATGACTGCATTGTTAAAATTGGCCCAGGCTACATGCACCACTTCCATAAATGTGGGGACGGGTACCCACAAAGTGGCAGCTCTGCAAAACATGTGAATTGAGCCCAAGGCTCTAGGCTTTCATATGTGCTGAGATTTTGGGCTCCCTAAGCCCTAATTCAAATCTTACACTCCACCAACATCTGCTGTGTATCTCTGCACCACAAGCACCACACCACACTCAATGGAAAGCAGGGCAGAAACCTAAGAAAACTCTTGATTGACATCAGCCAAAGTTACCTTCACCCACCCCATGACCTCAGTCAAAAACATTACAGCACTGTTCCCCCACCATAGGAAAACCACAATCAAGATGAACACAAACACGTAAAGATTATATTGCTATGACCAATACCTTAGAGTCACAACAGGCAGAGGCGGTGATGACAAGAGCTGTTTGAATTGATGTGTACTTAGCACCTCCCCTTCAAAGTTCACCTCCCACATCCGTGAACCAGGACGTGCACAATATATCAAAGGCTGTTGGCTGCCACAACTCTTTCCGGCAGGGGAAAAACAAGATCCATATTCACCATCTCTTTCCTTGTTTCCAATTTTCCAAAATTTCTCCCTATATAAACCAAAAACATTTTGGGGAGGGGGGGAAATCCTGTTTTAATCATTGTGGAATGAAATGACATGCGTATCTTCACAGTTGACACATTTTTTACATAGATTAAAGTTGGCAACTGAGGAGCATGCGGCTGAAATTGAACTGGCATTTATTCATTCAAGAACATCTGCAGAAAAGAGTATTCCCTTCCAAAGAGCAATGGAGGAGGCAACCAGCAGTTGGGCATATATTTGGCAATTATGCCTTGGAGTGGAGAAGATAATGACATGGGTCCCTAATTGATTCATGGTGAGGGAGAAACAGTTAAACGATGGAGAGGCCTATGGCAAAACCATATTTGTAGTGATGCCTCAGAGGAGGAGATGTAGTGAGCAGTTAGCATTGGGTTTTTTACACAGGACGTGGGTGGCGCTGTGGGTTAAACCACAGAGCCTAGGACTTGCCGATCAGAAGGTCAGCGGTTCGAATCCCCGCGACGGGGTGAGCTCCCGTTGCTCAGTCCCTGCTCCTGCCAACCCAGCAGTTCAAAAGCACATCAAAGTGCAAGTAGATCAATAGGTACCACTCCGGCAGGAAGGTAAAGGGCGTTTCCGTGCGCTGCTCTGGTTCGCCAGAAGTGGCTTAGTCAAGCTGGCCACATGACCCGGAAGCTGTACGCCGGCTCCCTCAGCCAATAAAGCGAGATGAGCGCAGCAACCCCAGAGTCGGTCACGACTGGACCTAATGGTCAGGGGTCCCTTTACCTTTACTAGCAGCTCCAGATGACTTGATAACAAAAAACAAAAATTAAAACACGAATAAACTAAATTGTGTGTGGAATTCAACATCACGCAACTGCAAATTTTCTGTCTGCACCAGCATATCAGTCTGCCAGATTGAAGAGTTCCCTCTCATGCGCTGTTCTAGGGGGTTCTCCCAACCTCCCAGAACCAATTTCAGCAGACAGGGGGAGCTCTGTTGCAGAAGCCCTGGAGTTAGGTGGATTCTGCTCTATTTCTTCAGAAATGTGACAAAATGATTACTACTTATTACTAGGTGCAAATTAATGTTAAAAGTAGAGTTGCAGATGATCTGCAGAGAATCAAACCTAGAATGACACCAGCATTACTTTAGAGTACATTAATTACCTCTCAGTGTCACATAAGTAAGATCGGGTAAGAGAAGAGATAAGCAACCTTCCATCCAAATAATCAAGCTGAACCACACGAGAATCAACAGTGGTTATAATCTGAACTGGAAACATCACAAATGCAGTGGTAGCCTAAAGAAAGGTAAAGGAGAAATGTACAGTGAATTATTTCAGCACTAAAGGAAAAATAGACTTGCAAAATTGATTACATGAAACTGGAAAAATACACAAATAAAATTCATATTGTTCAGGTTGCATTTCATTTTATTTTAAAACTGCCTGGATACCCTCTCTGGAGTTCTAAATGCTCATCAGTATCTAAGGATCAATAAGACCCAGGCTTAAGCATGGAGAAATAAAACATGAACTGCAAAGCAGCTTCCAGAATTTTGTCCTCATATTTTGTCTTTTTGCAACAAAATGTTTGTATCAGAATTCAGACATTACAATTTTTACAGCTCATGTAATGCAAATAAGATTATCAAGATCTACATGTGACCACCTGCTTAATTCTGTAAGTTTGGGCACAAAAGCCACATACAGTTGAATGTTTCCCTTTATGCACGAGTTTGCATATACTCTAGCTACTTTCATGGTAAGTACTCCTCTCTCATGGTAAGTATTCCTCACCATTGCAGTAAATGTGGTAAGGCCTATGTTCCTTCCTAAGGTTGGAATTGGGGAGTGTACAAGAGATCATTTCCCACATCCAAGCTGGATGTCTTTGGAAAATCTCAGAAATGCCAGGCCAACGAAGATCAGGATGACAACAGGGGCTTGTGTATATTATTCTCCCCTTTGGTGATTCTCCAACACATCAGAAGTACTGTGATAAACTATATGATTCACTAGCCTCAGTCTTCCTCTCAGCCTTGGAAGATCCTAGTAGCCTCAAAATCTGGCTTAGACCAGCCAAGATGTGTAGAAGCCTGCTCTTATGTTCAAAAATCTCACTGAAAATTTACCTTTCCTTGTTTGGATGTATTAATCTTGATGGCAGACACTTTGCCCACATGATCACCAACAAAAACACGAAATGCACTAGTATCCCAACAAAGAGCTGTTATTTTTCTGCCTTTGTGCTCAGAGGACACATAAATCCTTTCTGGTTTCCCACGACGTTCCTGATTCAATTCCCAGACAACAACAAGGCCTTGGCTGTAGAATATAATAACTAAATTACTAAAATTAAAATAAAAATCTGCCATCTTCTCACAAACCCTCACATATTTAACAATGTTCAGAACCTACATACAAATATTTATTTTATACAACCTGTGTATGCCACTTAAGCAGCTTACAATAAATTTATTCAACAAATACTGTACAGTACTTGAAAATGTAGAAAACTGAAATAAATCCAAGTTCTTCTGATTTGTCAGCTCATGAACTTACTGCATCTCTCTCAGCTTAAGAGACACTGGCCTGGTTCAGACATAATGACAAATAATGGATTGTCATTTGAACAATAAGCCACAGTGAGCCTCAGCCTCCCGCCTCCTCTTCCCATTCATTTGCATGTGAGAAGAGAAAAGAAGCTTTTATTAATTTATTATTAATATGGTTTATAGGCCACTCTCCATTAAAAAATCCCAGACTGTTTAAACTGCAAACAACAGATCAATATCCCAACAGTAAACAGCAAAATACATTAAAATCTAACTACAACAATGAATAATAAAAGGAACAGATATAACCCTTCCACTTATAGTTTGCTGCAAACCAGTTTGGCATTGTGTTGAATGCAGCAAATGCTGGCTTGTGTTTGCTCCATTTCAGATCCAGGTCTGAGGTCTAAACAAATCACAGCTGGTTGCTTTTGGTAGCAAGAGCAAAGCAGAAGTGGAAGAGCCTAGCCTCCCACAAATGAAGGGAAGAGGAAGATGGAGTACATGTGCTCAAATAAATATGCTATACTTTAAAATGGTTAGCCCCTAAATGTTTACATTATTTTCATCATCAGAATGGATTCCCTTATTTGCATTATTGAAATGACTCTACCATTTCCCAAAAAATAACCCAGTACTATAGCCCCAAAACAATAATCCAACTTGTTTCAAATACATAAATAACTGTTCTCACCTTGTAGCTACAGCAACATAGTCCTCATCATGTAAACAAAAGGCAATGCGGGAAATGGCACCTTCCTACCAGGAGATAAAGCAGATTTGTCCTATTAATATTTAGTGCCCCAGCAAAGCCTGATTTGTAGCTGCTATGCATTTTTTTCATATTCATTGCCCACTCCCTACTTGATTTTTGACACATGAAAGAGGGAAGCAAAAATAAAAATCACTAGGTGGACTATCCCTTTATCTCACCAGCTGCCCTGTGGGAAAGATTCTGGTGATTTAATGCTTTGATATTTTTAGTGTGATTATATTAATGCATTTTCACTTTTATTACTTATAAGCTACCTTATTAGGCTGAATATAAGAGGTCTGGATGGTGGCAACCTGAAAACAGGCCGTTTCTGCAATGACTTCTAGTTTGTAGAATGCTCTCCACAGTGATGCGTACTTGGCGCCTTCATTATATATGCTTAGACACTGGGCAAAAACATTCCTGTTCTCCTAAGCATTTGGCTAATGGCCTTTAGAACTGGGAAGGGGTTTTTTGTTATTATGGTATGTATTTTTGTGTTTTTATATTGTAAACCGCCCTGTGATCTTTGAGTGAAGGATGGTAAAAAATAATAATTTAGTTTTAGTGTCTTATTGGTCTTCTTGATCCAAAATTCTAGTTCTGATTTCTGCATTAGCTACAATTCACAATTTAGAAGATTTTCTTAGTCATCTAAAGCCTGAAAGAGCAGCTGAAAAGACTTGGGGTGATATCCAACTAGCTCACACTCAAGAGTAGATCACTGAAATCAAGGCACTTAAGGCCACTGATTGCAGTGGCTCTGCTCCAAGTATGACGTGGTGAGATATTCTGAATTTTGTAAATGAGATACAAAATTGTCTCTAAAATAAATAAAAAAATTGTGGTATGCTTTAATGAAACAACCTTCTCAGTGTCTGCAAATAACATTTCATTCTTAGCCTGAGGTTTCTTAGAAGCGTTCCTTCAATCTTACCTTATGAGTGAGAAAAAGTCTCTGTTTCCGGCTGTCTTTCTGGATTAGATTCAGGCCTCCACCAGAGCTTCCTAGCGCCAACCATTTTTGAGAAACTGCTATACATGTGCACTTTAGAAAAGAGAAAAAGGATAGGGTTAAAAACCAGCCGGTTGCTGAAAGAAAATACTGACATTAATTATACTTGTTTTATTTTCAGTTCTACTGAGGAAGAAAAAAAAATATTTCATGGAATGGGGACTCTATTTCACTCTTACTACTGATCCATTATAACAGCACATGGGTCAAAAAATGTCTTGCTATGAACTGCTTAGCATGACAGCAACAAGGTATTGTCTCTCCTGTAAAGAAATATAAACCACTTACAAATTTCTGTTGAAGTCTGTAGTGGTATCTTTCTAAATGAAAGAGACATTTCCTTGCGCCCTTACAATTACAGAGTATGACTAACAGTGCCCTAAATTATACTCTCCAATAAATAGTACAGTACCAACTCTTGCATATTTTCCTTCTACTTGATAAAATAATTTGTGAAATCCATTAAACAGATAAAATCTTCTCTTCAAAAATAAGCAGAAAGTTTTACCATCAAGTTCTCCCCACATTCAGAATATTATCCTCTTAACATTTGTCTTTTAATTCTCTTTATGATTGAGAACTCCTACTTTAGCCTCAAAGCTTCTTGTAAAATTTTCTGCCAGTGGATGTCTACAGTTTCCACCTTGGAATGTACGCTATGAACTACAAGTACAGTGGTGCCTCGCAAGACGAAATTAATCCGCTCCACGAGTATCTTCGTCTAGTGGTTTTTTCGTCTTGCGAAGCAACCCTATTAGCGGCTTAGCGGATTAGCGCTATTAGCGGTTTAGCGGCTATTAAAGGCTTAGCGGCTAAGCTGCTAAAAGGCTATTAAAGGCTTAGCGGCTTAGAAAAAGGGGGGGGAAGCGGAAAAAAAATCTCAAGACTCGCAAGACATTTTCGTCTTGCGAAGCAAGCCCATAGGGAAATTCGTCCTGCGAAGCGCATTGAAAACGGAAAACCCTTTTGTCTAGCGGGTTTTCCGTCTTGCGAGGCATTCGTCTTGCGGGGCACCACTGTACATGGTATTTCTAAATGCTGTTAAGCAAATATCAACATTATAGCAATTATGACTTGAACGCACCTTCAGACGATTAGAATCCAGCCTGAGAGCAGAAAGGAGTGGACTGAGGCACTCAAACTCTGCCAATACATGGCTGCAAGATTCAGGTACCACAGGCATAGACATCACTGGCATGAAAGATACAACAGTCTCTCAAAAGTTTGTTATTGTTTCATTTTGCAGCTCCACCTATCAAAATGAAATATAAAAATGTGAAATACAACTTCTTCACTTGTTAAACATTTGGATTCCTATACATTTATTTCTTCTGTGAAGGTACATAATTTAACATTGCTAAGACTTCTATGATAGGGCAAATACACTGAACCATAGACAGATGGATATCAGTTACACAACTACTAATTAGCTGACTGATCCAAAACTGGTAAGCATATTGAACCCTTCAACTTTCTATAGCTTCAATTCCAGATTGAACTGAATCAGGGGAACTGAATTCAGAGGGAACTCACTTCAAACATTCACACAGAAAGGGCTGGACTGCACATGCCAAACACAACACAATAATGTACTTGTAAATCATCTCATAAGAATTTGGGGTGCACCTTCTATGAGAAAAATGGCCCCAGTACATTGGCATAACCAACAGATATCAGCATCAACCCACAAACCTAGTTCAAAGATGAGATCCAAAACATGCTCACATACTTGAAAGCAGAGCAGCTTAATGTGGGGATTTTTTTGTTCTTTAAATAGGAAAGACTCGATCATAACAAAGAACACACTTTTCTCTTCCAAGCTCTTCTCCAACCCACATAAATTCAGTAAGAAAAAGGAACCTTCCATTGTCACCATATATGAACCAAATGCAAAGCATAGCACAACAGAAACGTAGATGGTTGTTGCCAATTCCATACAAGCAATGCTTTTTTTTCAGGGGGTACTCAAGGTTAGGCAGTACCGGCACCTCTTTTGTTGTTGTTAAAAAGTGTGGCACTTACTGTAACAACTTCATAGTGAGTACCGGCGCCTATTTTTCTAGGAAAAAAGCACTGCATACAAGTCATTACTTTTGTACCAGACCTGCGGTCCGAAAAAGTAACTGGGATTTGAAGCATGGATGCTCCAACTCCTTACCAAGGAAAATTCATCTCCTATGATGTGCCCTATTGACCCAAAGCACTTCCGAAAGGATTGCCTCCCCACCCCAACAAAAGAGATCAGTCACCTATGGATAAGGAAGCGGACTCTGCACTCCAGAACGCACTTTGGTCCAACCTTATGAGAGCCGAAGAACACCATGTACAGTGGTACCTCGGGTTACATACGCTTCAGGTTACAGACTCCGCTAACCCAGAAATAGTGCTTCAGGTTAAGAACTTTGCTTCAGGATAAGAACAGAAATCGGGCTCCGGCGGCGAAGCTAAAGTGGTGCTTCAGGTTAAGAACAGTTTCAGGTTAAGTACGGACCTCCGGAACGAATTAAGTACTTAACCTGAGGTACCACTGTAAAGCCATTTGCTAGGTACAAGATTTGGGGATGGCACCCAAAGCCAAAAGATCGCAAGTCGCTTAAAAAAGGAAAGAGAAAGACATTGGTTCTACCGGCGAATAACGTCAGAGGGAAGAAATAAGGAAGCGAGACTGAGCTTCAGCGGAAGGCCCCAAACCGAAACCCCTCAGCCGCCTCTGCACACCTGGCAGCAGAGAAGCACGCGGGGCACCTGCGGAGCCCTCTCCCCTTCCAACCCTCCCCCAGGGAAAGGAGGGGGCGGGATAACAAGCGCCCACCTGAGGGACAATAATGCCGCAGCCTGGAAGTCGGCTTCGGGAGCGCGGTTCGCCTCCGCTCCCGGCTACAGGTCGGCTTTCCCCGCCAGCCCCACCCGCCTGTCAGCTGCTCGGCTCTCCTGCCCGGCCTGCCCCGCCTCCAAACACAACGCAGCGCGCGTGACTTCACCGCCCCTTCCCTCCTCCGCCCCTTGGCAGGCGTCATCCAAATGCGGCTGGCGATTGCGTCACGCCGTCTCGCTCCCTCCGCGTCACGTGACGGCCACGCTCGCTCGGCCCTCCCCTTCCTCCCCCCCTTCGAACCGTTGCTGAGGCAAGAGCCCCCTCCCCCCTCAGCGCGGCGGCGCCGGCGACCTAGAAGGCACCCGCGGCACGTACGGAATGGAGGACGGGCGGGGCAAGGAACGGGTTCCTCACATCTGCAAGACCCGGTGGCGGACTCGTAAGGAATGAGACGAGAGTAACTGCCTTGTTATTGTTTCGTCGTCATCCTCCCCCTTCCCCCCCACCCTTCCTTCAGGACAGTGTCATGGCCGCGGCGGGGCGGGCAGGCCTTCACGTGACCAGAGAAGCGGCCAGGTGGCTGACGGGCACCGTCACGTGACGTGGGTAAGTGGCATGGCGGCGGGAGTAGTTGTCTCCTTTTGTCACGTGATGCGGTCTGGCTTCTGCCGTGCGTGAGCTAACTGTTTCCGGTCACGTGTGCCTTCTCTGCCGAGCTCCTTGGCCGCCCCATGGCCCAGGAGGAGGCGGCGGCGTTGCGAGCCCTTCAAGCCGGGAGCGAGGCGTCGTTGGCGCACCGTGCTGTCCGCCTTTGAGAGTGAGGACTTGAGGGCTTCATTGTATGCCGCCAAGATCAGGAGGAGCGAGGAGTGAAAGTCCAGGGCCTCGGTAGATACCCCTCACGGTAGGGGGCCTGACGGATTCAACGGTTCCGGGTTCGGAGGGCCGTCTCACTAGTTTTTGCTTCTTCGGAAGCGGGTAATGAATCTTTAATACTGGTCTGGGTTTCCTCTCTTCATGAAAGCCTGCTTATTGCAAGGCCATAGGATGTGGATATAGTTGCGCATGGCGAGGAAGCATGGTCCCCCCCCCCCCGCTTTCGTACCTGTCAGTCCTTCCAATTAATATTTGTTTTTCTCTGAGTGTTTTTACCTCTACTTTAGGAAGTACTGTGGTAGCAAAGTTTTGTTTTGAGTCTATATGTTTGCTTTTCGTGCTTTTTAATCTTTTATTCTAAAACTGTGCTATAAGTGCAACGGAAGGATTGGCTAATAACTTGGAAGGGGTGGTGTGGGAGAGGGCTAGTGCAATTTTGGAATGCTGAAGCTTTTCTTCCAGAAACTAGGGCTTAGAAATGTGGAAGGCAGAGTCTTCTGAATGAAGTATTGTTTAGATGTTGGAAGATGCATGTGCATGAGTTCTGCTTTGTTGGTAGTACAATACAAATAACCTTTAAAAACCCACATTACTGTTTCCTATAATATTATATTGCTAAGTTCTCGATGGCACTAGAAATCATGCGTAGGCACACTTTTAAAATGCAGAGTAAAGAAAGTAAAGTGCTTGGTGTTTCTATTACAGGGTTCTTTAGTGCATTACAGCTGAGTGCCTGAAACAAAGCATTTGAAGTTTTAACACAATTTGAGAGAGGCACACAGCTCTCTTCTAAATTAGTACGTATATCCTATTTGTCATGGGGCAGTACTTTGATTTACCAAGCTTTAGTAGGTAGGCTGTGTAGGGAATTTGTGAGATAACACTGATGTGATTATTCCTTCAGTTGTGAGTTCATTCAATAATGTGAAAGAAAACTTAGTGGTCTGGAGGAGAAAACTTTGATTTGGAAGCTGGGTGTATTTTACCACGTTAGTCAATTAGATAGTGTTTTATGCAAAGTCCGTACTGTACATGCTTGCTTCTCTGGGCACACATTGGAGATGGTAGGAACAAATCTCTAATGAAAGTTAAGAATGGGTTTGATAGTCCTTTATTATCTTCCTGTTGAAAGAATACAAACAGCTGCAATCGGCTTTCCCCCAGCTCTGTGAATGCTTTACAAAATAAATTATTTACCCATCTATACAAAATTTCTGAGTGTTTGATAACTGGTAGTTTGTTAATACTGAGTGACAACTCTTTTACAACCAGATAGGCAAAAAGCTTGTGCCATTCTAACATTAGCAGAAGAAGGCTGGGCAATAATGACTTGGTCCAAGGTGAGGGTTGGTTTTTTTCCCTTAGTAGGACTTCTGTTTACATCGCTATCCAGTTTACATCATCTAAAAATAATTTTACCACAGGCAAAACAATGACACTGTGTATATTTCGTTGGGTCTGTGATTGGAGTCTATACACACAGCAGGATAGACATGTTCATCGTGTGGCAATATAAATGAGATGCATTCAGTTTCTTACCTTTGGTTAGTTGAAGTATAATGTTTTGTCTTTCAAAACCATAGCTTAGAAGATTGAAAATAAGACTGGCTCATGTGTTCTGCATCCTCTTTCACACAGCGATTACCCCACCTTCCCTACTTCAGAAATTCATATTCTGGTGTTGCATCCAAAGCAAACAGAAGAATTCAAGCCCACTTTAGACCTTGAATAATTGGGGGGGGGGGGAGTTCCACTGCAGAAACAGAAATCCTTGCACTAACAGAACTGCTTCATTGGCTATTGCCAGCTGTTCTAAGCAGTCATAATATGAGTACAGTGGTACCTCGCAAGACGAATGCCTCTCAAGACGAAAAACTCAAAAGAGTTTTTCGTTTTTTGAGTTGCTTCGCGAGGCGAATTTCCCTATGGGCTTGCTTCGCAAGACGGAAACGTCTTGCAAGTTTGTTTCCTTTTTCTTAAAACCATTACAGTAATGCAGGGTGCATTGCTTGAAGAGGTGCAGTTGCGACTTGACTTCGGGGAGCAACTCATAGCACGCGGTGTGGTAGCCTTTTTTGAGGTTTTTGAAGATTTTTTTGAAAAAATTGAAACCGTGCTTCGCAAGACGAAAAAACTCGTGGAACAAATTAATTTCGTCTTGCAAGGCACCACTGTATATTAACTAATATGCTAATGTTGTATGGATTAATAGAGCAGTTCTAAAGTTGGAAGTATTTCCTGTTCAAGCAGTAAACCTTAAACTGACTGACCTTTTTCCTAGGGCAGTATAAAAAGCCATACTAGTCCGGCACAAAAAGGATATCCATGTAATATATTGAACTTGACCAAACCAACCTTCAGAAACCTTTTATTGAAATATAAGCTAGGCTAGTTATTAAAAGTAGTCTTTGCTTTTTGTGCTATTGGTGTTCATTTAATTTAGGAAGAATTAGTCTTCTCTGGTGTTCTATCATAGTTCTAACAGCATTTGCTTGTGAAGTGTTTGGCTGAAAATTGCATTATGAATATATGCAATACTCATTAAGTGGAGCCCGGAGATTGGAGCATATTACTATGATCTAATGTTAACTGAAGGGGCTGCCTATTTACTTCTGGGTTCAGTTTAAAGTGCTGGTTCTAGCCTTTAACCAAATGATTTGCTGGGACCTAGTTTTTTTTGTGTGTGTTTTTAAACAAAATTTATATACCACTTGATTGTAGTAAAACCTCTAAGTGGCTTACAAGAAATATTAAAATTATCAGCAAAAAACTGTTAAAAACAATTAAGAATATTTTAAAATAAGTAAATGTAACAAAGAAAGTTTAATTGTTGGTTATCTCAGGAACTGCCTACACCTGTGAGCCTCTCTTTTAAGATTTCTGAAATATCTTTAAAACCAACAACCCTGTCAAATTTGCCACTTCTTAATTACGTGTTTCCACTTCTCTATAGTGTGTAGTGAAACATAGCTGTGTTTCCATATCTTCACATTGTTTATTTCCCTGCCCACATCCCACCAGAAGCAATCAACAGTGTGAAGGAGGCATGGGGAAATGCAAGGTGTGATTACACCAGGACATTGGAGAGGGGAACTTGACATGTGGTTGGCACACTCAGACTTGTGTTTATTGAAGACTACTCAGCCCCACTCAGGGCAGATTTTAATCTGCAGCACTTGCCAGCTAATCAGTTAAAGCTTGATGCTTTTATTTGAGGGGTGGCAGAATTACTAGTCCCTATCTCTTTTTTTGAAGACTAGTATCCGGAATATGCAGGACCCAGTGAAATTGAGTTAGAATCAGTTTTCAGATAATTGCATCCTCCCTGCAGGTCTCCTCAAGGAAGTCTATGCAAGGACCCTGGACCCGCCGGAGAGAATTTTATGGGTTTGCAGGGAGGAGGAAAGGAAAGAGCATTCCACTTGCACAGCCATTGGATATTATACAGTATATTTTGCAGTATACATTGCAGAGTGGTTTGGGATAGATAGAGGGCTTATTCAGCAAATGGAACCACCAACTGAAACAGTCAAATTTTTAAATGATCATTCAGCAAGGAAGAGTGCATTTTAAAAGGTTATTAGATGGCACTCTCCCAGCACTTTTTGGCAAGTTTCATAATCTTTTGGACAATATAAAGGCTTAGGGAGATCAATTGACCTAGGACTTTACTTGATTCCCCTCATTTTCAGGTCAGACAGAATTATTTCTTTGGACTATTGGTCATAGCTGTATTTCCATACATTTTTGGCCAGATTCAGTAAACAGTTGCACTAACAGGAGCCCACAGGAGCCTTTCAAGTGCAAAGGGACTTCTCTCTTCTCTCCATGCACCCACTCAGAATGGCTGTAGGGGGAGGACTTCCGGGTTAGCGCCATCGCCGAATGGCGGACTCCCTCCGAGCTCCGGAGGGAGTCTGCTCGGCAGGGGCTGGGTCCTACCGCGCCGGCGACGCGGGGACCCTTAAAAACCACGGGCACGGAGTCCGTGGACATGGGTGACTCGGCTTGCACCATTAGCGCCCTCCCGACTCGTGAAGGAGCCTTTTAAAGGCTTCGGATCGGGTGCCGGGGAGTGGCGTGGTGCTTTGAGTCCACTGCTTTCCCTGCCGAGCGCAGCCGCATGCCATTCGACGGAGAGCGCTGACTTCTTCTATTGAAAATTTGGACTATTAACAACAACCCGTGAGTAATTGGGAAACCGGGTTCAAAATTTTGGATTTGGCACGAGCGGGGCGATTTAAAAGGAAGTCAATCCCCCCCCCTATTGTAAGCATTCCAAAACAAGGACTGGGTAACCAAGGTCCAAAGGGAAGTATGTCTCTGATAAAAATCATTAATTTCACGATGGGAAATTATAAGAAATGTGCTGGAGGAGAAGAGTGGAGGGTGAGAAGAAAATGCAACCCCCCTGGGAACCGGGGCGATTCGTGGAGCCTGGTGAAGAGAGACGGAGACTTTGACAGCTGTCAAAGTGGCTGTCAAAGCTGGAGAATATAAAGAGGACTTTGTTATGAGGACCTTGCTGGTTAATTTTGTTACAATTTGCTATAATATGGATATAAACTGTTGGAAAATAAGCAACAATTTGACTTTTGGATTAGAGGATACAAAGTTATTACAATCCCCTAGAGGGGTTTCGGGATACTACAAGAACGGTCGTAAGTGGAAAAATACCCTGGGATTCGCACAGGATTTGTTATCTTCTGGGAAAGCTGCAAAACTGAAAGAGTATTTTGTCTACAGAGGAAGACAATGGAATTTTTTATTGAAGAAAGGAAGGGACTGGACGTAAGTTTTTGTTCCTGAATAACAAACCTCTGCAGAGACACTAGATTTCTGAATTAGAAAGTTTTAGCAGCTGAACAGGACAAGAAACCTGAGAAAGTGAGGAATAAGAAGAATAAAGGACTGATTACGACACGGAAAGAACAACGGGAGGAGTGGTAAAGATCAAGGAAATTAAAGGCCTTTGTTAGATTGGATATTTGAAGTCAAATATTATTTAAATTAATAAACTAAAAGAAAACCGGCAAGATGGAATCGGGGAGAAATCTGGTCATGAAATGAGACTTCCAAGCTGATAATGTATAGACTGATGGACATGGGGAATTCAAACCGGGAAGGGGGGAGATTTGAAATCCAAAGGCTGTGTAACCATTTTTTGAATTTTTCTATATCTCTTATTTTCTATTTCTTTACATAACTTACGCATGTTATTTTACTTTGATCGGACGTGTTTAAAAAAAAGGAATTTGTGGAAGGAACTGGGGTGGATCTTGGGGAAAATCTTTTTCTTTTTCTGTTAATGATGTGGGACGGTGGTAAGATTTGTACAATTCAATCTGGATAGTGGGTTAAACAAATTAAGCTTTAAATTGGGAGTGAGAGCTTGTAGAACCAAATTAAGGAAAGGGGAATACAATTGGGGGAGGGGGAGTCCCAGAAAGTAGGGAATGAAAGTAAGGTTTTTAAATATCTTCTTTCTTTTGCCTTTTTTCTCTGTATTTTTATATTTTTGGAAACTTTAATAAATATGATTTAAAAAAAAAAAACAGAATGGCTGTAGGGGGTTGAGAGAGCCCCCAGAACAGTGTGCAGGGGAGGAGAGGGAAGATTGCTCCATCTGGCAAGCGGAAATGAAATAATTGTAATAGCACAACATTGAATTTCACCATCAAAATTAATATTTCTTGTTTTTAGGTAGTTTTTAATCAACAGAGCTCTTATGATTTTAGCCCACTATAGAAATTGAAGGTGTAGCTTTTAATGTGATTCAGTAACAGGAAGACCAACATGCTACTATAGCAGACCTATTTGCTATAGTGGAAGAGAATTCCTGATGCCCAACAGGACTTTTCCTTGCTGTTCTTTCCACTGGCAATGCATGCATACACTTAAAATCTTCTCTTGATGATTGGAGGAGCCTTATTTGGTGGGCAGCAGAGGGGAAAGAGGGAAGGAAAGTCCTATTGTGTGAGTAGAATTCCATTCAGACATCATCAAATGCAATCTGTTTCTTTTTGCATCCAAAATAAATTTGTCTGCTCCACTTTAAGTCTGGAGAATAGAATGTTATCTTTCATTTTTCATGATTCAGAAAACAAAATGCACAAATAACAATAAAATGTAAACTCTTTGACCACATTACAACCTATATCTGTTCCTTGAATTTTTCAAATATAATTCATACTGGGGAGGGCTTGGGCTTGTTCTGCCTTCTGGCAGGGGAAACAAAACAAAGGGAGGTGGAAAATGCTGGTGTCAGAAGATTACCGTATTTTTTGTGTATAAGATTCCCCCATGTATAAGACACCCCCTACTTTTGAGGACACCAGATTTATAAAATGGGCATATGCACTATCCGTGTACAAGACACCCCCATATTTTTAACCTTATTTTAAAGTAAAAAAATCCTAGTCTTATACATGGAAAAGTACAATATGTGCCTATAATCAGTATTTTTGTTTAATTCCTGGGTCATTACATTCATTGGTAGAAACAATAAACAATTCAGTGCTCACTTGACAATGGGCTATTAGTCCCCCCCCCCAAAAAAAAAATTGCCTGATGGATGGCTGCAAGCCAGTTAAGTGCATTAACAGCAACCAGCAATGAATCTCCTATTTCCAGTGCAAGCCAGAGGCGTAGCGGGGGGCGGGGCAGGGCACACTGGGCACCACACCATGAGGGCGGCACTTAGTGTGAGGCCCACGCATCTCTCCTAGGAGTGACGTGGTGGCTCAGGCGCCTGCAGGCTCTGTGCTACTCAAAATGGCAGCCGTCTTACAGCTGAGGGGAAGATGGCGGGTGGACTCCTTGGAGGCTCTGTGCAGCGCACTCTGCCCTGGCTCACCCCACCCCCATGGGTGGCTTGTCCCGGGTGCAGGAGCTGCTAGCTACACCACTAGTGGAAGCTTCTAAATTGTTAAAGCAAGTGTGAAACTATGAAAAACAAATAATGCTGAAATAAGTTTTTGTTTTTAAAATGCAGTCCTCTGTAGCCATTATGGCAACATCATCTGAAGAAGTGTTACTAATAGTAAAGAAGGTGCGTCAAAAGAAGCAAGACGGAGCTCTTTACCTCATGGCTGAAAGAATAGCCTGGGCTCCTGAGGGCAAAGACCGATTCACAATCAGCCATATGTACGCAGATATAAAATGTAAGTGAAACACCTAACACTTGTTTCATCATGTAACGTTTGGTTGAATATAAATGTTAAATGCTTAGCTGTTCTGTTTGAAGAGTTCAGGATGGGGGCTAAATAAACAAACCTCCCTAAACATGTTTAAGTCATCATGCTCATTGGATATTGCATTGTGGTTTTAGTTTTGAAAAAATAAGACTTGCAGAACTCTACCTGTTTCTCCACAGCAACCTTATGTGGAGATATTATTTTCTTGGAACCTGCCAACTTTTGCTGCACTGGCTAGCATTACTGTGTTACAGAACTGCTCCTTACTGTTTGCGAGTCTTTTGCTTTCAGAAATGAATTGTCTTTATTGGGAGAAAACCTGTAGGTCTTCCGAGTGATAAGTGGAATAACATAAATATGGGGAGATGCTGTGATTTATTAAGAAGAGTTTGTGGCTTGTACATAGGAAGGATTTGAGCAGTGGTTTTCAACCAGTGTGCCATGGCACCCTGGGGTGCCTTGAATGATGGTCAGGCGTGTTGCAGGCAACACTAGCCTCTGTCCCTCTTTCCTTCCCTCCCTCCTCTGATGCCCTCTTGTGTCTCTGCCTCCCAAAGGCTTGCGCAGCTGTTTGTTGCAGCAGCCCTAGCTATAAGCTCTGGAGGCGAGTGGTGCCTCTGGGAGACACCTCTCTGGAGCAGCGGGGCGGGGGGCGGAGCTCAGAAACCAGGGACAGCAACTTACCGGAGGACTCCCAAGGAGAGGGAAGAGGAGGCTGAGGGAACACTCCACAAGGGAGGGTGTTTGAAAAAGGGTGAGAGGCTGCCAGCTCTGTGAAAGGGGTGACATAACTGGACTCCTGAGCCCCACAGGGGTGCCACAGAAAGACTGTAGTTGGTTAAGGGAGCCGTGGACTCAAAAAGGTTGAAAACCTCTGGATTAGAGCATGAGCCCCAGGCTGTCCTCTAAAGGGATTAGGATAACAGTGCAGTGAGAGACATCTGTCCATTGAGTGTCAGTCAGGCCTCATTGCTGTTTATGTGAATGGTTGCTGTAAATAGATATTGAATAGAATTGTATGTGCCACTCTTCTGTTTTCATCAGTGTTCCAGGTGGCATTAGAAAAGTCATACAAGCTGAAAATCTATTGTTGTGCACATAGAAATTATTTGGGGAGCACTTCTGTTATGTAATTTATATTCTTTAGGCCAGAAAATCAGTCCTGAAGGAAAAGCTAAGATTCAGCTTCAGTTGGTACTACATGCAGGGGACACAACCAACTTCCATTTCTCTAATGAGAGCACAGCAGTGAAAGAGAGAGATGCAGTAAAGGATCTCCTTCAGCAGTTACTGCCCAAGTTCAAGAGGAAAGCTAATAAAGAACTTGAGGAAAAAAACAGGTAAAGAATGTCCCTGTGTCTTTTACTTACAGTGTAAACCAATTTTGGTAATTTGTTAAACTGTCTTGTAATTGTGCCAGATCCATTATGGCTAAGGTATTGGGAGCTCCTGTCCCTAATTGTAACAGTAGCCTGGCTTGATTTCCAGGTGCATAGATGTTGTGCGAGTGGAGTGAGGAATCAGTTTTCAGTGATCCACACCTCCCCAGTCTGTCCTGTTGGGTCTTCCAGTCCTCTGTCACGAATTTGGAAGAGGGGTGCAGGACACTGCATGAGACAGTAGGATCACAAAAAAACTGCTTCACTTCCTGTTCTATTAGATAATATTTTATATAATTATTTCATATAATGTTGGTTTCGAATTGACATACCTTGATTTAAAAAAATTAATTGTATGTATAGTAATTTTCATGTTTCATGAACTTACCACTTTTGTAAATCAAAATTTGAGTATCAAAACACCACAGCTGCCATTTACTTGTATGTAGCTTGCACATAAACACTAGCTTCTGGAATCCAGTAAGTTATCTTTGGAATTAAACACTTTGAACAATTTTTAATCTTCTCTTGCCAGAATGCTGCAAGAAGATCCTGTTTTGTTTCAACTTTATAAAGACCTTGTTGTGAGTCAGGTGATCAGTGCTGAGGAGTTCTGGGCCAACCGTTTAAGCATGAATTCTGTGGACAGTTCTACTGCATCTAATAAGCAGGATGTGGGCATTTCTGCAGCTTTTCTGGTATGTTTATTGAGGGTTTCTTAATCTAAAAATATTTTTAGCCTTCTTTTAAGGGTAAAAGTTCTCTCAGGGTGACTTACAAGATGAAAGCATACAACAAAACACAATAAAATAGAGTAAGCGAGAAAAGAGCCCATTTTTAAAAAATAAAAAGAATAACATAGAAATAAAACCGTCAGAACCTCAACAAGAGCAGTTCAAGGGAAGACCAAGGGAAACAGGTGTGCTTTCAGAGCTTTCCAATAGACCTGTCGCAACAAGGCCTGCTGGAATCCAGATGATATGGTATTCTCAAATCTGCTGTCTAGTGGTTGCCAGTCTTAACTGCTCTCACAGTTGGGCAGGTAAAAACAGCCTGCATTGTGCAAGCAGGCTGATATGGATGCAGGCCGTTCTTCAAGTAACTTGGACTGTTCTTTTAAGGTCACAAGGGCTGGGGTTTTTTAAGTCACAGTGCCATTTTTTCCAGGCTCAATTCAAGATGCTGGGCTTGTTCTTTAAAGCCTTGAAGAGCCTGGAACTGGAGTGCTTGAAGGTCTGCCTTCTTTGGCATGAACATACCCATTAATTAAAATATTCTCTGAAGGCCCTTTTCCAGTATACCTGCCTTCATAGATTAGACAAATGGGTCATCAAGGAGAGGGTCTTTTCTCTGGTTCCACCTAAGCTTTGGAACTTCTAAAGGCATGTTAGCTTAGCACATTTTTGGAAACTTTCAGGCACTGGGCTAAGTCTGTCCTGTTCTCTTGGGCTTTTGACAATTCAATGATCCTGTCCACATATGTTAAACCAGGGGTGCCCAAACTTTTCAAAGAGGGCCAGATTTGATGAAGTGAACATGCGTGAGGGCCAACCAAGTTGTTGACCTTTTTTAAGGATTGAAGTTGTTGAGCTTTTTTCACAATTTTACCCCAAAGTTGTTGAGCTTTGGGATAGAAGCTGCAACCTTGGTGTTATCAGCACTACCCCTCTAACCAACTCAGCTATCCAGGTCCTCACTGGACCCTAAAAGAAACAATAATGCACAGAATTAAAACAGCACCATGTCTGTTTATAGCAACAAAATGCACAGATGAGAAAAACTGGCTATAGACACATTACATGAGAGGCACACATTGGCTTATGCACACAAAATAATTCTGTATGTTTCCAACTGCAAATTTCTCAGGAGGGGAGAAGAGAGAAATGAGTAGACATTTCCCCCATTTTCAGAAATACCGTATTTTTCGCCCTATAGGACGCACTTTTTCCCCTCCAAAAATGAAGGGGAAATGTGTGTGCGTCCTATGGGGCGAATGCAGGCTTTCGCTGAAGCCTGGAGAGCGAGAGGGGTCGGTGCGCACTGACTCCTCTCACTCTCCAGGCTTCAGGAAGCTATCCGCAAGCCGTGGGAGCCCGCAGGAGTTCCCCCGTGCTCCCACAGCTTGGGCAGAGCTGCCTGCACCCCGAAGCCCCGGCGCACTGAGCCCCCAGAATCCAACCTCAGGTGCAATTCTCTACCAGCCCCTCATAACTTCTCTTCGTCCCATAGATTTTGCCCCCCAATCCCGGTTTTTAAAAGAGTGAGTGAGCAGTCCTCGATTCTACTCCCACAGGCACCCTTCTTCCCCAACCATCCCTTTTTTCCTGCGCTCCCCCCAGTCCACTTCCCAAAGGTTGCCACCTTTTCCTTGGCGCCTGCTCTGCACCCTTTTAACAGCACGAAATCCAGCAGGGTGCCATTCTCCCTATTCCTTCGATTGCTGGATTTCTGCTTACACCTCTTGCCAAGGGGGAGGGAAAGAAGGAGTGGCAACCCTGAACTTGCCTTGGATCCTTCACCCCCCCCAACCCCTCACTAGACACACAGCTCTCTTCTCCAGATCACCTGCTTTAAAGTCTCTGTTCCTCTCTACGCCAACCTGCTCTGCCTCATATTTTGGTGTCAACCCACCTGCAAAAACCCCTCACCTCCAAGCTTGTAAAAAGGCAAGCAAGACCCATCACCACCATCGCCTGTGGGCTGCTCTTTAGTGTGAGCAAGTCTCTCACTTCCTGGCTCCTCCAGACGTCCCCCCCCCCTTAAAGTGATTGAAGGCTCTTTCTTTCTTTCTTTCTTTCTTTCTTTCTTTCTTTCTTCTCTTTCTCTCTCTCTCTCTTTCTTTCCCTCCCCTCTCTCTCGGGCACCGCGCCCTCCTCCCAACCCTGCCGCACTTCCTCAGCGAGGAGAACCACAGAATTGTAGTCAGACGGGACCCCCCCAAAGGTCCTTTAGTTCAACCCCCCTGCGATGCAGCAATCTCCACTGAAGCATCCACGGTAGAAGTCCCCCCTCGGCCTCTCCCACGTCCCGCCACGCGTCCATCCACCGGCCGCTCCACGGCTCCTCCCGCAGGGCCAGAAATGCTCCGAGGGCGCAGCCATCCCTCTCCTACCCTTTTCCCACCCGCCCCGTAGTAAGCAAACTGGGGCTGGGTCACACACTGCCCCCAGGGTCGGTCCTCCTGCAACCCCTTCCCCACCCACCCGCGTTTCAATTCCCTCCGAGCCGCAGCAGGACTCCGGAGCTGCTGGACGAGGAGCTCGGCACAAGTGGATGGAAGTCCCAGGGAGCAGCTCCGTCGCCTCCGCTCCCCTCTCTCCTACTGCCGGAGCGGAGCCGCGGCCCCGGAGCCCCAGGCGCTCCCAGCCCCGCCCCCCGGCGCTCATTGGTCCGAGGAGGCCCCCGTGGGCGGAGACTGGCAAGCCGGTATTAAAAATCACATGGGCAGCGCTCAAAAGAGAGGCAGTAGCGAGAGAAAAAAGCGAGAATAGAAGGTGAAGGCTGGCAGCCGGTGGCGGCTACACGGGCCACATGACGAGGTCTGGCGGGCCGGATTCAGCCCGCGGACCTTGTGTTTGACACCCGTGTGTTAAACCATAGTTTAAAACAAACAATAGTGCATGCTGCTCAACAGTTTCCAGAGCACTCCTGCTGAACCATAAATGAAACAAGCCAGAGTCTCACTTGTCATGTTCCCTGAACCCAGGCCTGTGGTTTGTTTCCTCCAAACAAGCTACCATGATGTATAGCCACTCATATTCCTTGAGCCCTCTTTTTTCATATATGCTGATCTAGGAAGTATTAAACACCACAATTGCGTCCAGGTGTGTATGTTATCTGCATGGGAGTATAGAAATAAGCCTTGGGCTCATGCCCCCTCTCTCTCATTATGCTCGAATCTGTAATCAGGACTGAGGCTTACACACGTAGGTACTAACTAGCTGTTTCTCATTATAGGTTAAGTATTGGACATAAGGATGTGTACAAGCCATTATGACACATAGTATTGACATAGTTCGTTGGTGCCATTTAACAATGATTTGCAAAAGTTCAAATAAATTATTGTCAGTATTTATCTTCTTGTAGGCTGATGTTCGACCTCAGACAGATGGATGCAATGGTCTGAGATATAATTTGACTTCAGATATCATTGAATCTATATTTAGAACTTACCCTGCAGGTAAATAATATATTCAAAACTGAGCTTATATATACATATGTAGCGTCCCTGGTATCTATATCAGTTTTTTCTGACTTTTCAATTCACGTATCGACTTCCATATATTTTCTCTTTCATTTTAAACTTTTAAACCATAAAAGGTTGGTGTTTTCAGCCTTGCATCTTTGTCCTGTGGGATGTTAAATGATATTAATTGATTTTACATTTAAACTGTAATGATCTGTCCTTATGGAACCTCTGCTTCTCCAAGGTAACCTAGGATTCCCCATTGTGTGAACTTTATAAATTGTATGCATAACCTAAATTAATGGTTACATCTGATTCACATGAATGGACTTTGTTTCTCTCCACGCTATACTGTCTTTACTTCCCCTCTAAGCTGCAGAAGAGATTAGTTGATGGGTTGCAAAAGTATTTTATTTATTGTGATCACTTCTTCCTCTTGTATTTCCCAGACTGGAAGTGACTTGGAAAGACTTAGAAGGGAAGGGAATTGGTGGCACAGGAGTACCACAGGGATAATTTCCATTTGGAAATTTCTTGAAAGGAGCCAGAAAATTGAATGAAAACAGAATGAAAGTTCCTCCACCTGTTGCTCACTCCCACTCTACTTAAATGTTAGTTATCTGAAACAGCTAAGAGGAAGATAGACCTGGCCTCAGGCAGGCCCCTTGCTTTGAAATGTAGAAGAGGAAAGATCTGGCCCTTCACCTCCCATTTGAAAATGGCTCACATCAAACAGCATATATCAACCATTTGCTAGAAAGATTAATAGACTACTCGTTTTTCCTGAGAACACTGCCTGATGACAGATCAGCAGTTAAATTCCATTTATTTGTGTTGTAAACAAGGCCAATGTCAATTTAAATTACACATATTTAAGCACATATATAAATAGCATGATATAGTAGTTCCCAAAAGGTGGCTTGAGTCCACCAGTTGGTGTCTTGAACCTTGCAGTTGGTTACAAGCTTGCCATCAATGGCAGATATGGGGGTGGGAGCATGCAAAGAGTTTGGAGTGGTTTCTCTCCTCCCCCCCCCCCCCACTTCCTGGTCAAGGATCATGCAAGTTCTGAACAAAAATAAAATCCTGTTTGTGTGTCCTGTTAACAGAATGTTTGGAAACAATTGAATGAATCTTCTTCCATTCCTATTCAATGTTACTTTTTCATTGCATGTTGAACTATATGTTTGCTGTTATGATACACTGTAAATCATCCTGTAATCCGATACAATGAGAAATATAAATACATTGTAAATTATTTAATTTGAAAATAAAGTATCATTTCTAAGTGTTTTATGTTTGTCATGCTTGCAGTAAAACTGAAATACGCAGAAAATGTTCCTCACAATATGACAGAGAAAGAATTCTGGACACGATTCTTCCAGTCTCACTATTTCCACAGGGATAGGCTGAATGCAGGATCAAAAGACCTTTTTGCAGAATGTGCCAAAATGGATGAAAAGGGTATGTTCTGATTTCTTCGCCTGTAGACAATACACTGCAGTTTCTAGCCAAGTTTGTCAGCTTCAGTAATTATACCAAATAACATAGAAATCATATCTGGTAAATACTATACTCAAGAGTAGGAAACTAGAGTACTATACTTAACTATTATAATATTTTAAAAGTTTTCAGCTTGTGATATTGAACTTTTAAAGCAGTTCACTCAGCAATAAGTCCTATTGACTAACATTCCAAGATGGTAGGATTCCACCACCATGTTTGAAAGGTGGATACTTCTTTGCTTACCTTTTTCATGTTTTATTCATATTATTTTTAGAATTATTGCACATATATGCTAGAAACAAAGGTAACCCATACCAGCAAATCCAACAAAGTTTTCTTTGGAGATCCCCAAAAGTACACTATGAAAGCCTGTATTCTCATCCATACACTAAGACTTATAACAGTATGCATATGTAAAACATGTTCTTACTAAGTGAACCACAAGTTAATAAGGTAGACACTTTTTTTCTTCTATTTTTCCCATTGATGATTTTGTCTATGAAGGAAGGGGTGGAAATGACTCTGCCACAATACTTGCAAAGCTAATTGAAAACACATCAGTAATTTGCTCACATAGGGTTGTATCCAGCTCCCCGGAGCACATTGATTAAATTTTTCAATAGTTGGTTCTGATATGGCATCCTGTATTATAAATTCTCACAATTGAGTCCTTGAGTGTATTTTGAGGGTGCATGGGAGAGGAGAGGGATGTTTCATTGAGCAAGCTGCAGTCTGTTGCACAAGTGGGACAGCAGTGAGGAACCACATGTTAAAGAAAAGTGGGTGCTTATTGAAAAGTAGTACGTAGGTATCTATCCCATAAAGTCACTACAGTCATAATTGTGGCTTCTGATTGGCTGCAGGAAGCTCCTGCAGCCAATCAGAAGCTGCGGAAGCCCCGTCAGACGTTCGGGTTCCAAAAGAACATTCACTTTCGGGTTTGCGGCATTCAGGAGCAAAAATGTCAGAGTTCCAGGGCTTTTGGGATCCAAGGTACAACTGTATATGTATAACACAGAAAAACATATTTGTTTGGTTCACATGTAATGCTAAGGTGTGATTCAAGCAAAGCATCTGGCTTGCACTTTCTCCCTCCCTTCTCCCAGCTATTCAGTTAGGAGAACTTTATAACAACGTTTCATTGCTAAATGAGCTAGCTTCAGACCGTGACTTATGAAGGTGGCTCACGTTAACAAATGCTGGTTGTAAGCCATGGTGCCTAGCCTATATGCAAAGCTAAAAGCTCGAGCCTTCCCAGCTGTTTGGGAGTGGGTAAATCACACACATCTGTTAAGTGCTAAATCGTGTTTCTTTTTGTAGGCTGCTTGCCCCACTTGCTAAGCTTAGATTGCACTGTTAGGCTGAAAGACCTATTTCAGTATGGCATATCATCCTCCAAGTATATATGGATTTTCCCTCTTTCCCCTAGGATTAAAAACAATGGTGTCTCAAGGTGTGAAAAATCCTTTATTAGATTTAACAGCCTTGGAAGATAAAACGTTGGAGGAAGTAAGTATGAGTGATTTAAAACTATGAATTGTATAATATGTATGCCAAGTAAGCATAGGGTATTGGCTCTCAGGACTCTGGGCTATACCGCTTCCATAGCCATGTCCCTCACCAGCCCTTCTTCACACCATCCATTCGTGTACTTATGTGGCTGGAGTGTGTCCTTGAATTCTGATAATGCCTCTTGCTTGCCTGAAGGACACTACTAGTACATTGCCAGGTTCCATAATTTAGCTTGCCATGACAAGTATACTGCTGCCATTTGGCAAGTATGACAGACCCGCCTTCCCTCTCAGTGGGGATCATTGCCTTATTGGCTCTTGCCAAGAAATCAGTTACTAGTTTCAGAAAGTCTATTTGCCATTGGGCAATAATTATTTGGCACTAGTAGCATGGTGCATCTCTTGCAAAAGCTGTCTTAATTATGTTCTTGTTGAGATCCGGATAAGAGATTTAAAGATTGGGATACCAACTCTTACAGTGTCACAACCTGCACTGGACCACGCTGCAATGCCAATAGTTCAGCATCTGATTTCAGATCTTCATATTTTAAAATGCAGGATGTCTTATTCAAACATTTTATCATCTCTTCCTTTGCAGGGTTATGGTGTTTCCTTGGCGGCTTCCACATCCAGCGCTACAAAATCAATAAAAGAGAGTAGCAATGCTGCCATTATAAAACGGTTTAACCATCACAGTGCCATGGTCCTTGCAGCTGGGCTCAGAAAACAGTAAGTTTCAGCTAAGAACAGATCTTCAACTAGACTGAAAATCAGCCAAGTCTATACTGTCAAATAGCCCAGCTCTATTTGTGCTGATGTTTAATAATAGAAATCAAAATTAAACTGTCAAACCATGCCCTTTATAGGTCTGCTCAGATTGGCTCTGACGTCGGGTCTCTCTCAGGCAGTTTTTATTAACTTACTTATTGGGTGCATGTATTGTCCATCGAACCAAAAGTCCCAGGATGGGCACATCACTAAAACTGTCTTCTATCAAAGGAAGTGTACATGGGGCTAGAGGCTGCTGCCCAAAGGAAACTGTCTTCTCCTTACCCCTGACACATTGCACTTGCATAAATGCTTTTTGCTTGTGCATAGAGATGAGGGATTGAATCCTGACCATTGTACAGATCTAACTAAATTTGAGTAGTTTGAGAGAATACAGTATAATGCCTAATTCTTGCTTTTCAGAGACACACAGAATGACCACTACAATGAGGCCAGCAGTATGGATGGAAATTCCAGAGATTCAGATTTCTTTCAGCCACCGGTAAAAAAGGTAAGACTGTCTTTGTTATTCTAAAAGAACACAAATGTTCTCCCTTATGGGACTATGCCAAGTTATGCTTCTTGTGTCTAGTTCTACGGTACCATGACTATGCCTTGTCTTACAGGTAAAGCTGCAAGAGTCCATTGAATATGAAGATTTAGAAAACAACAACAGTGTTAGAACTATTGCACTAAACCTAAAGAAATCAGATAGGTATGATTTGCAGGCCAAATAAAGTAGTTTGGTTCTTTTGGTTCAATACAAAAAACATTGAACCTGTTCGCCTCTTTTCTGTACGTCATGCTTTCAACGAGAAAGAAGCATGCTTATATACACATTACCTTCAATTATGTTTTTTATAAAAAGAAATAAAAGAGAATCTTGCCCTCGGGCTTACAGTTTAACAGACAGCAGCAGAAAAAGGGGAAGGAAGGGCTGGCAAATCTGAAGATACCCCAGAACACTGTGAAAAACATGAAAATAATTCCAAATATTACATTCTGCTTTTGCAAGAGCTTTATATAAGCAGAAGTGAAATAGTGGCTGTAAAATGTTACCACACAGTTCTGCAGAAACTCTTGTATATGCTCTTGTACATGCATTTGCAAAATACTTACCACTGTTTTCTTTCCACTTAACAGTCATTGTCGAATCTAGCACTTAGGCCTAAATCCAACATAGAGAAGCATTTTTTCACACATTAATTTCAATGGGCTTAAGCAGTGTTTCCCAAGCTTTGGTCTCCAACTGTTTTTCATCTGCAACTCCCACCATCCCTCACTAGCAGGACCTGTGGTCAGGGATGATGGGAATTGTAGTCCCAAAACAGTTGGAGACCCAAGTTTTGGGAAACACGGGGGTTTAAACAAAGTCTAAGTCTTTGTTGGTTTTAGGCTATAATCTTTTTCACTTGTTAAGATAATTAGGTGGGTTAGAAGTGGTTGCAATATTTTATTGGCCCATGTGTTCCTCACTTTACCACTTTTCTGGTTGTTTTTGTTTTGTATTTTCTGAAAAATTGACTTAATTGGTTATCCAGCTTAATCAGACACAATCACTTAGGTTCCCTTGCAGTAGAAGATTTCCTTTTCTGGAAAATCAATATGCATTTTAAGAAAACAAATTTTTCATTTCGAGCAGAACAAAAGGTGCTACAAAGGTACCTACAGAGTGGGGTTGAACACTGAGAAATTGGACTCTTATTCCCAGATTTTTAATTATCATTTCTCCTTTGGTCAACAGGTATTATCATGGTCCAACACCAATTCAATCACAGCAATATGCAACTAGCCAAGATATTATTAATTCTTTGTATAGTATTAGAGAAGAAATGGACACTTATGTACCCAAACTAACTCAGGTAGGATATGTATGTTGCTTTATTAAATAAAACAAAACACCCAAACTGGATTCTGATTGCCCATATGATTAGAAGATTGGATATTGATTGATGCTGCCCAGCATACATAATCTTGGGAGAGCAAATGTTATGTTTCTTTGGATATTGTAAAATAGTTTGAGAACTATTTTTAACAAGCACAGAATATTCAGCTTCAATGTGTTACGTTTTTTAACTGATAGTTGTCATGATTTGCATAATTGCATCAGCTATAATGAAGTCTACTGCAGTCTTGCAAATAGTGAAAGCTACATGTGTAACCCTTTTTATTATTCATATTGCACCATTATTGTGCATGGTGCTTTACAGAAAACAATTGGTCAGGTACCTGCTGTGGTGAGATTACAATATAAAAAAAAACCAAATGCAGGAGAACGGTTGAGGAAGGGGAGAGAATAGAAAGCAGAGGTAAATGGGGAGAGAATGTGTGATTATTTCAGCTGTATATACAGTGGTACCTCAGGATTCCGGAGCGCCGTTCACATCCTGAATAGAACATAAGACGTGACTGCGCATACGCGGGTCGCGTTTTGCCACTTCTGTGCATGCGCGTGACGTCATTTTGAGCGTCTGCGCATGCGCGAGCGGTGAAACCCGAAAGTAACGAGCTCCGTTACTTCCTGGTTGCCGCGGAGCGCAACCCGAAAGCACTCAACCTGAAGCACATTCAACCCGAGGTATGACTGTACAGTGGTGCCTCGCAAGACGAAATTAATCCGTTCCGCGAGAGTCTTCGTCTAGCGGTTTTTTCGTCTTGCGAAGCAACCCTATTAGCGGCTTAACGGATTAGCGCTATTAGCGGTTTAGCGGCTATTAAAGGCTTAAAGGCTTAGCGGATTAGCTGCTAAAAGGCTATTAAAGGCTATTAAAGGCTTAGCAGATTAGATAAAGGGGGAAGCGAAAAAATCTCTAGACTCGCAAGACATTTTCGTCTTGCGAAGCAAGCCCATAGGGAAATTCGTCCTGCGAAGCAACTCAAAAACGGAAAACCCTTACGTCTAGCGGGTTTTCCGTCTTGCGAGGCATTCGTCTTGCGGGGCACCACTGTACTTAGTTACAGTCTGGCATGGAACCCTGTTAAGCTATCAGTTTTTGCAAGTGGTTCTTCCATGTGAATGCTTCCCAACCACCAACAGTTCTTGCTTGTTCACTACAGCCCTCTACTGTAAGTCTACAGAGTTGTAACATGTAAGGTATTAAATCACTTCTAGGATAAACTCAGGCCTCTGTTGGAGAGGATTAAATGTGGGGCATCCACAGAAAATATATATGGGTGGATTCAGCTTGGTTGTTTCATGCATGGAACAAGGTTTGCTTGTGAAATGGGACTTTGCCCCCACCCCATACACTTCCTAAATCAACTTTGGATGGTTGACGGCAAAGTCCCATCGCGTGAGTGGCCTTGTTCTCCATGCACATACCCCACTTACCACTATGCTGAATTCCACTCTCTGTTCAGAAGGCCTTTGGAGGACACTTAGTATTGTTTCGTTCACTCAAATAATCAATACTGTATTGGGATATATGAAGAAGACAGTCTTTTGAGTTTAAAGGAACCAGGCCATTTTGATCCATGATTGCATAACCTAACTGCCTTAGCACATTAACTGCTCAGTTATGAAACATCATAGTGCTTTGCTCGTTCATTCATTTGCTTTTTTTTTTTGAGCTCTCCGTCTGTACACCTTGCAGTTGAGCAGCAGGAAGTGAAAACGTGCCTCTTCTTGTACTGCACTTTCAAACATTAGATGTGAACAGATTGTTCTTGCTGTTGGTTTGGTGTTTTTTCTCCCTTATTCTGACAGCCAGCTTGATTTTTCTGCTTCTGCTATTAGGCTAAAGTATGTAAAGCACTTTAAGAATGGTTATGGCTGAGTTATATAAATATAATAAATATCCACTTGGGGTATAACAAGAATTGTCATTCTTAATATAACCCCAAATAATAATTGTACTTTAGAACAAAATTAATATGGCATATAACTATATGGTTACGCCCATATGACTCAAGTAATATCCATAGGTTTTGAGGAGTTCTTTTATTATGGTGTCTGACCTTTATTTTGCCTCTTTTTCAAGGTTATCTCAAGTGGTGCTGCAAGTAGTACGATCGCAGCTCTGTCACCTGGAGGAGCACTTATGCAGGGTGGAACACAGCAAGCCATAAATCGTAAGTATTTTATGTCTTCGTCACTCATGCCTTATCAAATGTGTGAAATAGTCATGTAAGCATTATAGGACAATTCTTTTAGCTAAGGTGAAGAGATTGAAAATATCTGACTAGTTGTACAACCCTGGCTGTGGCAAGAGTTCTTTTTCCACCCAACTCAGGCCAGTTGAATAGTTTTCAGTGAGGGACAGTGGACCGGCCCCCTGCTGAAAAAGTTTGCTGACCCCTGGCCTAGTCCTTAACTGTGTGGGATCCTCTAATGATGCTAATATCAAAAACACAATTTTCTGCCCACTGCCAACTATCACAGTTTGTGAGCCGAGGTGGTGGTATAAATGTGACTTGCCTTCATTGTTTTTGACTGCAGAGATGGTGCCAAATGATGTTCAGGCTGAGCTGAAACACTTGTATGTGGCACTAGGAGAGCTGTTGCGACATTTTTGGTCCTGCTTTCCGGTTAACACACCATTCCTAGAAGAGAAGGTAGGAAGGATCTATAGTAGGACTTGGCATATCCCTATCATCATTGATATACAGCAGTCTGTTCTGTAATGAAATGTGCATGCTGAGATCTGTTGATATGAAAGCTTTCTATAATGAATGGCCTGCTGCATGCAACAATTCTGTCCCAGATGAACAGCAGTGTGTAGAATGTCAGCCTGAAGAAAGTTCGCTATTGGAGCAAATGTAGTACCAGCTGACCTTGCTACCTAATCCAGTGGTTTTTTCAAATAATTTCAAAAGAGATGATTTTTGTCTTCAGGGACTTTAAAAGAAACTTTGAAAATTAATAAGTGCAGGAACGAGAGTTTTGCGCTGCATATGTGTTTTGTATTTTAATCAGGCATGCTATAGAAAGTTTAAAGTATAACAACTTTAAAGAAACTTCCACATGCTAAAACAAGTGTGTAGTCTGCTTTCCCATTCAGTCAGAAGTTTTAGGGTTCTATTTAAATGTGTCTCTGCTAATACACGGTTTTTTGATCCAGTGGAAGATTCTAAAAATGGAAAGTGTGAGGTGGAAGTAATTTTCACAGATATTTTTCCCCTTCCATCTGTCTGACGTGACCTCCCCCCTCCCCCCATCTGTTTCAGAGTTGGGGGCCCTTTTTTGGAATAGTGTAGTGTGTAGCATAGGGAGCAGCAAAAGAAAAAGGGACATTTGCGGGGGTGAAACCCCCCCCCCCCCCGTTTCCCCACTTGCAGAATGCTCCAGTGGATTAGAGTTATTTCAGCACAATTAGATACAAGCATTAGGGTGAAATCCAACAGTGGAAATCTACCAGTGGAACGGATAAGTTTGAAAAAGCAAAATAGCTTCCTTTAAATGTTTGTTCTCTGATATTTTCTCTTTCAGGTTGTGAAAATGAGGAGTAATCTGGAAAGATTTCAAGTTACTAAACTGTGTCCATTCCAAGACAAAATTCGAAGACAGTATTTAAGCATAAATGTAAGGGGGAAAGCAACCTACGAATATGAAATATAAGGGTAGCATAATGCATTGTTCATATAAATTGCTGATTGCTAGAAAGAATGGCAAAATTGATTTGCCTTATATGAAACAGGTACCATTAACTTCAGAAATAAAGAGGCTTTCAGTTTTTTCTAGAGTGGGCAGTGAACACCATGAAAGTATTTCCTGTAACTCAGCCCCCTTCCTTCTTAAATGTCAACTTCGAAAATGACCACTATACCCACCTGTTCCTCCCATGTCGTAAAATGGACAGCACCTCAATCAACTCTTTAACAGCAGGGACTTCACATTAACTGAAGGTACCTTGTGGTCACTATCCTGCTTCAAAGCTTTATCATAATCATGACTCAAGTGCCCAAACTCTTCTTTTCCTATGGGTGGTCTTACTGAATCCATTGCCACGACCTGTATAAGATAAGGCTAAAGGTGCTTTTTTTTGTGAGTTATTTAAACTTCCCTTCAAGTTTTTAGCTATATATTGCCAGTGTGTTCTATTGTGCAATAGAGGACCAGTAAAAAAAAAGTTCTGACTCATGAAATGAAGTCTTCTCGTTTACCATCACTGATCTGTGTGTGATTCTGCTTTTTTTTGCACTCAGAGAAGATGAATACTTGGTGTTCTATACAACTCAGTTCTCCTCAGAGTAGACTCAATCAAAATTAACAGTCCAGACTTAAGTCACTTTCATTAACTTCATTGGGTACACCCTTAATAGGACTAACATTGAATGTAGCCCTTGGCTTAGTAATATTTTTGTACTAATTTTTGCAAACCTTGTTTTTTTTCAGCTGATAAATCACATAGAAGAAATGCTTCAAACAGCCTACAATAAATTCCACACATGGCAGTCTCGGCGTATGTTGAAGAAAACGTGAAGACCCAGTGATGCCAGATTTTTTGAGTGGGAAGCATTTGCAATAGCTGTAGGAATGCAGCTACCCAGTGGGGTATATCTTACAGACAATGCTGGAAAGTCAGCATCATACGGACTCCTGAAAACGATGCTAACTGAACTTGCACACTTTCTGGAAAGAAACAAGAGGTCAAACTTGAAAACTAGGAAGTTAAAAGGAACCAAACCAGAAGAGCTAAGTGGCAAATATCTATATCTATAAATGTAAAGACACTGTTTACTGCAGTTACTCAGGAACTGCTTTTGATTTTCATAAAGAGCTGCTTTCAGAAATAAAAACTTTAAAAAGGGTGTATTAATAAAATCCAAGATTGTTTGTCTAGTTTTTTAAAAGTGTATGGTACAGGGTAGAACCTAAACAGTTATTTCTTCACTGTATCCTGGCATTATATTGAATTCTGTTTGTATTTCTAGAAACAGGTTTAACATTTTAAATATTATTGAGAGACTTTTTTGCCTCAAATTCCTAAGCAGCTTAGATGCTAAAATAAAAAAGTTTTGGGTTTTTTTGCCATGTTTTGCTACAAATCAACAGCCAATGCACTGATTAAGTTTGGTGTTTAAAGGAGGTACCTTTGACAGAAAGAGTGCAAAGTTTTATGCAGGATTTTTACCAGCCATCGTTTACATGTTTTCTTTTTACCGCTAGAGTGTGCTGCTGCAGTTTTTTAAAGTCTGACTTTTGTTTGGAGGTGAAACAAAATCATTTTTAAAGTGAGTTTAAGAAGCTTACAGAAACAATAACTTTTTATACTATTGAGGGGAAAAACAATCTTACATGTGCTTTTTTCAGTTCTCTCCTGATGACTGTTAGCGCTGTATCTGGCGACTAGATAATCATTGAAGAGTGAAAATACGATATCTTTAGCTATATGTGGAATCTGTTCCATATTATGGTCCAAACAGGAAGCATTTCACTCTTACCTAAGATGTACCTGCCATGTATTAAATACTTGACTTATAAAAACAAAGTAAACTTGTTTTATATAGTCCATGGAGTCAGACTCCTTATATTTTGTTGTCTTAATGTCTTCCTCATTAGAAGTCTATTCTAGGACCAAGCAAATGGCTTTGATTATGTGTGTGATGAGATCTATTGAGATATTTTAGAAACCAGTGGTTTATGACCCCATAATCCATTATTTTTTAGTGGCAACTGATGGAATTCATTGGTAAGTTAGAAACTTTATCCTATTTTCAGAACTGTTCATGCCCAGAAAGAATTATTAGTATTACTGATTTACAGTGTATTGGCATGAAGGATCGCTTCCCACCTTGAGCCATGTCTATGAACTAGCAATTTGAGAGCCACAAGAATTTCTCCTCATGCAAGAGTATGTGCTTCTTTACATGCTCACACAGTGTTCTCCAGTGAATTGATATTCTGCAACAACCCAAACTTGATAAGCAGACCACTGTATCTATACTGAAATACTATGAAGTAGATGTAAGGCATTATCCTTAAACTTGCCATTGCTTGCCTTTTCAGAGGGGCTGCATGTTATGTGTTGCAAAGTGATTCTGCTTCTAAATGAAAAGGAGCTTTCTCTTTGATCGGACGCGGCAAAATGTGAAAAGCTGGAATTAATCATGAATAATAAAAGCTGCTGCTGCTGTGGTAATGTCAACTTACTGAAACATGGCTCTGGTAATACGTCACTGTGTCTTTTGGGTGAGCCCCTCAAGCAAGTGTAATTCTGATGACCTTGTTGGCAGTGTACCAATGACACATACATATCTTCAAGTATCATCTGTGCAACAAAGAGCGTACTACAGGTGCCAGGCTGAAACAGCTTTTTGCATCGAGAAATGCTTCGGTCAGGCTCAAGTGCAGGATTCATGTGCACATATTCTACTTGATCCTGTTGCTGTGAAGGCATGAAGGTATACATTTGCACTGATATTTCTGAGCAATAATTAGCTGATACAGACCATAAAGGTGGGCTTCATCAAAACTTATTCAGGCAGATAACCAGATTGACGGTCATTTAACAAAATATTTTTTCTGTCTACTCTTCCTGGAATTTTAAAATTTCCATAGTTATGTCAGGCTTTGGGACAAAAAAGTGTGTAATTGCAGAAATTTAAACACCGTGAATGGTTTTTTCAATTCTTTGACTTGAGAAGTACCATGAGACTCTCCTACCAGAAGATGGCAATAGCACTATCATGCCTGCATCATGCCTACTCTCCTTACATAGCTCTTTTGTGCTCTTGCTGTTTGACCTTTGTTGATTCCAGTACTACTTAAGCATGGTCCAAAACAGATGAGCGACATTAACTGTGAAATGATGTTTTGCTAACCATGCAGTTATTGGAATCTGAAGATAGAACCTGTATTTAATGGAAACTCATGCAACTTGTATCACTGGCATTGATCCAAAATTGTAGAATAAATCTGAATTCTGTAGTCAAGTGGTTTTTCTATGCTTTAGGGTGTCTATCTTGTGACTTCTCTCAAATCAAGAGGAAATATCAACTCGAGAATCTGATAATCATGCTTGTGTAACTGAGTATTTTAAAGCTTCCTTTGTTTTTGACACGCTGAACTGTAATGCATTTCAAAATTTTACTTGCAAATATTCTAGGCTGCTGTGGCTGTCCTTCAGTTGAAAGGAAAATATCCTTTCCATCTTTTAAATGGGAGCCTCAGCTGTGTGTGCTACTGCTGCTCAGGCATTGCATGTTGGGTAATGGCACACATGCACATCAATGCTCACCCAACCAGACAGTCTGCACATTCAGCAAGAGGTCTAGGAGATCAAAGAAGAGCAGAGAGTACAGCTGCAGGAGGCTCTGGTTAGGCACACAAAGAACATTTTCAGTGATGAATGTAATGAAACAATTGAACAAATCTTTTGTTTAAAAAATCATTTACATTTTTACTTGCAAAAAATAGAATACTATACATTTTAATCAAATAATTTTTGAAAAGAAATGCAAAAGTGTGCATGCAACTCATAATGTCATTAAAATGTGGTGACTATGTATTTTCTAAATATAAGGAGTTCCATAAGTTAATTTTTTTTCCCTGGGCTTTATTAATCTAATCCAGAGCCAGAGTGGGGGGTTGTGGTTAGAGCCCTGGAATAGGACATGGAAGACCAGCATTCAAATCCCCACTTGGCCATGGAACTCAGTGGATGACCTCAAGCCGGTAACTGCCTCTCAACATAACCTACCTCGCAGGCTTGCAGGGACTAAGTGAGGAGAAAGATAGCCATGTTATGCCACCTTGTGCTCCTTGGATGTAGTCAATCTGCCCCAGAGGGTTGGTGGAACCCTCAGGTTTGAGGAGGGGAAGTTGCATTACACATAATGAAACTTTGCCCCAATTTTCTAGTTTTGTAACTCAGGAGTTAAATTCTACCTCCACTTGTAAGCTGATTGTGTGTTGTCCATTCTACCACTGCCATTGTACTAAAGGGCTTAAGCTAGGAGTTCCTGCCCCACTTCATCACACTCTATGTTTGTTATTTGGCAAAACCAAATCAACGAGATCAGTGGCAAAGAGAAATTGCCTCTTTCCATGTTATGCAGTGCCTGTGGTTCAGTAGATATACCTCTAGTAAAAGGTAAAGGGACCCCTGAGCATTAGGTCCAGTCGTGACCGAGACTGGGGTTGCGGCGCTCATCTCGCTTTATTGGCTGAGGGAGCCAGCGTACAGCTTCCGGGTCATGTGGCCAGCATGACTAAGCCGCTTCTGGCAAACCAGAGCAGCGCACAGAAACGCCGATTACCTTCCCGCCGGAGCGGTACCTATTTATCTACTTGCACTTTTGACATGCTTTCAAACTGCTAGGTTGGCAGGTGCTGGAACCGAGCAACGGGAGCTCACCCCGTCGCGGGGATTCGAACCGCCAACCTTCTGATCGGCAAGTCCTAGGCTCTATGGTTTAACCCACAGCGCCACCCATACCACTAGTATGGGTGCTGTAATGGGGATCTACATTCCATGAGAAAAGGCCTAGGTTTATGCAGGACCTGACTGACCTTGACATGTACTGGATTATCCTCTGGGGCAGGAAGTTTGTTCCTACTGATGTTAATTGGGCAATAAGAGAACTGTTGTGGGCCTTAAAAGGTGGAGAATGTCTTACTGTGTTTGCATAATCTGCCACATACTTGTGTCCAACCCCATCCTAGGTGGCAAATGGCCCATTAAGAGAGATTAGTGGTCTTTTGTCAAAGGTCAGTCCCTTAAATTGCCTAACAATACCTGAATTTTTGAGGCTTTATTCATCCTGGTTCCCTGTTTCATTCTTAACTAAAGTGGAAAAAGGAATTAGATGGTGACATTGCTAGCATTGGCACACACCAATTCTGGTCTCAGTGGGGCTGTGTTGCCTTTTGTTTTTTTGGGCTCTTGGTTGGTAAGCTGGCCTCAAAATCCAAGGAGATTTACATACTTGATTTTTATAGCTAGGAAGCCCAATGAATCATGCAAGAGAGATGACAATTTTACTTTTGACTTCTACCCAGCCCAAAACTTCCATGTAAAACTACTCAGTAAGCCTGTTGATCTGCTCCCCTTTCTTTCTCAGCCGCTCTGCACTGAGGCTGCTTCTGCAGTAGCTCCAGGAGTCTGAATGGTGTTTTTCATTTCAGAGCAGTCTGGGTAATTCTGTAGCACAATTTGCTCCCTTGATGATTTCCTGGCCATTAATGTTATTACCAGGTCCTCACTCTGGCAGAGAGACCACTTCACCTTAAGCAAACATTGTTAACAAGCTATTTACTCTGAGTCAGATACAATGAGGCAATTGGAAACAAAGCAACAGTATGTCTGAGCTGAACTGTACAACCTTTCAACCTTCTGCTTAGTGAGTATACATTTTGCCACTGAGCTGCTACAAGCCCTCTCCCTAATACAGTACTGTACAGGCATCCCCAAGCTCGGCCCTCCAGATGTTTTGGGACTACAATTCCCATCATCTCTGACCACTGGTCCTGTTAGCTAGGGATGATGGGAGTTGTAGTCCCAAAACATATAGAGGGTCGAGTTTGGGGATGCCTGCCCTAATATATTCTTCGTTTGCCTCTGGCTTAAGCATCATGCTCAATGCAGCAGAAATAGTACATTCTGAGATTGCTGGAGCAATGAGCACCTTTAGATTCTCTACCTCATCACAGAGAATTGTAGAATTTGTAGAGCTGGAAGGGACCAGAAGGGTTATCTAGTCCAACCCCCTGCACTGCAGGAAGATTTCCCCAGCATGGGTTAGTAGAGTCTCATGCTCTACTAACTGAGCTAACCCAGCTGTCATAAAAAAGAGCAGTGGCAGATTGAGCAGTTGTAACAGCAGTGTTGGTTGCCTTTGAAGAGTTTGACTAGTTAATCTGAAATCTGATGAAGCGAGCTCTGTGCCTTACCCAAAGCTGAATATAACATCCTGGTTATCTACCTGGGTGAACACATCTGGCACATCCAGCAAAACAGACTGTCCTCTTTGCCATCTGTGGCTGTCATCTAAGGCAACCATCCTGGTCTCTTCTGTCTCCCCTCACTCCTTTGGATGCTTAGTTAATGGGTGCTGCTAAATTCCTATATGAAATGCAATAAAGGAAAGTTGAAAGTTGCTAGCTGGACTATACTGGAGAAATGTAAAATACATATTACTTTTTTAAACATTAAACTGAGTTAGCACAGGCAGTGGGAAGCTTCTCCTAAACTAGGCTGCCTGGTTCCCATGCCAATGTCCGAGTCCTAGTTCTCATAGAGATGGTAATCCTGTGTTCCCTAGGCTGTGCATGACTGAATGAGCAACCATGCAAAAAGAAATTTAAATAACATCCTGAAGGCTATGCTAGAACCTTTCTCTCTGGCATCATTTAATAAAGTTGGCAGCAGCTAGCTGTCCATTTGGACCGTTGACTGTAATAGTAATTAGTTCTCTCTCTCCCCACCCCCAAGTCTTTGTTATTTTTAATCAAAGATGAAATGTGGGCTTGTTACACATAGAACCATTAGTAAAGTCACTGGCCCTACCAAAATTGCTCATTAGCAACAATTAATATTTTGTTTATAAGCAGCCAGCCCTGGAAGGAAGCAGTCTGAGCATTTCCCTAATTGAAGAAGTTACACTGCAGAACAGTTTAAGATGATTTTTAAGATTTTGCTGACAATGGGGGTATGGTGATGTTCTGGGTAAGGCCAGTGTTCCTGCTCCCTCTTTGTGTTCAGTGTACAAAGGGAGGGAAACACTGAAAAGGATAAACGAGTTAGGGAACTTGTTTCTACACCCCATCACTTGCAGATCCTAAAATGCCTGCATTGTTCTGACAGGTCCGTAATTTAACTTAGCACAAGTCAGTCTGAGAGATATGTTGGAAAAGTTTGTACCTATGCGTCAAAGAGAGAATTTCACTGTGAGCTTGCAAGCTGGCCTTTGGCAAGAAGTTCTAAACAATTTAAGTGGATAATTGGATGAAAATGCCATCAAACAAGTGCAATCGCTGGAACCTGTTACATGAGTTACTTTCCTAGTAAAGTTACACATCACACAGTTGCAAAGCTAGCCATTTCTAGATCTGCGCATGTAAATTTCCCTTTCTCCTGTGAGAACTAGGGAGCTGGAGGAAGCCTTATAGGCCATCTATCTTGTATAGAGATCAAGGGAGGGAGGGAGATGCATTCTGGTTTGGACATTTTTCTGGGATAAAGGAGGCAGACATTATTTCTATTTGACCAGCATATTAAATCTATTGCTATACTTTGTCAAGATCATGACTTAGTACAAACCCATCTATGCTAGAGTACTTTCACTATTATAATAAAACCCTGTTGATTCTTCATTGGATTTTATTTTCTGGCATGAAATGGTTTTTTGCTATGACCATTTGGTTTTAACATATATTTTAAAAACCGAAACGCCTGACTGTCAAGGCTGTAAGAGGTTCACTTTGCTGGCAGGATGCCAGCAAGTTTCTAAATAATGCATGTGTTTCAACTGCATCAGTGATGTAACTATATTTGCCATGCAGTACAAAACAAGCCATGCTCATGTGCTCTGCTCTGCAGCCACAGCCAGAAAGTGCTCTCAACTCTGAATGAACCAGTACAGGTACCTGGAGGCAAGGCAAAAGCAAACAACCATTGTGTCAGGCTGTAGTCTCATGTATGCTTACTTGGAGGTAAATCTCACTGAACTCAGCTTGTCTTACTTCTTACACACAACTGAACCGCATGACCCACAACCAAAGCAGCAGGCAAATATTTCTTCAGAACCCTGGGGCAGTGTTTAAAAAACAAAAATAATAATTTCCAGGGCCTAGTCTTCAGAGACACACTGCCTCTAACACTGGAGATAAAACATAGCCGCTGTGGCTAGCAGTCACTGATAGCCCTATCATCCAATATTTTATCTCATCCTTGGAAAGCTATCCAGATTGGTGGCCATCACTTTCCTTTGTCTATCTCAATGTTTCCCAAACTTGGGTCCCCAGCTGTTTTTGAACTACAATTCCCATCATCCCTGACCACTGGTCCTGCTAGCTAGGGATGATGGGAGTTGTAGTCCAAAAACAGCTGGGGACCCAAGTTTGGGAAACACTGGCTGAATCTTCCAACATTCAGCATCAATGGATGGCTTTGGATTCTAGTATTATGAGAGGAAGGAAAACTGCTTGTCCACCTTCCTCACACTATGATAAATTTCTATTGGAGCTTCTAAAAGGAGGCTTTTAATTATTTGGTCTGGATGTGACCACTATTTTTACACAAATTTAGCACTTTCTCCCCCTTCATTTTGCCCTAACTTTCCAGCTCCTGCCAACATAGTGCTCCTTTTGTGAAACTGAGTACACATAATATTGTTAGCCAAGTGGAATAAAGGGTAAGGTAAAGGTAAAGAACCCCTGGATGGTTAAGTCCAGTCAAAGGCAACTATGGGGTGTGGTGCTCATCTTGCTTTTCAGGCCAAGGGAGCTGGCGTTTGTCCACAGACAGCTTTCTGGGTGCTCCCTTGCCCTGAAAATGCTGAAAAGCAAATTTAGCAGACTGAAATATTTTTTTAAAACCTGCCCCTTACAATTGTTAATTTTATGTGTATACTGTCTCTGTGTGTATGTGGCTAGATGCTGTTGCTAAGACCTCTAAATTCCTATCACAATGCATAATATATCTTGTCTGTCTGTGTCTGTTTGTTTGTTTCACTCTGAATAAGGGATGTGTCCCAAATCGTAACTCATATCTAGTTCATGTCAATACTGAAGCAGAGATGGCAGCATGACAAACAGAAATGCGATTGCTCCCAGGGACGTGGATGTTAGCAGCAACCTTGAATAACCTGCATGCAGATTTTCAGTTCCAACGAGATTCTGGACCCATCCTAAGCATTAAAGGCTCTGTGCCAGAATCCAGCCAACAGCCCTAATAACCTTACCATATAATTCTCTCTCTCTTTCACTGAAGAAGCAGCAAAGCAGATGGACAGATTCACTGGATAGGGTGGGGGAGGCAATCATGCAAAGCTGTTTGCAATAATATTAAAACATCCTCTTCTCTCTTTTTTGAAAGAAGTAGGTTTTTGTGTCATTTGCTGCTAAGCCCTCAGGAACGCAGAAGTAAATCCCATTGTTCAAATATATGTGTACACGACTGCAACATTATTGCTCCGGCAGAGGAAGTAGCCACAAAAGACCCTCCATGTAAGTTAAAACCCCAGAGCTTTTTATACTGGGGGCAGAGAAAGAGCCTTACATGACCTTCCAAAAATCTATTTTGGGAAACTCATATATGCCCAATATCCCTTACAGAGGTTACAAGCCAGATGAAATGTCCTCAAGCAAGCTTACTGAGAATGCTGCTGAAAAGTATTTTTCAAAGTAGGGGAAATGGTTGAAAGGATATGAAGAAACAGAAAAGGGGTGTGCAGCAGTTGCCTGCCCCACCTCTCTCTCACACACTGCCAGTCTGTCTGAGTATGAATGGAACAAAGCCTCTAGTGAAAGGCTTCCTCAAACTCTGCCCTCCTATATGTTTTTGGCCTACAACTCCCATGATCCCTAGCTAGCAGGACCAGTGGTCAGGGATGATGGGAATTGTAGTCTCAAAAACATCTGGAGGGCCGAGGTTGAGGAAGCCTGCTCTAGTGTTATGGTGCTGAGGCCCAGATGGGGCAGCCTGTCTGGCTAAGTAGAATATAGACCTGCTATTGTGATAAGTTCCATCCTTCTAGTGGTAAAGTTAAGGCCTGTCTCATCCTGAAGCAAAATCAGATTGTAGAAGCTTTCCCCACACCCTCTGCACTCTGCAAGAAGTCCACCATTTAAAAATATCCGTACCAGGAAAAAGTACAAACTAATCTGGAGTGCAAACAGTGGAGTAGGTGCAATAAAATGCAATAAAGATCAGCAGATCAGCAGCACACAGACTAGTAGATTCCAATAAGTGTAGGGCATCCACTGATCACGCTGAGATCACAACTTAACATACGTTTACGCCTGCAATTAGTACCAACTGCACAGCAAATGAGATAGTTTTCAACAGGGACATTCAATAAACCTATTGGCCCCAGAGGATGAGAAATATTAAATATGTAAAGTCTGCTTTACCAGTGTCTGCTTGTGTAATAATATGCTTCCAAAATTATTATTTAAAGGGTTCTTTTTAATTATAGCTCTACCAGCAGTTCTCAATCTACCCACCCTGCTCACCATTAAATTCATGTTTTTTAAAAAAACATAGGTGGAAATATGTAATTTTTATTTCAATAAGTAATGCTGTTAGATACTGTTACTATTTTTTCCTTCAATAGCCTAGTCTACTGTCTGTAAATATTCAAACCGGAGTGATATTTAACCATTAATAAACTTTATAACTTCCTCCTATGGATTTCACTTCATGTTGTATTCTAGAGTCATGCATGTGTAGGAATTATATTTTATATCATTCAAAGTATCTTTTGGGAGTGGAGTCTAGACTGTAAATCACTGCAGCAATTGGTGATGTTAGCAAAACTCAACCTGCTGATGATATTCATCCCATATGATAAGTGATCAGATGTTACATAATAGGGTTATTTTCCCCATTGTTTACATTTTGTTCTCCATGTCTGCAAGTTGAAGGGGTGTTCTGTTTGTGATATCCTTAAGCACATGAAGAGTTAGTGCCAATCATCCAACTCAGTGGAATGTTCCTCTAAATAAACATAGTCTTAGGATCCAGCTGCACGCATTTATGTTAACTTGACAGCCCAATCCTGTGCATGCTTTCTTGAAAGTAAATTTGTTCAGTGGGGATTACCTGCCAATAAGTGTCTTGTTTACAGGATGGCAACTTGGGGTCAAAGGACATCTTTTTGGGGTATGCTCAGTGCTGGTTGCCCCTTTTATTTTACTTTTAAAATGTATTTTCATTAAAGATTTCTTGGTTTACAAAAGTATGTGCAATGTCTCTTTTTCAAGTTACGTTTTCTGCAGATCAGTTTCATTTGTTGTGAGACATTAGCGTTACATTAGGAATAAAAGAGGGAAAGAGGTGGAGGGGGGAATGGTAAGTAGGGGTGGGGTCGGGTAGCAATGCTTCTATTCTCCTTAGTGCAGGGGTACCCAAACGTTTTTCAGGGCCAGATTTGATGAAGTGAACATGTGTGAGAGCCGACCAAAGTTGTTGAACTTTTTATTGAGATTGAAGTTGTTGAGCTTTTTTTACAATTTTACCCCATGACATATACTGCCACGGGGGCCGGATTAAATCAACCAGCAGGATTAGGCCCCCCAAAAACGGGCTTTGGACATGCCTGCCTTAGTGTATGTGTGGGGTTTTGTGTCAGCATCGTTGCCCTTTTTTATTTTGAGGGCTAAAGTAGCTGATCAGCAGCTGTTGCTGGGGAGGAGAGATGATCAAACAGTGCATTGTAACCTGCCCTGTAGCAGCTGAGGCTGGAAAAGGGAGAAGAGACCCAGGACTAAGCCTTCCTGGAAACATTATCTACAGCATCATTGCTCTGAAATCTGCTGCTTAGCATGGAGATGGTGAACAGAGAACAGGAGAAACAGTATAGTAGGTAGTCATTCTCACTCATTCTCTCTCTCTCTCTCACACACACACACACACACACCGCCTTTATCTCTGGGTGATAAAGAGCTGGTAATGGGAAAATAGCCAATTATTCAGTCTTTCTCTCTGGGTGGGGAAGTGGAGCTCTAGTTCTCTGTGCTAGATTACTCAGGCAGAGGTGGTGGCTTACTCCTAATGGGCAGTGACTACAGCTCAGTAGCAGAGCGCCACAGTCAGGAGGTCTCAGGTTCAATTCCCAGCAGGGCTGGAAAAGCCTGTGGTCAGTCTTTAACAACACTGGGCTAGCGACATAAAAAACAAGTGTCTTATATGATTGCTCTCCAAGCCCTACCTGGAGATGCTCAGAACTGAACCTAGGACCTTTTGCCTGCAAAACAGATGCTTTGCTGCCCAGCCAGGATACTGATGGCTAGAGAGGCTGATCTTCTGACTCAGTCTGTGAGCTGCCTACAGTCACAGGCCACCTGCTTCCTTGCTTGGCTCTGCTGGGCCTCCTCCTCCCTCTGTACTGTCTGCATGAGCAGGAAGTGCCTGCAGAGGGAGAGGGCATCTCAGAAATGAGCAGCAGCAACCATCACTTGCTCAAAACTTTCTGCAGAGGCAGGGCTGAAGGCAACCATGCCTTCTCCTCATTCTCTCTCTCTGTGGGAGGATTGGGAGCCTCCACCACTGTGCCAACAGAGAGACAACTCAGACCAGGAAGTGGCAGGATGAAGGCAGCTGCTCCTATGCTCTTTGCTCACTCTTTGCTGCACTGCCCAGAGAGAGGAGGAAAGTGACGGTGGGCAGAGAACGTTGCTTGTGTTTTCTCTGTGGGCAGCAGCACCACCAGCCCAGTGCTGAGACGCCCAGAGGAACAATAACCAATAGCTTTGCTGCTGGATTGCCTCTCCACACCAGCAATGCTAGTCGACTGGCTGCTTTTCCTACAAAAACTAAAAAGTGGCACCCATGTAGTGAGTTGACCCCAGTGGCTCCGCAACCCTGGTTCTCCGGCCTTGTGCCGCAGGGCATCGGGCTGATGGTTTTGCAGGCCCCTTCAGAGTGCGCTCTCGCAGCCTTTCTGAGAACTGGGTGCCCTCCAGCCTGTTTGGGGCTGCGACCCGCATCCGCTCCGGCCACCACGACGCCGGGTTTTTCCTTCCTCCGTCGGATCTCCCGGCCTCTGACCTGACCGGGAGGAAGCGAGTAGGGACGCCACGTGCTTCGATCCCCAGGGAGCCTTACTCTTCGCGCCTGTGCGCTGCGGAGTGACTGCGCCGGCCTGAGTCAGAACCGCGCCGCCGCTGCCGAAGCCCGGCTCCCCTCGACGTGTGGGCCGGCACGTCCCACGGTGGCCAACCCCGTCAGACAAGCGGCGGCGACCGCCCCCTCCGACGTCACGCGCGGGATTCCTACTTAAGCGCCCGCCGCCTCCCCCCGCCTCGCGGTACTGCAGCGGCAATCGGAGGGCCCGGTCATTGCGCGCACGCTTTGCTAGACTTACCCAGGTAAGGAAGCGCTCGTGGGAACGAGGCGGGCTGGGCGAGGCGTGCAAAGAGCCCCGCGCCACCTTTTCCCACTTGCACACTCGGGGTAAAGCAAGCCGTCCAAAGAGGACTTTCCCCTGCTGGATGGGTAGAAGGAGATCCTCCAAAGCGGTGCTAAGAGACCGGGCGTTTGGCGCGCAAGGAAGGAGAGGCAGAGTCGGTAGGAGGGCAACCCTCTAGGTCGGGGTAAGGCAACTCCGGACGTTGTGGGACCACATCTCCCAGCATCCCTGGCTTTTGGCCATGCCAGCTTGGGCTGATGCGAGAGTTGTGCGTCTGGAGGGCACCACGTTGGCTACCCGTGAGAAGGTGTGAGAGGAGGAAATTGGAATCTCTCCCCGCTTCCCCCGTGTCCCTCTGAAATGGTTTTGTAGGAAGTGCCCGGGGTGGGGAGAGAAGCAGGCGGTTGTGGTCCTTTTTTGGCCGACTGGTCATTATGTAACGCGAGGGGTGGAGGGAGGCGGCTGCAGAAAGGGATGCTCTGTACAGGTCAGAGAGTCCACTTTGGAGCGGAAAACGCCGACCCCTGGACCCTCAATAAATTCGAGCTGTTTTAGGTATGGAATTTTTAAATGGATTTCCAATGCCCCGAGGCTTTGGGTGTGTTGGGGTGGAGAGATGACTGTGCTGGTGAGGAGAGCGGAGTTACTTTCTGAAGACCTGTGGACGCGTCGTATTTCCTTGCCGCCTCCGCCCTCGGTGCTGCAATATCCGCTACAGAGAGGAGGAAAAACGTGGTTTCCGAAAACGGCTGGGTCATCGCACTGCCGGGAGGAAATTAAAAAAGGGAGGGGGATGTCCGAGGAAGGTTGCGCTTTGGGGCCACTAGAACTTCTAAGTCGCTAGTCCATGGTGAGGTTTGCAGCTCAAGCGCAGCAGAGTTATTGCTCAGGCTGTTGCACCTTCTTAGCTCCTTTATTTCCTCCCGGGAGCGGGACTGGCACCGCCCTATCAAACCCCAGGCGAAGATCGCGGTGGTATTCTGTCTCTGACTCAAGTAGTTCTCGTGCCTTTGAGCCGGGATTCCTCCTTGCCTTTTATCGCTGGCAACTAAATCAACCTGACTGCATTCGGCTTGCACGGAGGAGGAGGAGGAAGTGTGGACGGTTCTCTCCATTCCCCGCCTGCATCGCCCCCCTGCCCGACCATTGAATATCTTGCACCGGGAAAACTGGTCAGCACTGGAATCGGTGCCTCACACGGCCCGCTTCCCGGAAATTTAATTGGGAGGGTTATAAAGTGGTAGCTCATCTCGGCAGTAGCTGGATGCGATCGCGCTTGCAGTCGGTGATCCCCTTAGGAAGATAGTGCCGCTTATGTGGGGGGGGAGGGGGAGGAAGGTATATCTGGATCTGCTGATCTCTGACGGATCTGCGTTAGATCGCCGAGGGTTTCAGGCTGCCCTAACAAAATGCTTCTCCCCCTTAAAATAGACAGCTTAGGGGTTTTTTTGCCGGGGGGGGGGGTGTGTACTAAGCAGGAGAGAACTCCTGAGTTCAAGTACTCTGAGTTCAGTTTTGGTTCAGAAAACCAAATTCTAGACACCTTGTTTTTTTAAATATAACTTGTTCGTGCATGGGCTTTGGCTGATTATATTTTGGTAGAGTGTGTGTGTGTGTGTGTGTGTGTGTGTGTGTGTGTGTGTTTTAAGTATATCCGCTAAGTCTGAAATCTGTCTACCTCCCAAGGCTTAATACCCTTCCTGGTTAATAGAATTGCTACCTAGTTTAAGGGATGCCGGAAGAATCCCAGAGAAGATAACTTGTGTTAGTGAATCACTTCACTCTTCAGTGAGAATAGGTGGAGCCAGACATTGTGTTGTGGGGGAAATGCCCTTTCCCTCAATTTGTTGTGACTTCCCAGATTCTTGCGGATTTATTCAGGGTAATTCTTAGGACTGTGCAGGAATGCAAACTATAGGGCCCAAACTACATATGCTCAAGTGGGCCACATGCATAGTGGAATGCAGCTTTTGCCAGATGTTCAGCAAGCATAGTTGTGCCTCCTCCTTGCAATGGAAATAGGTTAAAATGAGATGCAAGGTCAGCCAATTAGCTTCATTAGGGAGCTGAGATCTGAGCCCTGGTCAAAGCCTAGCACTCTTGGCTGCACAACAAGGCTGGTCCTGTACATGGCTATGACTGTGTGCAGTTAGTTCCAAGCAGGGAGCTGGCAGAAGAACTTAATGTCTACAGACCTAGCAGTTGGGGCTAAATTAGGCTTGAATGTGGAGTGGCTCAATTCACACAGGAAGTTGATGTAGTTGCTCCAACACACAAACCAAATGGCTTATGTCACACAAGTGTGCATTTACCACACTGTTACTGAAAATGCATTTGGCAGCATTGTGGTGATGGCACCAAGTTGTGAATTTATTCTCTCTCTCTCTCTCTCTCTCACACACCCAGCTCATGTGGACGCACATGGTTCAGTGCATTCTCAATGTAAAAGTTTGATTTTGTGAATTGGACTCAAGGCCTCATCTCACCTTTAAAGGCAGTATCATACCACTTCAAACAGTCATGGTTTATCTCAAAGAACTCAGGAAACTAGTTTGTTAAGGCTGCTGTGAGTTGTTAGGAGACCTATTCTCACATAGCCACAACTCCCAGTGGAGGAAACTCTCATGATTGCTTAAAGAGGTATGATACTTCTTTAAATGGCTCCATAAGTGCACTGCTGGTACCAGGTTCTAATAATATTCCGCTTTTTGTCCTGTGTTTGATCACAGGAACATGATTTACCATATTTCCCCTTCCTTCTTCCAACATATTTAATTTTTTAAATCTAGGTGCATGATAACCCCCCATGGCTTTCCTAGCATCACACATGCAGATTCCCTTTGACTTCAGCTTCATCAGATACCACCCACATGCCAGAGCCCTTTCATGTCAAAATGTGCCCTTGTGACTGTGGCCCCTACAGGGCAGTGGAATCAGGTTTCCATTTTGCTTGTTGAACTAGACATGCAAAATCTGCAGGACAAATTTTTGCCTATAGAGATGTGTCTTTCAATTTCAGGAAAGGTATCTGATACTGTAAAATTGCTGATCAGATGAAAGAATTTACATTTTCATTGAACAATTTGGAGCTTAATGTGCATAATGCATATGAATCTTGCCTGTGCCTCACTCTGAACTGCACTGTTAATTCACACAATTATTGGTAACTATAATAAGCAGCTGTTTTTAGTCTATGGGAAAGTTGCAAGATCATTCACTTGGCTACTGCTTCAGAAGTTGTGGTTTTGTTTTGTTGCAAAACTCTGCACATTGTCTCCAAATACTTACTGATCGCTCAATGTCTCCAAATACTTACTGATCACCAAACTGGAGTGCTGATGATCACGGTGGAGAGAGAGTGCTTGCCTTGATTTGCTCTTTAACCACCAAGTGAACAGCTGCATATAGTAGCAACAAAAAGACCTACAGTAACTCTGATTCAATATATTCAGTAGGGATGCTCAGTATTTCCACATTTGCAGTAGCATCATTGCTGCTAAGAGCAGAGTGCTGCATACCAGATGACACTGAAGTGATGCACCCAGGAGAGATCAGACTTTTTGGTTTTTCCCCCTTGCAGTTGTTCTACATGGGGCAGCTTTGAATGCAGGAATTGTCATAATTTTGGACTACAGGTGTATGGCTGACTATCCCATGAGCTTTGGAAGCCCATCTTTTAATGACTGGTTCTGAGATGTGTCACCCTAGCTCCTTGCTGTCAGTGTTCCAGAATCTACATTCCACATTCTTCTCTCAAACTCTGCCCACCAATATATCCCTTCAATGTGCCCTCCCTCATCAGTCCTGTTGGGCATCTTTCCTCCTCTTCAGCAGCCTTCTCCCACCAAGCAGGTGTGCCTTTATGCCACTACATCACACACTTGCTTGCGCCATACTCCCTCCCCCAGTTTGGTTCACCAACTTTAAATTGAGATGGCAATGGCTTGTTGCAGATTTTGATTCAGAACTGCCTGACAGTCTTAATTGCAAAGTTTAACATCATGAAATGTCCCTTCATTCCAGCAACACTGGCTACTAATCTGCTATATTGACCCCTTTATTTTCACTTTTGTGCTCTTGCATTGGCAGGCATGCACCCCTACCCCTTGTTGGTACTACCCAAGTTTTTTATATTCCTGACTTGCTACTAGCTTCTAGCTCTGGACTCTGGCCCAATGTGATATCCAGAATCAACCTTTGTCCTCCTGGGGATTTTCACCTGCCATGCTGCCAGTTTTCAGTCCAAGCCTCATTGTCTCTTGTCACCTACACCATTTCCAGAGTTGTTGTGGCCACAACATCAGAGTTTGGAACATCAGAGTATGGCATAATATTTCATGATTTTTATATGCTGTCTAATATTTTATGGTTTTTATATGCTGTTCTCTCCCAAGACAGCTTTTAACATTAAACAAAGCAAAACATAACATACATCTTTAAGAAATAAAATAAAAACTTTAAGACAAGCATATAGAACAAGAGCAAAGTGTTTCACTACTTCCGAGTGAGTCAGTCAGTCAGTCGCATCTTTTAGTTCTCAATCACATCCTGGGTAGACTTTGTGCCTGAAAGCATACTGATCAAACAGACAAGATGTTTTGTTGCACAATGCACTGAGCTTGCAAGATCCTTTGATAAGATACTGTGTGGTTTTGTGTTGACTGTGTACATTAGCATTCCACTTCTTGAAAACCTCTGTCTCTCACCTGCAATGACCCTGCCAAATTTTCTAATGTGTATTTGGGGGGGAAATGATACATATGTGCCAACAGTGGGTTGGATCCACACCCAAATTAGTCAATTGAACTTGGATCCCATGTAAATCAATGGGCAATTTACTCATGACTTTGTTCCCATTGTGAAAACAGAAGAATCTGCTAAAATTCAAATACTGCAATAACAATTAAAGCAAAATCAAGGTTCTTGCAAATGTGCAGAGTAAACTCTGTGGTGTGTGTATCTTAGTGATGGGATCCATCTTTGAAATGGACTGTGTTAACTTATCATCACAGCACAATTCAGCAAGTGATGAAAATGAGTTGATTGTATTCTTATGTTTCCTCCCACAGAGCTACAAGATGTCTCTCAAGGAAAAGCTGATTGAAAATGTTCACAAAGAGGAACACCCTCATGCCCACAACAAGATCACTGTGGTTGGGGTTGGTGCAGTTGGCATGGCTTGTGCCATAAGCATTTTGATGAAGGTAGGTAAAATCTGTGTTTCGTGGGGCAAGATCTGTGGTCTTGCCTTTTCGTTTAACAATATTTTAGCTGTTTATTTGCATTGCTGTTGTCAGGGGTTCAGGGACAGAGGCACAGGGTAGGGAGGAGATGGAGAGCGATGGGGATGAATCCCAGGACAGCGAGGAAGAGGATGACAATGACTCAAGAGATTCCATGAGTCTTTCCAGCGAATCAGAGGATTCCCAGAAGGGGGCGCCAGTGGTCAAGGCCAGGGGAGCCCCAGGGGGGACGTGTCAGGAACAGGGGGCCAGCAGGGGATCCCAAAGTGGCAGCTGGGCGTCAGGACCAGCCTCCCCACCAGAGTGCAGCGAAGGGGGTGGAGTTTCCAGTGTCTCAGGGAAGCAGCTCCGGCAGCAGAGAAGGGAGGGAGGTCAGAGCAAGCCACCCTCCCGGAAGGGGAGGGAGTAGTGAAGGGAGTAGTGTAACTGTCAAAAGGAAAGTTAGAGGTTGGGCGCGCGCGCAAGTTCAAATGTAGAGCGCGCGGAAGTACAGGGAGCCCGGAGGAAGGGCCAGGTCCTAAAGCCCGCAGGAGGGGGGAGAGCAGTCGGGGGATAGCGCGTCAGGGGAATCCAGGAGGGGCGAAACCCCAGCGGGCAGGAAGACCCTGAGGAAAAGGAAAGAGAGAAAGAGGTGGAGCAGCGCAAGGCTCTTAAACTGGTGCAGGGGAGGGACTGACTCAGAGGGGACTTCAACGGTCTAAGCGTACAGACGTGAGGCTGCGCGCCTCGGATATGAAGCAAACAATGAACTGCAATAAACACTTTTGAATATAAGAAGAGATTGGCGTTGGTCTTTTGTGAGCTGAGACCTGAGGCAGCCTTGACAGCTGTGTTTTGAGGTTTTTTGTTGTTGTTCTTAACCGAATTTAATGTAAGTCATTTTGTGCTACTTTGTAAGAAAAGTAATGAACAAACACAATAATGCTAAATTTGTGTATTGCTATGTCTTTCTGTAAAAATAAAATGTTCTATAAAGCACAGGTAGAGGTGTTTTCATAGACAGTCAAGTATGTTTCCATAAACTCAGTTTGTGAATACAAATCCTAACAGTGCAGCCTATGCATACCTATTCAGAAATAAGTCCATTGGCTTCAACGGGACATACTCCAAGATCAGTGTATTTACGATTGCACTGCACACCTCAGATCTGATCAAAATATCAGCATTAGTTTACTGTAACCATGCGCTTAATTCATTTTGATCCTCCAGACCAGGGGTCGGCAACGTGTGGCCCACAAACACTGTTTTACCGGCCCAAGAGCTACCCCTGAACCTAGCCACCCTCTTGGTGAATCCCCCGTGTGCTAAACTGTGGGGACGCTGAGCGGCGGCGGAAATTGCGTCTGCAGGTGCGATTTTCGGTGTCTGGACATGCGCAGACACAATTTCCAGTGTTGTGCTGTGCCAGTCCAGCCCACGGATGATCTCTGTGGGAGTGATCTGGCCCATGGCTGGTAAACCTTGCCAACCCCTGCTCCAGACCAAACACTCCCCACAGCCATGTATAGTGGTTTATCAGGAGCTCTACAAAGCTCCCTAGTTTTGCTGTCTGCTGGGGACTGTTTATTTTTATTATTATCAAGGCCTTGGCAGGGCCTGGTGGGCTGCAATTTGTCTTGGTGTATGTCTGCTTGTCCAGGCCTTCCCAGAACCACAAAATTCAGGTCTCTAAAAAAGCCAGTGGGTTGATCTATCTGTTCTTGGCTTTTTGTAGGATTTGGCTGATGAACTTGCCCTCGTTGATGTCATGGAGGACAAGCTGAAGGGAGAGATGTTGGACCTTCAGCATGGCAGCCTCTTTCTCAGAACACCAAAAATTGTCTCTGGCAAAGGTTAGTATTTCCCTGTCCTCTATGTACAGACCATCTATTTCAGATGCTACATAGCAAGGCAACATCCAGTAGTTTCTCTGGGAGGGAAGCCTCTGTGCCTCTGGAAGTAGAGGTGACTTCTCTTGCCTCAGACAAGACCAAAGTTGTGGAATGTCAATCTTTAAAGAGTTTTCACTATGGCAATGATGACTTGAAGGCAGCTGGGTTAACCAGCAGCTGACCTGCACAGATTTATACAGACAGCATTGGAGAGTTGGTGGTGTGGATAAAGGCTTTTTCGTGTGGTTTAAGTTGCATTACTTTGAAAAGCAGCATGGTTTGATAAAGTTAGCAATGAGCATCAAACTTATGATACCACAAGGATAGAAAAGGCTATTTATATTAACCAGGAATTTGGTCATCACTGTTTCCTTCTGCTGGCTGAGGTGGCCTGCTCTTCTGTCCATTTCCCTCCCTACAAATGCTCACCCTTTGACAGGTCTGCTTGGCAGAGCTTAGAACAAATATAAGGGAAGCCTGTTTTTGCTTCTTTTGGTGCAGCAAATACTATCAATAGGGGAGTGTTGAGAGAATTGGATTATGGGTGCAGTCCTAAGATTCCTGGGAGGATGTCTTGGGGCCATAGAATAGGCAAGATCTACCCATCTGACACCAGAGACTCAGAATCCCAACAGTTGAGAGGTGTAGGTGGTTTTGGAGCATGCCTCCTCACTGCTGCAAGTATCTCCTAAGCCTAGGTAGGGTCCCAGAGGAGGCCCCTGGAAGCAGCTAGGATGCAGAATTCTCCTGGCCCTGCAAAGTGGGCAAAAAATTAGTCACACTCTTAAGCAGTCTGTTACTTCCAGTGTGAGTGATAACATTAAAGCAGACACATTTAAAGCCGAAAAAGGATCATGAGCCTAGCAGGGCTTTGGATAAAGTGCCTTCAGTATAGCACTGTTAATGAATTTACACTGGGTTTATTATATTTTTAGGTTTGAACATATCAATGTTATGAGACAAGCAACAAATGAATTTTGACAAATATGCTGATAACTAAAAAAACAAACACACACACACACACACACACACACACACACACACACACAGAAGCAATAACAACTGGGTGTCCCTTTTTGTTGAGTCCTCACTCCTAGTCTAAAACGAAGTATTGCAAGATTCCAAGCCAGTTCTTGCATGCTGTGGCCATTGCTTCTAGTAGTATGTGGGGTTGTTAGACTCAGCCAGGCTGGAATTTCTAATATGTTGTTTGTATGATAAATGAATAGCCTGATTCCTCTGGTAGTGCTGGCTCGGGGTCAATAAGGCTTCTCAGGCCAGGAAGAGATGAGAGGTGTAGAGAAGGGCATGTGAATTGACTTCCCTTAGTCTTTTTACACTCCTTTAGAAAGTCATCATCTAGAGATGATGCCTGAACAAAAAACCCTGGGAACAGGCTTTTCAGCCTTGGGAAGGTCTATGATAGAGCAAGTTGAACAACTGGCTGTAGTGTAAGAGACCAGATACCAAATAAATTGAATCCTTGTCAATCAAAAGCACAAAGCAGTGGAGCTACAGTGTAGAGAAGTGTATTGTTGCTTTGCTAAAACTGCTGCTCTAAAACTGGCAGACAAGAGCTCTTCTTTGCTTCATTTCCCGACCACAGTCCTTTCCTGACCACAGTCCTTCGATAAAATTTTAAATAGCACTTAATGGATCGGCAAAGGGCATTTTTTCCCTGCTCCCAGTGGTCAAATTGGAGAGCTTAGTCATGGTTTCCCCTTCCATTCTCTTTTCAGAGCAATACCATCTGAAAACAGTAGCTCCAGAAGGGGCCTGGGCTTTGCAGAAAAGTGGCTTGATTTTTTGTCTTATGTTTCTAAACAGGGTCTAATTGAAAGCAAAATTACATACATATAAAACATTTAATCCTTTTTAAGGGAGAAGTAGCAGTAGAATTATGATGGCAATAAGGGGTGTCTGAAGTCATAGCAGCTGCTCTTACATCCAGATGAACAAAGGTGATTTAGTACAAGCAGCTATTTTACTGTTAGTTTCCAAAACACTCTAAGCTAACACTTGGAAGTACACAGCCGGTTTCTTACAGAGCAATCATTAGGACTTCAGGTTCTCTGAAGCACAAATTCCCTTTATTCAGCTCATAAATCTGCCTCAAAGGTGTCCTTCTGCTCCTGTGGGCCCAATTATTCCTCTCTTCCAGTCTGGAATTGTAACATGCATTATGAAATTTATTTTGAACAAACAAATGTGTTTATTTTTGCAGACTATGCTGTGACTGCACACTCCAAGCTGGTCATCATCACTGCTGGAGCCCGCCAGCAAGAAGGCGAGTCTCGCCTTAACTTGGTTCAGCGCAACGTGAACATCTTCAAATTCATCATTCCCAGCATTGTCAAGTACAGCCCTGACTGCAAGCTGCTTGTTGTTTCAAATCCAGGTTGGTTGTGTCCTATTCTTAACTGCTTATGGACCATAATTCACCCTCCAGTCCTTTGAAAGGAGAAATTGCTTGCTTCCAAGAAGGAAATCGGGGAATCCTGAAAGCATTCCAAGTTTTCCCTTGGCCATGAAAAGGAAAATATCTATTCCACCAGGACATCATGGTTTAACTCTTAAGTTTCAATTCTGAAGTGGGACCTGCAACTAAATATTGTCCCATGGAGTGCTCCTGCTCAGGGTTCCATTCAGCCATGCCCTTTCCCAGAACACTCCATTCTCTTACCTCTTTCCATGTCCCCACTGTATCTACTCAGCAGCCAATCATCATTCCATGCCCACTGATGATGCTGTCTTTCATTGGGCTGTTACAGGTCACATCCTTCCTTTTCTAAAGATTTCATGGACTTCCGGGTTCCATAAACTTGCTCATAACTCCTTTTTGAGTGTGGGTGGTGCTGTTTTGGCTATATAAGGATCTTCATTTGAAGAACGATTTTGCTATCTAGTATCTACGATGATTGGAACTATGGTGGTGACAATCGTGGCTAGGGTCTGTTAAGAGATCACATCATTCCACTGTCTCATGGGAAATACAGCAGTACTTCCATGTTTGACTGTTAGGGTGCAGTCTACAGGAAACACCTAACTTTTCCCCATGTAAAACGAGGTGCTGTGCCTAGTACCTAGCTGATAGCTCATTTACACTATTACTCTCTGTGACAACACACTTGCACACTCTTCTCTGATCTATTTACACAGTGGCTGCATTCAGATGCCCTGGTAAATCATGGTGGATGGACCATAGCTCAGTGTTGAAGTGTGTGTTCCTAACATAGGAAAGTCGAAGGTTCAAACCCTGACATCTCCAGATAGAACCAAGAAAGATTCCTTGGCAATGCCAAGCTGGATGGACCATGGCCCCAACTCTGTAAGGCAGCTCTTGAATTCCTATGAGCCCTGGGGTCATGTTCCCACACCCAGCCCTTGTGGCTATGAGGTTGGAAGCTTTCTTTTTGATGGGTTCAGAAGAACAAATAAACTGTAGTTAATAAGGAAGTGAAAGCTTCAAAACTCATCCTCAGGGCTGGAGAAGATGGGAACAGGTGCAAGCCCAAGGCTCTCCTAGTCTTGCTTTGACCCCAGTAAGCCATAGCTTACCATGATGTCTGGATGCAGAAGTTCAGGAAGTTAAACTAGAGACTTTGGCAAAAGGAAAGAGCTTTGGTTGCTCTGCTGGGTAAGAGCTTGGGGAGGTGTTGGGATACTTGCAAGATGCTATGTCCTGCTTCAGTCATGCCTGCATGCCCTGGTCCCAAGTGAGATATCGCTCCCTGTGTCCTCTGTAAGACACAGATAATTCTGGATCGGTGCTGTTAACTCACAGGGGACATCTACTAGGAAAGTCAGAACCATAGTACAGAACCATCACTCTTGCCTGAGCACCTCGTATTAAAATGAGAGGATTGTAAAGAAGCTCCTCAATATTCCCTCTGCCCTTTAACTGCTGCCTGGAGCCAGGATGGTTTTGGCATTTCATCATTAAGGTAGCCTTGTGTAGAACAGATGAAATTAAACAGCCTCTCTTTGTGGAGAAGGATTGCAGATTCCCAGTGCTCTTGAAGCTTGTCTGTCTTTAATAGTGCATATGACAATCACTTTCTAACCAGATGACTTTGCTTGTTGACAGTGGATATTCTGACCTATGTGGCCTGGAAGATCAGTGGCTTCCCTAAGCACCGTGTGATTGGAAGTGGTTGCAATCTGGATTCTGCCCGTTTCCGCCACCTGATGGGCGAGAGGCTGGGCATCCACCCTCTCAGCTGCCATGGCTGGATTGTTGGAGAGCATGGAGACTCCAGTGGTAAGCATGACACGCAATCCATTTGCTACCCAACTCACAAAGGAAACAGACTGTTGCATTCTGACTTCCTTCATGTTCTTGGAAGATGAGTGGGATTGGAATATACTGATGGTAACGGTACCTGGTGAAAAGGAGAGCAGCAGAGCATTTCCCAGATCTACCTCTTGAACGTAGAATCATAGAGTTAGAAGGAACCTTTGAGTAATTTAGGCTAAGTCCCCTGCTTAATGCTGGATCCTCCAATGCAGGGTGCATGTACAGCATCCCTGATAAAGAACCATCCATTGTCTACTTAAATGCCTGCAATGAAGGAGAGCCCATCGCCTCCAAAGGCAGTGTTCCATTGCTGAGGAATTCTTATCATTAGGAAGCATCTCCTAACACTGGGTTAGGTAAAATAGTTTTCTCTGGACGTTGCTGAACTACAGCTCTTATCATTGACCATGATGGGCTGATGGGGAGTTGGAATCCAACAAATGACAGCTTTTTGGAAATTTGAAGACTGCTATAGAATCGTTGACCACATCAGACTTAGGTGCTGGGCAAACCCACAGAGAGGTTTCCATACTCTTCCCTCTGTATGGAAGTTAGGAATATAATCTAGCTGTCCCTACTGCATGAAGTAACACTAGATGGTCTATATTTGACTTGAGCGGCTCTGTTGCAAAAGGTCAGCTTTGTAATCCAAGTAGGCCAAACCCTACCAGGCTAAATTCTACCCTTTACTCCTAACTGGGGAGTTCACAGTAAATCCTTTTCATGTCAGAGACCCTTGCATGCTGGTTTCAGTAAAGCAGTTACAAGTTATTTGTCTCGGCCCCTCTGTCATCCTATATTTGGGAGTTGTGTGATCTCATACAGCCCTGCACCAATACTGCCACTAGAATTCTGCTTTGATGCATAAACTCAGATTCTACTGTACTACTACTCTATCCCATCTCACAGCAGTGAATATAAACACAATCCCCTCTGACCTCCCGAGTGCACTGTTCTTAGGTTTCTCTCCCTCTCCGACACCCCAAGCCAATTGGTGGTGGTGGGGAGGTAGAGGGGAAAGCCACAGTGCGCTAGCACAAGTCCTTGCACGAGCTTCCATTAGCAGGCTTCATTACTTGAATCTGGCCCTCAGCTGTGTACTTTGCTGCTTGCTTGCCTTAGGTGAGCAGCTGCTGCTGCCACACTCATCCTTGAATGACAGATTATATGCAGTACATGGTTGCCAAGCCCTGTGTGTGTGGTCACAGCACTTTTGCAGTCTTTCTTCTGCCCCAAGGGCTATGGACCATTTTAGGAAGATGTGTGTGCATAGCCACAGCAGGATGAAAACCCACCCTTTTTCCTGGGTTTATGAGTTAAAAGGAACAGGTCAGTGGCTAATCCAACATGGATGAGCACAAGGATCCATCTCCACTGCCTGTTAGCCAAAGTTTAAGGGGAAGGTATGTGTGCGTAGCAAGATTCTTAGTAATTATAAAACTGTACTTGGTACATCGTTCTACATTAACTGCTCAGCTGAGATCTGTTCGAAACACTTGTGAATCTTACTTTCTGTGAGGTTGGAAAATGTTCTAGATTGCTCAGAAAAATCTCCTGCATTTTATTCAGTGCCTGTCTGGAGTGGCGTGAATGTTGCTGGCGTCTCTTTGAAAACTTTGCATCCAGACATGGGGTCTGATAGTGACAAGGAGAACTGGAAAGAAGTCCACAAGCATGTGGTAGAAAGGTAATCTTTATCTCGTCTCTGCGTGAGAGAGGAAATGGGGTTCCACTGAGCTTCCAGAAATTGCATCTATCTCATTTTCAAGGATGCCACAGCCTACATTGCTCAACAAGGTCCCCTAACCCTTAACGTAGCATTTTTGCCCCATGACATGCACTTAACTTGGGCCCAAACCCCTTCGTTTTCCCACAATATAATCTCCAGTTGTCTAGTTTTTAAGAAATATTGATTTAGAGTGCTGTTTATGGTGCCAGATTACTGAAGGGTGCTTTTCCAATGTTGGAAACCACTGTTCAGCAGTTAATTTCCCTTTGTTGATAGATACTATATAGCAATCACTATATTGTGCACTGTGGAATTTGAATGTGTTTTGAAAGCGAAATAAAGTAAATTGTGCATACATTTCACATTCCTGAAGGACTGATCCATTTACAAACTGCCCTGGTTTACGTAACATGCTAGGTAATAGTTAATGTTAATGTTTAACTACCATTAAATGTGAATTAGCAGCTTGTTAGTGTAGGCGTTCAGAAATCCAGATAGCTTCACTCTCATTCTTGCTTGCGCTACATGCAACAACCACAAGCTGTGGCTTGTTGTGCCATATAATCTGAACCCTGGTTTTCATCTTTCTAAAGAAACCATTGTCTAACTTTGCTTAGACAACCTGACAAGCCAAGGCCTAGTAGCTTCTCTTCTTGCCCCCACCCCTAAATGATGTGGCTAGGAAAGGAGAAGGAACAAAGCAAGGACTTTGAGCATGCTGCTCATTTGTATTTAATGTTTAAATATTAACTATGGCTTGACAAAACGTGCAAGCAAAGCTACTCCATGCAGGCACCAGCATCTCTACAGGGGAAGGCTAGTAGCTTGCTTGTAAAAATAATAAATTAATAGATCTAATGCCTGCAACAGATGCCGTTTGGAGATAGAGGATAAGTAGGCTCAGATGGACTTCACCTGAAGTATAGATGGACTATGCTGTTGCTTAATAGACATGACTCTTTTTAAGAAATGTTTTTTTGCTGAAAGATTCAATTCTTTTAATGTTCTCCCGCAGTGCTTATGAGGTTATCAAGCTGAAGGGATACACATCTTGGGCAATTGGTCTTTCTGTGGCTGATCTAGCTGAAACTCTCATGAAGAATTTAAGGAGAGTGCATCCAGTTTCTACAATGGTGAAGGTAAAACACGTTCAGTGTCAAATGCTAAGGTGTTTTCTTATTATTACTGTGCTGTATGCATAGTCAAGCTAACAGAGGCAGTACAGTGGTGCCTCGCAAGACGAAATTAATTCGTTCCGCGAGTTTTGTCATCTTGCGATTTTTTTCGTCTTGCGAAGCACGGTGTCGGGAAAGTTTTGGAAAAGCTTCAAAAATCACCAAAGTCTTTAAAAACCTCAAAAAAGGCTACCACACCGCGTTCTATGAGTTGCTCCTCGAAGTCAAGTCGCAACTGTATTAACAGTGTTAAGAAAAAAGAAACAAACTTGCAAGATGTTTTCGTCTTGCGAAGCAAGCCCATAGCGAAAATCGTCTTGCGAAGCAGCTCAAAAAACAAAAAACCCTTTCGTCTAGCGAGTTTTTTGTCTTGCGAGGCATTCGTCTTGCGAGGTACCACTGTAGCTGCCAATGTAAATGAGTGCTTTAAATAAGGAACAGATCTCCCTGCAAGGATGGCGCTTTCTCCCCCTTCCCACTAATGGGGAAAGCATTTATTACATGCAAATCAACACATTATTTAATTGGCTTAAGTCTTTCTTTTTACTGTTCTTTCTAGGGCATGCATGGAATTAAAGATGACGTCTTCCTTAGTGTTCCTTGTGTCCTGGGCTACTCAGGAATTACCGATGTGGTGAAAATGACCCTGAAGAGCGAAGAGGAAGACAAGTTGAGGAAGAGTGCAGATACACTCTGGGGGATCCAGAAGGAACTTCAGTTTTAAGCCTGATGTCCTATCACTTCACCGCTTAACTAGTGTTTAATGGGTCTTAGTGGATTGTCTTGTTGCACTTTTCAGATAGATCAACTCCCTGTACGATGTGTGTCAACTACCAACACAATGCAGAGCTAAATTTGCAAATGAAATGCCTATTTTATCCAGTAGGAAACTTGCAGCTCCTGTTTACCACAACCCCGGTCTGTGGCCAGAACTGGAAGAACCTAGTCTCTTGTTAAGTGGTGTAAAAGTAGATCCAGCATGCTCTGAAACAACACTGCCAAATGGAAGCTTCCTGCCTTTCCTCAGCTAAACTTTAGTCACTCAGAAGAGAAGAGCTCAATTGGTCTTCCAAAAGCTGTAGAAAACCAAAGAATATTTTGTGATCAAAAAGGATTGGCAGATTCACTGACCAATATTCTCTGCTTAACAGATGACTTAAATCTCCAGTATTGAGCAGTTGTAATGTCCTTTTTCCTTAGTCTTTGTGCATACTTTTCAAGAGAACCATGTGTACTCTAGAGGAGTGTCTTAAATGTTATGTAAAAAAAACCTCTGTATGCAACAATTACAACTGATGCAATTGTCTAACTGTAGTACCAGCCCAAGCAACAAAATAAACAGTTAACTGCTACTTCTCCGTGTCTATATGGTCGGCCGTAAACATGACTAATCTTCAGAGACATGCACCCTTTATTGCCATGTAAGCCAGGGTGGGCAGAGAACAGATCTGTATTATTTAAAGTAAATCAACAAGGATTAATGACTCCTTCCCGCTCCCAAATACCACTAAAATGAAAATCAGAGGGTGCAGGTTATCCAACAGTGCATTATTGTAATGGTCCCTAAGACTAAAATCTGATCAAATGGACAATGTGCCCTATAACTGACTAAACTAGCAATGTTATTGTGAATAGGGGGGACTGATAACTGATCTACAATTCTAAGCATACATAGTCCCCCTGAACAAAATGGGCCTTATTTCTTCTGTGTAAGTATGCAGAGGATGAGACTAGAAAACACACACACATTTTATCCCAACCTGCTACTAACTTCTATGCTTTTATTATAAATTAATCTTGAAAGTACACGTATGAAGTTTCCAGCTACATTCTACATTAGACAAACTTGAGACTACAGCAGTGGCATTCGTTACACAAATGTCTGTAGCACCCCCAAAAAAGTGTTAACACAACAAATTTTATTTAGCCATCAGCCCACAAATGCAAAAGGTTTACAGAGAATAGAAAGTGCATTAATAAAGCTAGTCCTTACCAAAAAAAGAAAAAAAAAGAAAATATATTATCCATTCAAAATATTTTACAAGTTGAATGATGTAATAACTTATTCTGGCCACTTACTGATTAAAAGGAAAAAATAAATGAGGATATGACCACTTGGACTACACCACTCTTCCCTAAGCCATGGGTCAGTAGAGATCACTGAGTCCTGCCGTTTTTCTTGCTTTCTGCATAAGTGCCCGCAGCTGAAACTGCTTGCGAGACAAGAGGCGGACATGCTGAAAAGAAAAAACAGGCCAGGGTAAATCATCTGAGCACGATCTATAACATTTTAATTTGATCAGCTTCAATAGGGTATCTTCGTTACTGATAAATGAATATTTAGGTCCAGATTTTGAATTTAAAGACAACTTGAAAAGTAAGATACCATTTTGATTGGCATTTTCTCTTTGACTGCATGTCCCAATAATTTCGAAGGTGTAAATTTTGACATTTTTAGATTCTTATAAATTAACTTTGTGTATTGGTGCATGTAACATATACCAGTGTTTCTGAAACTTGGCCCCAGCTGTTGTTGGACTACAACTCCCATAATCCCTGACAACTGGTACTGCTAGCTAGGGATGATGGGAATTCTAGTCCAACAACAGCTGAAGACCAAAGCTTCAAAAACAGTTTACTAGACACATGCAGTCACCCACACAATAACTTGAATCAGCCAAAATGGGAAAAGGTAAAGAGGGCATTTGGTTGGCCATACAGCTACAAGCACATCCTCAAGACCCAAAAGCTGAAACTGATCCCACAAAACCTGACCAGACAGTGCATTAAATGCCTCACTCAGACCTGTTACAAGAAGAATATATACACAGTGGTCCAACTCATCATGGGAAGACAAGTTATTCTGTACTACAGGCTTATATCTTCCTGGTACCATCCAATGCACTTGAAAACCCTCCCTTCTTCCCTACATTTGAAGAAGCATTAAAGAACTAGGAACACAACTATTGGTTTCAGTGGACCAGAAAAACTACATGAACGTACCTTTGAATATTTACTCAAACTTACCTTTAGAAAGATATCAAGATCAATAACTCCACGTCTCAATGCTTCACCCAGGTAAAAGATGGTATCTTCAATGGCATTTTCCTCAGCATACAAGTTCAGAATTTGTTTGTAAAGTGGCGCTGTAGGAACAATAACTTCGTCTATGTCATTATTCTCTGACTGACTCTCCATTTTTTCCAAGGCAGAACTCAGCTCTTCGTCTTTCTTTTTCAGGAGGTCAATGTTCTTGTCAACTTCAGCCTAAAATTAAAAAAATTATAGGTTTGTTTTAAGATGCCTTGATACCTATTTAATCAACACCCTAAACATCTCCTATTGCATGTGAAGAAATTACCCCCACACTGCTCTGAGGGCAATAATGGCAAAAAAGGTGTCTGCCTGGGGAAACTTGGGATCCACTGAATCCCAAACTCTCCTGTTCCCATAACATACCTCTGGAACGGGGGGGGGGGGGGGGAGTACATGGTCCTGAAGCTGGTGTACTCAGTTTCCCGTCCTTTTGGCACTAGACGGGAAAACGTGGCTGTAGGCAGAGTGGGCAAAGGACAGGGTAGTTACAAAAGGAAAAAAACCAGGATGGGTGCTACACCACCACCTTCTGCCCTGCCAGCATAAGGCCGGCAGGACTTTGGGTGTGGCAGTTTCTTTGCCTCAGTAGGATTGCTCCGTAACACTTTAAGAGTATTTATGTACGAGAACAGCATTTAACTGCTTATTTGGAGGTTCTCAAAATTTCACCATTACTGTGCTATCAACCTTGTAAATAACCATAGACACAGGACAAATAATTGTAATGTCTCTGCAGTTTTAAGACCACTATCCTCACTTGCAAATAATGAATCAGTGGTGAGGAATAGATGGCTAAAAAGAAAAGGGCTAAATTTTTCATTTCTTATAACTGCCTTACCTACCACACAATGGATGCCAAGAGCTACAGGCAGCAGAATCTACTGCAAGGAAGGAAATGTTCCAGCTGCTTTGAGCAACCAAAAAGGCTTTGTTGTGGTTTGAAAAGACATGGGAAGTCATGAGCCCAATGCTTTTAATTGCTTGAAAGGAAAAAAAAACAAGGCATATGGCAAGCCTTTTCGTTTGCTTACCACTTCCTGGTCTAGGCGAGTTACCATCTCTTCAAGCTTTTGGTGACCTTTTTTCAAGTCTTCCTCTGTGCGCTTCAAGGCATTGAGCTCTGCCTGGGCACGGTCCATTTCTTCTTTCATTCTCCATCTCAACTTATCACTGACTGCTGAAATGAGCGAAGCTCGAATGGTATCTTCGCTAATGGTGCCATCTCTGCTGGGACCTGTACAATAAGATTCAGTCACAGAATCAACCCTTTCTACCTCTGAGGAGATTTGTAGGTCATGACAATCTGTTTGCAAAGGTATCTGAGGCTAAAAAAAAACTAGAGTATGTTAAAACAGATTAATTTTCAGACATAACATTCCAAAAGGTGTACCCATGAACTTCTAAGTTGCTTAGTAATCTATTGTACTTTCCCAGCTTAAGGAGGTTCTGCCCATCTTCTCACAGAGTGCAACTGTGAACTTGAACCAGCAAATATTTTAAAAGCAACCATAGAGCTTTCAAGTGTTAGCTAATTAACACATTAGCTAACTATCACAATGAAAAAACATCAAGTCCTTGAACACAGGTTTCGCTCTCAGTCACTCAAACTTTACTTTGGATACACCCCCAAATTCAAAATGTTTTAATGAAAACACAGAATGTTTCTGTCAGATTACTAGCTCTGGTTATTGTTTGAGGAGCACTGAGTTGAGCTACAAACAATGAAACACTAGTTTATTTTTTATACAAATATTTCTTTTGCTTTTGCATCAATCATCATATAAAATATCTACAGTCATTTTTTATCACCAAGTTCACATGAAACCCCAAATGTTTGCCATGCACAAGATGGTCTTTCCTTATTAAAACCTTTCCTTCCAAACACCCACATCCACGAATTCACATTGCACATTCAAATCTACAAGTTTTTCACTTGTCTCCTCACAGACAACACTGTCTGAAGAGTTTCCTTACATTGAGGACTTGAAATTTTATAAAAATGAATGCCCTGTCTTAATCACTACCGTTACTAATCTACAAATATATTTTAAGAAAGTATTCAATAAACTGTGTAGGTTCCAAACATCACAATTATATCAAACCTAGCAAGAATTAGCAACAGCACTCTAGTATAAAAATTGTATTTTACCTTAACACACCAGCTCAAAGAGCCCCACAGGTTTCATATGCAGCTTGAATTTGCCGCCATCCATGTGTTCTCTTAACATTAAAACTCTTCTTCTTACAGTCTCTTTCACAATTATCAGTCCATTCTTTTTGCTTTTGAGGTGTTCCCACTGCCCCACATAGCACTTAGTATGTAGAAAGTATGGTATGGGTCTATCCCAGCAGTTTCCTGACCAGCCCACCTGCAGCAATTTTGTCCACTCAGCAAAAGTAAGCAAAGTACGGAAAACGTCTGTTCATGCTGTTGTTTCTGAATCCGCTCTGTCTTGCTGCTGCTTCATTCACTCTGGTGGGATCTTCACACCAAAACAACTTTATGGAATCACAGTCTCTGACTGGAACTTCCGACTCCAGACTTGGGATTTCACTTTATGAGGATACATTGTGAATTCATTTTCAGTATTTCATTCTTCCTGCTTTCATTTTCTTTTCGTTAAATGGATATAAGCTTCTTATCTTCAGAATAAAATTAATGACGGATGAGTATCAAAATTTCATTTCTTCAACGCTTTTAAAGTCCAGTTACCAATTTCAGTGAACACCAGATTATTTTTATTTGCTCTCATTTCCATTCTTGCCTTGGGTTCATGTCCAACAAAGTTCAAAGTCTGACGCTAATGTCCGTTATGTTGATCATTGCTCCCTAGTCTTTCTGCTCTTCTCTTGAGTATGTATAGGCGTGCTATCATATGTAAGGAACACTGAAAACTGGTGTCAGATGAATAAACCCTTCTGCATAACAAATGTTGAGCAATTTAAACCAAAAATTATTTGAACACAAAACATTATTACAGCTCAGAGTTCTGCACATTGCTGATTCTAAACATTTGCGTATCATCTGAGTTCCCCCCATGAAGCTTTTATCCCAAAAACAAAACAAAAACACCTCTCCAAACATTGGCATTATTAATTTTCTATTATATTAAAAGTATAATAATAATAATAATAATACAGATTTTAATAAGACATTCTTATGGGACAAGGGGCCCCAAAACATCCTGGAAAATCTCCAAATACCTACACCTCCAAAAATGCCTCCCACTTTTACATAATTACTGGTATTTAACTTTTAGCAGTTTCAACTTGAATTATATGCATATTTCTGAAGAATGAACAGGCATACAGACAGTTACGCTGATACATGCTGCTAGATGTATACAATTTGTAAGGCGAGCCCAAATAAAGACATCAAAACTCAGGTTAACGAATTCCCGCAGGTTCCAAAATGACAGCTAAGAAATAAGCAAAGGCCAGAGTCAACATCCTTAGAACATATTGTTGTTGCGTTGCTTTTAAAACAAGCCATATTCTCATTAAATATAAAAACATAGCTTGTTGTTAAAACATTTATTCAAATACTTGTGCAACAAGAAAACAAGTATAATTCAAGCTAAAACAGAGATGGAAGCCAGGATATTGTTTGATATTCTTTTAGCTTTAGAGGGGAACCATGGAATGTGTTGTGTCATCAAGTGCTGTCCCAACTACTGAAAAGACCCAAGGCAAAACAGTATGTCGCAGACGTTCTATTATATAATCTCAGGTGATTTGAGTGAACTGCAAACATTCAGACGTTTTAACTAGCCAAACATAGGGGTGTAACTTAAGTGATCTAAGTAAATATGTTTATGTACATCAAAAGATGTAACCCTCTAATCCCTCTCAAGTGATTTAAGAATTCATCAAAGTTTGCCTTTAAAAGATTAAGACCAGACTAGCTATGTGGTAGGACAAATGAAAACAAGTATTCTGGCAGACTTAAGGTAGGTTTGCAGTGATGTCAGCATTTGATTATCTGCATTGCCAAATTCCAAGGAAGCCTGGTGATTGGGCAGATGAAAATGTGTAGAGCCCATTTCCACAACATAGTGATAACAAAAGCTTTTGACAGGTGATTTGTATTATTTGGGAGCTATGCAGCACCAAGTGCCTGAAGACTACCTTTCGTATTTTGCCCCCTTATCCATCAAGTAAGCACACACTTACACTTGCTCCTAAGAAAAAGAGCAAGGGCTACTTTTGGTTGAATTTGAAGTACCATGTCAAATCACTAAAGAGGTTCTCTTAAGTGTTTTCCCCATTCACCCTGTGTTGCATATTCCTGTACCTGAAAGACAGCTGCACGCAAGAGTTTACTGCAGAAATTGGTCCTAAATTGAAACATGTTGCATCGTTTTCTTCTGAATGATCTAGATAACAGTTTCAACAAAATAAATGAAGGCTCTGTTCTGAAACTATCCATTTCTGTGTTTTCCATACCAAGTTTTATCTTCTTCTACTACTGTCTAGACTTGTCCTGTTTAAAACGAATTATTCAGAGTAAGAAAATCATGAAGGCAGTTTCAAAAAGTAACTTAACCTTATTTTGCTAATCCCCTGCTTCAGAAACCGTATTAAAATAGGGCAACAGGAAAAAAAACCAACCCAGAACAAAACGAACAAATCACTTGGCTCAACTGAGTAAGCTGCGCTAAAGAGGAAGGTAAACACTGTTCAAAGCAACTATGGGTGATATCAAATGTTACTCATTCAGAAGTAGACCCATTTAGATCAATGGACTTAAGCCCACTTATTTCAGTGGGTCTACTCAATGCTAATTTAGGATTATCAGCCTATATGGTCATCCAGAAAATGATCTTGAAAAAGCCAGCAAAACAAAATCCTATTCATGTGCTAGACCCACATTTCCATCTCTCTCTGCCCCAGGTTTCTTTCCACCATAAGCATATATCATATAAATATATCTTAGAACCAGTTACAACTTCTTGGTCAAAGCTGTTTATTTATGAAGCTTTTGTCTAGAGCTTAAATAAAGTCAGAGAAATAAGTCTGCATGTACAAATATATGGTTTTAGATGTACAGAGAACAAGACAGGCTACCACCATATACCAATTCATACCAGGAGCACTTGATTTGAAGAGCACCTTCAAGAACATGAACCCTTAACATTTTCAATCACTTCCATAATTAGCCACCCTTCGAGAAGAGTTCCTGGCATGCAGCCATATGTCCAAGGGAAAACTCAGACATTTAACCTTTGCTATACAGAGTCTAGTTTCAGAGCTGACCTTATGGTACTGACCTTACAGTACTGCAGACTAGCAGTTCACTCAGACAGAAAAGAAACAGCTAAATATCAACTTGGCAATGGAAGAAACTGATGTTTAATTTAATTTAATTTAATGATGATGACTATATATCACCACCAGTAGGACAATGTGAAATGTAGCATAAACAAAGTAATAATGGTGTATTCCTCAATTATTAACTAGAAAAGAATTTTAATTATCTTTTCAGTTGACTTTTCAGGAGGGGTATGATGTCAAACAAAATATTAACACTGAAAGATGGAAGTGCAAGATTAAACAGGCTAAATTGCTTTAGCTGTATCAGAACTGCCAGAGTAGACAGTCCATTTTAAAGGATTAATACATTGTGGAAGTCCATCAGCTGGGGGCCCTATAACCAGTTTGAATGACTTCCAGAAAATACTGCCTTACTAGGCCTCTGTTTAGTTGAACTTCAAGTAAGACATTTCTTCAGATAAGGTAGTAACCTCCACCCCCACCCCACCCCACCAATTAAGTACCTTAAGATTAACACCGCCATAAACCCTTAATATGCAGCTTATATTCTTGAGCAAAAAAACCATTCTCTGAGAATAAAAATTGAAAGGAAAGAACCTTGATATCAGCCTGGGGTCAATCTTCACTGAACCTTTTACCAGGCAACGCCAGGAATTTAACCTGACACATCTTCAGCAGACAAAATGTCTGCTCACTTTGCTATGGTCTCTTCTTTCTCAGACCCTGCTTCTAGTGGCACAACATCCAAGGTTGGAGAGCCCTCCATAATGCCCCCCATGAACTGCAAGGAATTTCCAGCAGAAGGAAATTCCACCTCTTGCCCAGTGGAAGTGCTCTTCACTTGTGCATTGGGATCCTGCTCCATGATAACGTAAGTGAACTCTGAACCCCTGAATGTTAATATATTTACGGAAAGAAATCTTAGAAGAATGAACCCTGATATCCATCTCTACTAGTCTTTTTAGGGGATTCCATTCTAATTATATAACTGCTACTTACCCCCCAAAGCTTAATTAAGTCTGCAAATCAAAGAGACCCTGTGGAAGATGTTGCTCTGCTCACTGCTATATTCCAGTTCCCCAAGAAACTGGAGTATTCCAACAAGAACAAAGATTTCTGAAAGGCCACCTTGTTCGTACAGATGTGCGAGCAAGGGAGACGCTGTGAGCTAACATGAAAATATAAAAGCAAAATTAATATTTGTTGCTCATTCATAAACATGCAACATACTTGAAATACTATATACCAACCATAAGTAAACCATATATAGTACTTAACAGCAGTGATAACTGAATTTTAACAGTCCCAACAAAATTAATATCATGGATCCAAAAAGCAACATGTTTTTGCCTGAAAGCTTTCCCTTGCATTCTCCCAAAAAGCCACCCTTGAGAGTAGAGGGAACCTCAAGAACAGTATGAGATGGGTGGTGAGGAAATGCAGTTGAAGGGGGAGATCAGTAAGCTGCCTTGTGCAAGTAGAAGTCCTTTCAACTTATGTAAGACAAAGTCTGGATCCAAAGCTTTACTTTTATCTCATACAGATAATGGTCACCAATTACTGGTAGCAACAGCTCTTGAAAGTTTTGCTTTCATAAAATTATGTGTGGTAGTAGCTTACTTAAACACACTATTTTTATACAACGTAAATATAGCTGAGGAAAGTATCACCATTTCTGGGATGTTTGACTGTGGGCTGACTCGAGAAGTGTTTCAACAAGTACAATTAGCAACCCAAAGAACATCTTTCCTCAATCGTCTTTATAAAAAAAATTCACATCATTCAGTACTAAGTGTTCACTAACAAAGAATGTAAGGACTAAGAAATAAATACTAGTATTTTATTGTTGGAACACAAATCTCCAAGTTATACAAATTAGATGGATCAAACAGCATTGCCCAACATCAAAAAGGTAGAAAAGATAGGCCCAGATCCATACTGGAACTTAACGTCCCTACTACAAGCAAGTATTCAAAATGAAGGCTATAGTCAGTTGTAAGAACCAGTAAGCGCCTGCCATGTCCTTAAGGGAATGAGCTGGACCGCACTATAAACATGTAGAATTCTGCTCCTGTCCCTCCCAAAGGCTATATAGTTCTCCCCCAATCTAGTGGGAAATTTCCAGAGTGGTATGCAAAGAGAGGTTATGTAAAAAAATATAAATGTAATCCAAGCATTCATCTTAAACTGCAGTAAAGTTCAAGTCTAGTCAATATCTGTCTGCTACATTCTATTCCTGTTGCCCTTGCATTCCAGAATCACATTTGTGCTAAATTTTAGCTTCCAACATCAACCTACAAGATTGATATCATATTTGGAAGTACTGACCATTTAAAACCACAATACCGACAAATCCAGAATTCGTCTGGATATTGACCTGATTTCAGAGAAGCTGGGAAGGTGAAGTAAGCCACTGAAGTTAAGCTCTCTCTTGTTTGTGAAAGGCACATTACAGCATAAAAGCAATTTACATAAAATGTGCTACCGAAACACTGAAGGATATTGTCTCATGTGGCTTCATTCACAACCAACTCTCCTTAAGAATATTCAAGTTCACGGCAGGGTTCTTTTAAAATAAAAAAAAGCATATGCTTCCCTGTAATTTGTTTCCTAGTAAGTACTAACAGTGATTGTGAAAAATGGTCATTCTATTAGATTATATTTTTAAAGTAAATTCTGATGCAGGCGATCTGCCTTTTTTCCAGGAAAGGTGACACAGTAATGCCAAAGCAAAACTGTCATACAGTCACTGTCAGACAGTTCAACAAGCTTCAAGGTAACCAGAATATATACCTTCACACAGTTTTAACAAGTGCCATAATAGCTCTTGGCAGTCATGATCTTTTGCAATGAATGTCTTGCAGAGTAACATTTCAAACTTTCAGCGTCTAAAACTTATATAGGATTTTGGATGTGACATTCCTGGTTGAATAAGCCATGAAGGAGCATCTGGTGCAAGCATCTGGTGTTTATGCTGGTTTTAGTACTTTGAGCCCAGGCTCTTTAACTCAGTTTCCCATTATGTCTGAAATTGGGAGCACTGGTTTAATGTTGATCTACTAACCAGCATCTGAAATCTGATTAGCAAGCTTCTATTAAACCTCAATTCCCCATTTTAGAGGAAAGTGTGACTTAAAAGCAGCTTGGGCTGAACCTGGCACACATGGGGAGGCGGGAATAAGCTTGATGCTTATTCTTGCTTAATGAACTATGGTTTATTAAGAATTTTACCTCTGAGCCTGCCATATGTTAATAAACACTCATGAAGCATAAGTGATTAACATATAACTAGAGTAACATGTGAGTCCATGTATAATGAAGCCATAATGCTTCAGTTTGTTTTCCTGCCCTTTTCCAAGGTTACATATTTTTTATGTTTTATTCTGATCTACCCACATAAAATGGCTTTGTAAGCTATTACTGCACCCATATTTTAGGTAGCTATCACCTCGTGCTATTCACTGAGCATTTTTCGGATGGGAATATCAATCAGGGAAACTAAACTGCTTGGCAGTGTCTCTAAGCACACTGTAGAAGCAAACTGAATTCAGTGGGGTGGGGAAGTAAACAGAATTTAAAAAAACTTAAATATATCGGCAAATATCTTACTGCAGTGGTTGCAGAACAATGCCACTAGCAATTACATTACTAAATTAATACCCACCACCATATTAACAGTGCAATTCCACTGCCTGAAAATTCAAATTACCACCGTTCACAACCTTCTAATAATCTCTGTCTGTAGAGACCTTCCATACTTGCTTAAACTGAAATCTATTATTCCTTCTCCAAAGAAAAAGTTAGATCAGAGTCTCCAAAACACTTAATAAATCCAGGTTGAAGACATCTGTGCCACTTGCAGACAAGAGAACACCATCTAGATGGAACAATCCTGGAGACTCTGGGACAAGTGAATCGTGTTTGATTATAATCCCTCCAATACGTTCCATAAAACTGCCGATTTCCCGATTTACTCGCTTCCTGCTTTTCTCCATGAATTCATGGGACATATCTTGGCTCCATGCTTTGCGGGGTACAATATTAGACCAGACAAGGATGCTGTTCTTGAATGTTATCTTAATATGTATTATATCTTTCTTCATTTGTCTTATGATATCATAATCTGCGTATGTCCCAAGGTCATTTCCTCCTAGATGGACCACCAATATATCAGGATCTGTTAGACGCCGCCGTGTGTGCAATAGGCTGGGTATCAACTGATCCCACGTCATGCCACTCTTTCCTAGCCAATGTAGTTTGGCATCCTCCAGTCGAATGCCCAACTGTGGGCCAAAGCTTCTTTCAAGTGCTCTTTTTTCTGCCCAGAAAACGTAAGAATGACCACATATCCATACCTGTTTCTGCTTTCTTCTGCCATCTGCTATTAAGAGAACAAACATACATTAATGCTTCATAAATTTTGTGGCCCAAGCACCTCCTGAAAACTTTATTCAGTGTTGTCTGAATTATTCCATGTAAAAATCAAAACATGAGACACCTCTATCTTAAAATACATGGCATAATAATCCATAAAGTCAACTCTTTATTTGAAGATTGGTGTGTAAAGTTTACAGGTAAAAATGCCTGTATGCAAGTTATAAGATCAATGGAAAGGAATGCATGCTCATGTACCCTTTTGATCAATCTTACAAGAGCAAGTGAAAATATCTTTTCTAAATAAAGTTGCTAACAATCCATTTAGATCTTGATAAAGTATATAGGTTTGATAGATGTGCTCTACTCAGAATGAAGTTCTTCCAGATTTTTTTCCAAAATTAACAAAAGGTCAGGAGCAGAAGTCCATACCTTTCAAGCAGAAGAGAAAGCTTCAACTGTTAAGAAAGCCCAGGGAGCAGAGTTATACTTCTCTATTAAATCTTATGTAGAAATTTATGTAACCATTTCCACACTTTGCCTGACAGGATTAATTTTTGTTGCCACATTACACCTCCATTTTTAAAAATTCATTTTCTGAACAAAACTCTAGAAAGCTTGCACTAGGGATAGATTTTCTATTACTGCCCTGAAAGAATAATAATTTGATCTCTTCTAAACAATGTAGACCTCCAGTATTAAACTACAGAAAATTATCATTTTTACATTCTCCGTTCAATTTTCAACTTGTTTTTGTTTATGAAGTCTTTTCCTGACATGCAATCCAGTCAATTTTATAATTGTAAAAATGGTTTTATTGTTTTTAGAGTTTGCATCTTTTGTATTTGATCTTATTGTACATAGCTTCAATAGCATATGGCTCTGAAGCAGTCCATAGACCTGTAAAATAACAATAACGATAATAGTAATAGCTCAACAAAAGTGATGATAATTTTTGGAGTTCAAATATATTCTATGTGACATTGGACAAGAAAATAGTGGATGATGATGAGGCCAGGGATCTTGCAGTCTTTGTGCTAAATAATAAAGTGCTTTCTAAATCATACTCTTTTGAGGGTTTTCAAGTTTTTGCTTATCACTAGAGGCAACAATACTTTCAGATTCTTAGGACTTCTCTCCTGAACAGGTCTGGTAGTTCTAGGCTAAGTAGTAACACAGGTGAGCAAGCATTTCAGCACCCAAGAATTACACTGAATGTGAAACAGAAGAAAGCTGTTGATTGGCACCTTTAGCTTACAGATCAACAAACTTCACAAGATGAAGATCGGGTGATGGTAGCTGGGCTACTTCATGAACGGCACTTCTACACTTGCATCACACACAAAAAGAGTAGGGGGAAAATCACAGTTTGGGAGAGTACTGGAAAACACGATGGAGTCAAGGATAGCTTGGTTCACTTCCAGTTAAGCACGGAACTCAACTGTATTTTCAGTGCTACTGACCCGACAGCAATCAAGGTTTCTTCAGTTCACATCATCCTTAGGTACTGTGCTCCATCCTTGGCTGACATAGCAAAAGGCTTGTAAATAGGCTGTAGTACTGCCTCTTGGACTGCAGTTACTCCACACTGGCTACATGCCTCTTCATTCTTGTGTCCAAATGATGCTGCTGTTCAAGTTCCTGGTACATTCAGTGGTGTGATCAAATGAAACCCACCCCTTTCTCATCATTGAAAAGTTCATAGCTACAAGATCATTCCCCCAGTTAATAAGAACATAATAAATATGTATGCTTAAAAAAGAAGAAGCCTTTGGGCTTTAATTTATCTTGGACCTGCAAACATAATATTTTCAAATACATGTGGACTTCATTACATAAAACAGTTCAATAAAAATGAAGTTTGTTGAACAGTGAAAACAGTTAATGATTGTTCCATAAATCAAACAAAGGAGAAAAAAATGAACATCCAGCATGGTTAAAGTGTAATGTAACTGATGTTTTTGCCACGAGGCACTTAATGCCCATCTCAGAAATAGGTGTATTTGGATTTGCTTTATGCTGCATATTTAGAATGAGCAATCTCATTACATTCGGAAAAAGACACTTTCAAAGCTACTCACCCACAGTAGTTACAGGAGGCTGAGAAGGGTAGTGTTGTGTGCTAGTTGTTGGTGGAAATGATCCGCTAGGGGGAGGGTAAGGATAGCTTGGGTAACCACTCGAAAGGGGAGGGGGAGAAAGACATAGTGTTATGCATTCTTTAGTTAATATCTCCATTCATAAACAAAAACAAAATATTTTTTTTACATTTAAACAATTTATAATAGACAAACAGAATTTTAAAAAGAGCCACTTATGCAGATATAAACAGTCAGAGTAATATTCAAGACTATGAGAAATTTGTTGTCATCCATAGGTTTCAGAGGTATCAATGTTTTAATCAATGTTATTCAAATATGTATAAATAAATTTCAAGTTCCCTGATCAAAGTTTCTTCACATTTGTGGATTAAAGCTGAAGACAGGTAGAGGCACTCAGTCTAATTATTCATCGTTCATTCTGCTAGCAGTTAGCAGGTTTGTACTTTGTTGCATTATTTTCATTTGAAAAGGTCTATGTTGCCTTGGTGGTTTCAATTACAGAGGGGAGATTGAGCAGGCTTCTCCAACTGACAGAGCATGTACACATTTTAGAGTTTCTGCATGCTACGTTACTTTCCTCAAAAGTTAGTGCCCTCTATTTCCACTCAGTTGGTGCCATGCACTCCATTTTCAGAATAAGTTATATAATCCATATAGTGATGGCAGAACTAATAAGCCATCAATAGTAGGAAACTAGAGACAATAATACCACAGGATATGTGTGGGATTTCTACACTCAGAACTGTGTCTATTGTGAACAAGCCTAACTGTTTAATTCATTGTACTAACACTAGCCAACAACTAAAGGGAGAAAATGAGCCGATGTGTAGAAACAAAGCAGTCCTCAGCCCTCTTCTGTCTCCATACATTAAAAGAACATGTGCATAAGGTAGCAGTGTATTATATCGAGGTTGGTGTTAGATTTTAGTAGACTCTCAGACTGGGCCTCTCTCAGTTCCCCTGCCCAACAATGTGTCTTCCCTTGGGCACTCTGCCCACCAATTCTGCTGCCACCAGTCATTTCTCACTCCCTCTGGTTGTGCTTATCCAGCAGATGGCAGCGGTGTTTTTGATGGAAAACAGGCTACTACTCAGCTCTGATCTTCAGCAGCAGATGGCTGCCATCTCAGAGACTCCAAATGCAATGCCCGTTTGTGAGCACTGCATTTTGGGGGTCCTGAGATAGTGGCCACCCACCACGGACTGGAGTTTGAGTGGTAGCTTGGCTCCCATATGAAAATGGCACCTGCTGGTGGAGGGTAGTGATTGGTGGTGGTAACAGCATTGGACAGAGACCCCAATGGTGGTGGAAATGCCAGGCAAGGTGTCAATGGGGGTGATAGCAAGACTGGCATCAGCTCCAATGGGGCCCTGCCAGAACACGTGCAGCAGTTGCTCCAGTACGTTGGGTTCTAATCCTGGGTCTGTTTTGGAGTTGCTCCACCACCACTGCCCACACTGTCTATTGCTGGCTTCACCCTCAGACTTATACATATTGGGCAGAAAGTCTGAAGGGGAAACTTACACACATTCAGCAAAAGGTACACAGGCTCCTCCATGTAACTAGGAGTTCTGTGGATGTATAGATGTAAATTTTGTGGAGGAGCCTGTGTGCATTAAGCTGAACTTACACACATTCTCCCAACAGATCTTCTGCCCAGTGCACAAAGGTCTGGGGGATGAGCTGGAGGGAACAGAGACATCAGAGACAGAAAAAAAAACATGCATAGCTGTGCACCCCCCTACATGTGTTCTTTGAACATGGGAAGCCTAGATTTTTTATATATAAAAGGGCTCTCATCAGGAGAGGATGCAGCCAAATAATGTTAAGAATGCAGGAAGCAAGCTGAAAAGTTTTATAAAAAGGCAAGAATGTGAGTCATTTTAGAAGTATAGGTTTACAATGACACCAATTTTGCTCACTATACACTTAATCACTGCTTTACCCAAATGAAGGGGCCTTAAATGCAACCAGGGTTTTTGATTACTGTATTTAAATAACAACATATAAAAGACCCTGACTCAACACCCAGACAAAACTGAACTCAAGATGAATGGAATACAAATCTAATGCTTTTAAAGTCCATCACTCTCAATTTCAGAAATGGGCACAACATCACATTGTCCAATATTGCCAGTGTAGTCTATTGGATCAGCAGATTCAGCAAACTATAGCTTACCTTGGGTTAGGTGGTGGTCCAGGAGGGAAATGAGGCATTCCACTTGGCATTCCTGGCATATAGGAAGCTGTGCACAACAACAATTTCAAACATTTTAACAATTTAGGATAGTGTTGTTCAATTATATAAAATTATCTTAACAAATAAGTAATTGGGTTGCCTCTACTCAAGGTAGATCTACCAAATGAATGGAAATAATGAACTTAGGTCTATTTCTTTCAATGGGTTGAGTAGAACTTAGTTGAATACATCCAACTAGATTAGATCCAAACTTCCTGTGAGCAGAAACCTTCTGGGGGAAATGGAAGAGGCAATGCTTACCTATTCCTTCCTGCTATTTCTGACCCCTGAAAGTTGTTCTGGAGGACAGGGGGAGGGGGTATTCTATGGAAGACCATGGAAGTTGGTGCTGAGACAAGAGGCAATAATCACTTCCCCAAGTCTCCACTGAACCTCAGTCCCTTTGTGGAACAGAAGCAGCTGTTTTATTAATAGAATGACAAGTATTGATGCAGCCCATTTGTAATTTCTACAGTTGTAAAAGTTATTTTTTAATAGCCCAAATGAAGAAAATGCAGAAGGAAAGAAAAGACAAAAAAGTCTTCTTGACCCCTGCCCCACCTTCAGAATAAGCAAACAGCAGCCCAGGAAACCATTCCTGTTCCTAGTCTTCCCTGTTGTGCTTGCACTTATTATGCATTTCAGTTACTTTACTCTTGCTGCATAAGCCAATTCAGAGTGTTCATTTATCCCATTTTTTCCTTACACATATTCAGATCCATAGGTGGAATTCAACATCACATTATTTCAACTGTTCCCTTGGTGCAAATGTTTTTGCTTGCTTGACAGAACAATCTCCCCTCTTCTCCTCCTGCAGTCTGGGGTTTTTTCCTCCCAAAGCGGATAGTGTGGGGAGACCCCACCGTGCTACTGGGAGTCCTTCCACTGGCTCCTGCTAGTACAACTGTTTAGTACTTTAATTGAATCCAGTCCTATATAACCAGGGAGTCCTTACAAACAAGCCATTATTAAAATGAAGCAATTAATCTAATAATAAAGATTAAAATGCTCATACTAAGAGCTGGATCTGTAGAGTTGGTTCCAGAATTGTGAGGGAAAAGGTCCACTTGCCCCCTCCTCCCCACTGCTGCTCACTACGCCCCTTCCAAAAATCACCTGAAATTTGAGGGAGTTTCTGGAGTGGTCCAAGATGGGACACGAGGAAGAAATCAATGAATTAGATGTGATGTGTGTCTTGCATTTGTTAAGTATACGTAACACATCCCACACTCCAATTTAAGACAATTGAGACTGCACTTTGGGGCTTTCCCCATTATGTTATGTTATATCTCTCACTGCACCAACTCTACATTCAGTGCAATGAAGAGTTCTGGAGAACCTGAAAATTTGCTCACTACTAAAATTACATTTCCAAGGGTCCTAATGAAGCTATTTCCCAACTGTGGTTCCCAAAACTGTGGTTTTGCACACCCCCACCCCACACCCCCACTGAAGACCAGGACAGCTACCTATGATTTTTAAAGTGATGGTGTCAAAACATTAGTGTTACTTTCAAGCTGGCAATATATAGCTTTACTAGTTCTGAAGTCAAACTCCTGGCTATTCTATATTTGGCTGACACCTACTGGCAGAGATGATATTCTCTGGTGGTAAAAAGTACTGTACAATGAGAAAGCTTTTTGCAATGCTAAAATGGCAGAAAAGAAAGCAAATTTCCTTGAGTGTTCAGCATTGGTACATCTAACAATGACAGGTTTTTGTTCTATAAAACGAATTTCCCTACAATAATCCCTGTTTTCAAACTGGTATAAGTATACATTTCAAATATATGCCCTACACATCTTATAAAATAGCACAGTAAATTCTTGCAAAATAATTAACAGTTGTAGGAACATCTTTTTCTCAGAATTTGAGAGCAATGGAACATAAAAGTGTCATTATTAGATACCCAAAAATTAGATACCAAAGCGAGTTTTTAATTTGATTTGCAATTAAAAGAAAATTAGTATAAAGGATGCCAATATAACTCTGCTAGCATTACAAAATAAGTAAGTTTCAGAAACAATGACATATGAAGGTACTGTACTGATAATTGCAAAATATTAGCATAAATAATGTTTGAAAATAGATCAAGGATCAAATGAATTGTAGCAACATTGTTGAGTTTGTAGTGTGGGTGCTAAAAAACTGAACATCTTTCATAGAAATTTATTTATAATCAAAACAGTTATTAGGCAGCATGCTCAAAATATCTAGCCTAATTCTCTGCATTTAAATAAACCAAACTCAGAGCTGCTGAAAAAGATTACACAGAATGAATATTGGCTATACAACTTGTGCTCTGGACTGGGCAATTGGCAGAAGGAATACTTTATGTTTTAACAAACAACATAACTACATATTTAGAAACCAATACTACATTAACTAGATCCTTTCAACAATACACCATGCCATTATTCTACTTGTTTTCATTGCAATTTGCAAGTATATGGGGTACAAGGTACTTACAGTTTGGTGGTCCTGTTGCCTGGTAAGGTGGGTAGGCTGCTGAAATGGTAGGCCGAGAGAAGACTGGAGGTTCTTCTCCAAACACCACAATCATCACTTGAATCAAGCCAATCAAATCTGATTGTGGCTAAGGGGAAAGCATATAAAAATCTCTTTGCTTTTTTAATCCCACAAAGATTAACAATGACATTGCATCCATCACCTTGTCTGTTATAGGTGGTCATTTGGTTACTCTATTTGTAGGTTTTGGTCAAGTATATTCCAATTCAGGTGCAATCACTATCTGATAAAAATTAAAGTGTAGCATATCACTGAGAAAGTACTGATGAGAATATGAACCCTAACCCCATACAGTGGTGCCCTGCAAGACGAATGCCTCGCAAGACGGAAAACCCGCTAGACGAAAGGGTTTTCCGTTTTTGAGTTGCTTCACAGGACGAATTTCCCTATGGGCTTGCTTCGCAAGACGAAAATGTCTTGCGAGTCTTGAGATTTTTTCGCTTTTCCCCCCCTTTATCTAAGCCGCTAAGCCTTTAATAGCCTTTTAGCAGCTAATCCGCTAAGCCGATAAGCCTTTAATAGCCGCTAAACCGCTAATAGCGCTAATCCACTAAGACGCTAATAGGGTTGCTTCGCAAGACGAATAAACCGCTAGACGAAGACACTTGCGGAACGGATTAATTTCGTCTTGCGAGGCACCACTGTATTAATTATCAGCAGCAATTAGACATTTTATGGCAGGCCACATTCCAATTGCGGATCTCATGAATGGAGATCAAATATGACAAAAGCAGTAACACAATTAGTACTATGTAAGAGTGCTAAGCTTTTACTCAATAGAGACCCCAGTTTCCCAATGCCACATCCTTCTGCTATAACAAATGACCAAAGGAAAAAGCAGAATATTCAACAAAACTGCTACTTAAATGGTGAAATAATTTAGGGCTAATGGTTAAGAATTTTATAATTGTACTTACATGTTTCCATTCATGTAGATATGGAAGGTATATCTTGCCATTTGCATCCACGTGCTTCCCAGTTTTAATTGTCATTGAACTAGTTGGCTTAACAAAACAGATTGGTGGATTATATGGATATGTATCCAACAGCCACAGACATATTGGGATATTGTATGTGTTACCTGAAGAAGTTATTTAAAAAAAAAGATGAATGCATTATTATTTTCTCCTCCTGACAATATATTTTAATGCTGTGAAATAGGAATGATTACAAATGCTGCCCTTGTAGTGATGAAAGGCCTTCTAACCTCCACTAACAGAAGCAGACTGCCCTCTAGCCCACTGTTCTGGAAGTCTCCTTGAGCCCTTCTCCCAGGGTACATGCAGGGCGGGGGAAATTCCATTGCACACATTGTGCTAATGAAAAAACTTTGTTGGACACTGCACAAAGAATAGGAAAATCTCCTGTATGTGGCAACACAAAACAGTTATACAAAGGTCCAAAACTAAGAACAAAGCATTCAGAACAAGTTCGTGACCAAGCTGATCAAAGTAAATGATGTAAGCTTTCAAGTAATGTACTGGCAATCTACCCAAGACAAATACATACCTTTGTAATTTACAGGAATGGTTCCTGTGAGGCTCATCAGTTCTCTTGATGAACCATCATTAAAAACTGAAAAGCAAAAAAAAGCCTTATGCAACCTGTTCATTTTATAGACAGATAACAAAAATTGTGTGCATGCTTGACAAAATAGATATATAATCTCAGAGACAACTTTTCATCAAATACCTCTCTATATACAAGCAAGCATCTTCTATGAAAATGAACTAATAACACCACACAATAAGAAATGGCTAGCAAATTATTGTATGACAGGCAGATTTGTTCCATATAATTCTTGCATCTATGAAAAATAAAGCTGCCATAAAATTGCTATTGTAGTTGTCAGCCTTCAAAGCAAAGCCTAAAAATGAGCAATACTATTTCCAAGTCAAGTGGGGGGTGGCTGTGGGACTCCAGACATTGCTGGACTACAATCCCATCATCCCTGATCATTGGCTTAGGGGAAAAAGGTTTCCCTATTACCATTTTGCCAAAAAGCATGTCTCAAATAATTAGCACAGTACAGGGGTGACTAACCTTTGGTCCTCCATATCTTGCTTAACTATCATTGAAATCTTCTCTGACTACTGGGTTTGCTAGCTAAGGCTGACTGCAGTCTAACAAGATCTGGGGAACACCAGGTTAGCTACCCTGTTCTAATAAGTTACCTCATTTCTTCTTTGTCATAAAATTTCTTACACAAAATATGATATACTGATAGGACACTGACATAGACTAGCTAACAAAAATACTACACAAAAAAGAAAAACATACTCACCATATCCATCCATTACAGGCTTGAGGTCTTTGTACTGGGTAATAACACTGACAGTTTCCTGAACAGTCAAGTCTCTGTACTTGTACTAGGGGGAAATAGATTTTTGAAAATCTTAAAGCTCCATGAAAGACAACTTCCACTGAAAACATTTAGACTTCCTTCAACACAACTATAGTGACTAGAGAACAAGATCTGCACAGTCTTCCACAGCAGGTAAGATACTATAAATACTTTTTTATATAGAACCACTTTGCTGAATTACAGCCAGAGATTATAGAGAAAACTTGACCTGCCAGGATCAAGTATAAGTGGTATGTCATGATGCAAAGTGAATCAAACTCAATTCTACAATTAGGATGCTCAAGTGAAATGAGACTATCCATAATCCAACATGTTCTTTGTCTTGTGGTAAGCTGATGCAGTTCTACAAACAAAATGAATATACTTATGAATTAATGTAGACCACTGAACAGATTTTTAAAATTGTTGATGGCAATGAAATAAGTAGAGAATATGTGTCTCTATGACAGAGGCACATATTTAGTCCAACATCTCTGCAAAGACCATCTTTCTCTACCTCAGCCATCCACACACAGCGCCAACTGATCCAGAGCACTCTCATGTCCCACACTTATCTCTGTAGCCTCCCACTCTCCACTGGACAGCAAAAAAACTGATTCCTTCCAGCTCCTCTTTCTAGTCCATTATCAACTCTGCTCACCTACTTGAGCAATCCCAGTCCACAACTCCCTGTTCTTAAGGTCTCCTTGTATGGGAAATGCATCCAGAAGACAAAAATGTATCAAGGAGTTAGTGATCTGTTCCTTCCCCCTCCCTTGCTTTTGTTAAGTTTTTTGATGATGTGAGACCGGTCTTTAATGGCCTGAGAAAGTTGGGAGGAGGTGAAGCCCCCCCCAAAGCACCCTTCATCAGTTGGAAGGACAGTGCTGGGAACCTTATTTGACATTGGACATTGTTTTGAGAAGGTGAAGCACTGGGAGGGGGTGGCTAATGGATGATCTGCACATAGCCAGTCTGGCAAGCCACACCTGCTATCTATGGTTTCGGCAGAGTTTCTTTGAAGCTCCTGATCGGCTGCAGGGCTGTGCAAAGTGAGGCTACCTGGGGGAGTCGCTTTGCCACTTCCTGAGGGCTTCTAAATGGCAGATTGAAGTGCTTGCTTGGTATATATACATTGCTTGCTGTTTGAGAATAAAATCTGTAACCTTCTCATTCACTTGTGTTTTTTGTATTGCTTCTGAATCTCATTTTAAAAGAACCACCTTGCCTTTGGTTTTAAGACCAACAGCAGTCAACTTCTGTGGCCTCACTGCTCAGAAAGCAGTACCAGAGTTTGCAATGCCGCCGCTACCTGCCTTTATGCATTATAATACAGATTTAGTCTGTGATCTGCTAACATGGCCAAGTAAAATCAGCTGTGCAGAGCCAGCTGGCAATGTACTAGTGACTTTGTACCTTTAAGGCAGTCACCAACATTCACGTCCAATTAATTACCAATATATTTGTTTATCTGAAGACAATGAGAGTTATGCAGCCACGAAAAAAGAGAATAATGCAAGAATTAATATTTTAAGAATTATGAATAGTATCTATGTTCTACACCACACTAGCTCAACGTTTAGAATACTCTTGAACAAGTTCAAATATTCAATCCTATGGTTTATCACTAATTTGATAAAACCAGTCTAAACAAAGGGAGGAATTCAGTGTCACACTAGCACAAACATTCCATCAGTGCAAGCATTTCTACAGAACAAACTCCCCTCCCCACTGTTCTGGGGGTTCTCTTGACCCCCAGCTGGATAGGAGAGAAAGTCCCATTGCACTAGTGGAAGCCCTTGTGCTAGCTCCCGCTAATGCATCCACTTAGTTGAATCTGGCCCAAAATAGCATAGTGCTAGCTAAGAAGCAAAGATGAGATGCAAAATTCTACTCATAATCTTTAACAACAAAAAGCTGACAAAATACTGTCCCCACCCTCAGTTAGAAATGTATGTTAAAGGTTAAAATCACAGTTGTCTAATCAGGCAATGATGCATTATTACATTCTACTTCCTCCTCTTCATTCAACTTGTTACAAAGTAATAAGGTGGTTTTGCAACTTACTTGCCAATTAAGTATAGAATGGATCAGAAAATGACTCAGGGGAGAATATGTACATTAAACCTGCTGACTACTTAAACTAGCTTCATCCAACTAAAGGATCAGCTGGATGAGTAAGACTGCTGTCCTACACACATTTACTTGGGAGTAAGTCCCACTGAACTCAACTGCACATGAGATGTAAGGCTGCAAATTTAAGCACGCTTACAGCTCAATTCCTATATGTTTACTCAGAAGACAAAACCAGGCAGATAGCCTTCTCAGTGGTGGTGCCCGCCCTGTGGAACGCCCTCCCATCAGATGTCAAGGAAATAAACAACTATCTGATTGTTAGAAGACATCTGAAGACAGCCCTGTGTAGGGAAGCTTTTAACGCCTGATGTTTTACTCTGGTTAATATTCTGTTGGGAGCCGCCCAGAGCGGCTGGGGAAACCCAGTCAGATGGGCTGGGTATAAATAATAATAAATAATAATAATAATAATAATTACTACTACTGAATTCAATGAAGCTTACTCACATATAAGAATCAAGATTAAATTAAAATTAAATGGCACTCACTAGTTAGGCTATTCTTTAAGTACTATGCATTAATAATTATTAAAGAAGGAATAAGAGTTTGTGTTTTCAATAAACTTAATTCCACTGTAGCACAGCAAATAAAAATACAGTACAAACAGCTTCATTTATTAACAATTTAACAACAAACCTACACTGAACTTTGCAATTCAACTGAACTTTGGTTTGATATTGATACCAGTTTGGCATTCTCATCCAGGTTTTATCATGAATCTAGTCACCTTTCATCAATGTTCAGAGCTTTTATGTTCTACTGATTTCAGCAGAAGAATAAAGAACATTAACAACCTTCTCCAAATGAAATTCCCAGCACAAAAATGTTGCTTATACAAGGAATTAGTGAACTAAGCTGCTGGGTGGCATCCTTTTCTTTGTAAATGACAGACAGGTTTTCCTATAACCTGGTAAATTTAACCCTATAGTAAATTTCTTACTTTTGAGTGTTTTAAAATTAAATGTTTTAACACTATCTAAATACCTTAGAGTCATTAAAGCTCCCAAGTAAACTGTATCCAGCTGCTGCTAACAGATGCCACACTAGGTCAAGTTGTGTTAATTCACAATTTGGGCCCAAAGTACCTTTATACTCAACCTTGATCACTGAGATTCTTTGATGGTAACTAACCAACTCCTTCACCAACCTGAATGATCTCTGCTCACTTGCTGAGTTACATACTTATTTTAAAAATGTAGTACAGTAGTAATAATAATAATAAAACCAAATTTGTGTTTATTTAGACTTTAAAAACTCCTAAAGTACTTGCTTACTAGTTTCCATGATTCCTTTAGCTACTAAAAGCTTAGTCGTACCCATGTTCCTCATTTCAGAACGGAATTTAGCTTTAAATAGGCCACATAGGGCAGCAAATGATTCCGGAAACCCACAAAAACAAAACACCCAACTGAAAACTTGGGAGAGATCGCAACACGCCCATTATTTTCCTGTAATAACTAGGGAGGCCTCAAAGAGTTAGCAAAAGGCGTTGGGCGCTAAGGGTGGTCCCTTTTTGGACTGGACAGACCAGGGACTATTTCGGCCCGCTCTTTCCCTTTGCGGACTCCCAGGAGGATCATTCTCGCGACCCACGAAATTAGAAACCCTTCCCATTCCTGCTGCCAGAAAGCCGGCCTCGTTTATTCGTGTCTGGCTAGGATATTTTTGTGGATCCCGCCCCCCCCAGGCAGCAGGAAGAAGGGAGAGATAATGACTCTGGAGGCCTCGAGGACCCGCCGGGTGGGCGAGCGCGAAGGAAGCCCCGAGGCTGTTCCCCCCGGCAGAAGTCCGCTGGGAGGGGCTCCCCGGCCGGCCTCGCCGTTACCTTGCTAAGCATCTTCTTCAGCTGGCTCTCCGACACGGCCATGGCGGCGGCGGCGGGGCAGCGGGCCCTGCCGGCCGCCGGTGGTCGTCGTTCCGCGCCCCTCCTGCCGCTCCTCCGACTCCCCGCGCGAACGAGGAAACCTGCCCCGGCCTCTCTTCCGGTGCTTCCTTTCCACCCGTTTCCGCTCAGCGGCGCGGCGCGACGTCACTTCCGGCGGCCAGGTTCCGCATGCGCGTGAGCGTAGACTGCGGTCACTGACGAGCCCATAGAGATAGCAACGTGGAGAGGGTCACGCAGGCGCCTCCTAGTTGTTCTTTATTCCCATATGGAATCTCAGTTCTATAAAAGCACTGAAAGTGAATGGAGCATAAAATGTAACCATTCGGTTGAGCGCAGGGTTGGGATGGCGGGGGGGGGGTGTAATTTAATTAGACTTTCATCTTTCCCTTTTTCTTTTTTTTCTACACAACTGGGAGCGTTTTGTGTATGTGCTTTGTTTTGTACAGAGAGAGAAGGAAGTACAGTGGTACCTCGGGTTACATACGCTTCAGGTTACATACGCTTCAGGTTACAGACCCTGCTAACCCAGAAATAGTACTTCAGGTTAAGAACTTTGCTTCAGGATGAGAACAGAAATCGTGCTCCGGTGGCATGGCGGCAGCAGGAGGCCCCGTTAGCTAAAGTGGTGCTTCAGGTTTAAGAAGAGTTTCAGGTTAAGAACGGACCTCCGGAACGAATTAAGTACTTAACCCGAGGTACCACTGTACCGCATTTTTCTGTGTATAACACGCCCCCTATTTTGGGGGCTCAAAATTAAGAAAATACCCGTTTATAAGACGATCCCAATTTTAAAACATTAATTTCAAGTAAAAAATCCTCATTTTATGCACGGAAAAGTATGGTAAGTCCTCTCTACCGGAAATGATAGTGGCTGATTGTAACATCTTCTCCATTCAATAAAACGTTGGGACCACTGACTGTTATATGGAAAGGAGGGTAGTTCGTTGGGAGAGCAAATATTTTGCATGCAAAAGGTCCCAAGTCAATCCCCAGCACCTTTATGCAAGGCTGGGAAAGACCTCTGCAGGGTTGCTGCCAGTCATCATAGACCAGGGATCAGGATTGTTTGCCCCTCCAGATGTTGCTGAACAACACGAGACCAATGGTGGATCTGATAGTCAAGGAGGTGTTTTTTGCACATGCTGTACAGGGAAGAGAGGGGCAGATGGGGCTTGTCGACTTGGGAAGGTAGCCCGTCTAGGAGAAGAAAAACTCTGGTCCTAAGCCTCCGCTGCCTTGCGGGACATTTTCAGGAAAAGAAAAGGCTAAGGAGTAAACCCTACACAAATCTGGAACAGAGTCCCTAAGACATTTGGATGGCTCCTTGTATGCCTCCTCCTGGCAACTCCTGCAGCTAAGCTGGTGCCAAATGTATTGCTCCGCTTTCATTTGGACCACATCAGCAGAGCTAAGAGGGGGGTCTTGTCATCTGGGCAGCCCAGGACCTCTATGCACACTGCCAGGCTTGCACCCCAGGGAGGTTACTTTGGTGCTGCAAATGCAGCAGTTCAACTTCACCCACAGAGGTCCACTTCATTGTCTCTCAAGGCAGATGTATGCCAACAACATATCCCATCAACCCCAGCTGCATGGCTAATAGTCAAGAAAGATGGGTACTGTAGTCCAACAATACCTGGAGGGCCAAAGGTTCCCTCTCCCTTGGTGTAGACAACACTTGAGCTTGATGGACCAAGGGTTTGAGACGGACAAAATGAAATACTTCTTCACACAGCACACTCTGGATTTCACTCCTACCAAATGTATGGATTGGAGACAAAACTAAATGGTACCCAGGAATCTTGGCTACAGTCACTGAAATTGTCAGTGTTATTTTAAAAAGCCTACGTACAATGGAAAGGATTGTGTATAGATGGAACAGATTAATGCATAAAATATAGAGAGGTTATTTAATGGTTTGAAGGATTTGAATGTGCATGCATTCTGTAAACTACTTTATTCTGAAGTGGTATACAACAGGGTCAAACAATAAAATAGTTCACAAAATACATGCATATTAAAATCCATCAAACCATTAAATAAAATTGTCTGTAAAACCACCATCAACCATGCAGCCAAAATTCCTGTACATCTTTTAAAATTTAGATTTGGAGACCTTTTGGTAACAACCAACAGATCTAATAAATAATAATTTAAGTTTTGCTGTCATGATTCAAGATACTATTTTGTACCAGCTAGATAGTGCACCACACCAACTCATGTATTCCTCATCTGACCTACCAATAGATGTGCTTCATATATTAGTATATATTAGCAAATTCTTTCATTAATCTGTTGCATTTATGTACTGCTAAATATTTCAAAAACCTCTAAGCCATGTATGGTCTAACCCCCACACCCATAATATATTGTTAAAGCATTAGCACATAAACACAACCTAAAACCAATAAAACAGTAATAAAAAAACACACCGAGCTTTTAAAAGTTAATAAACGTTTTATTAACATTACACATCACAGTGTTTTTCCATATAGCACTTGCTTAAATATATAATGCAAAGAAAAAAGCAAAAATTCATTGCAATCATACCTGAGTACAAAATCTATATATACTATCATTAGACTGTTTAGTCTATATATCTGGTAGTGCTTAAAGCTTGTTGCAGTGTTACAACTGATGACACCAAACATACTAAGCCTTATCAGTGCATAACATTGAGCAGTGCATTCATTCAGTTTTTCTTCCCATCCTGTCCTAAGGACTCAGGCCAAGTCACAATTATTTTAACAAAAGACCAAATAAAAACAGATTACTTCATTAGATAGAAATAAAAATTACTCCACCTCCTCTTTACCCTAAGTTCATAAATCACCATTTAGATCCTGGGAATAGTATTGGCTAACACTATCCAATAACTATTTTCTCATCTATTATATTTTAAGGCGTGGTAGAGTGGAAAGGGAGAAGAATCAGCTTTTTAAAAATTCTGAATAAAGGGAGCATTTCATTTAAACCATGGTGACTAGCTGTGCCTTACTGTATTCTATAATGTCCTCCCCATATAAAGTGCCTATATAATTCAATTTATAAATCTTGTACAGAACCCAGTACGCCCTCCCATGTGAGCCAAAAGCACTAATGTGTGCACATGGGAAACAAAAGATTTCCTGCTCCACCCGGCTGCTTCATTCACAAGCTGCACTGGAGGGTACTCCAACATTCAGAGGGGCTTTTCAGGGGCTACGAGAACCTGCAGCAGGAAGGAGGATGTGAACACACAGAACCTCAAGTCTCTTGGATGGATTTTGGCCAAAGTGCCTTTAAGAAGACCATACAACTATGCACATTTTATATACTGCAGCAAGGTAACAGCGCTGGGTTCTTTTTTATATATCCCCCCCAATCAATATCTAAATCTTTGGGTGATTCATACAAAAAGTTCAGAAAAATATTTTCCGGCACATTAAGGCTAGGCAAATAGAATTCATCCGCAATGCCCAAAATTTCAGCTTCAAATGAATTGCTGGTGGAAACATTGTTATAAATTGTCTGAATTATTGGCTGAAGCATGGACCCTTAATTTTAGGCAATACCTTGCTGCTGGGCCATCTATGTTTAGACTTTAGCGATGTGTAATATATATACAAGACTGGTTCGCTATAGTAAATACAAGATGGCAATGCCTATGGCAAAACAATAGTCACTCTGATTGAAAAGATACCTCTTGTCAGCAAATTTACAGCAACTTTGAAAAGGAAGTGGGCTGGTGGTGATTATAGTGTTGTGCATTCAATATAGGAAAAATAAGAGATACTGTTTTTTCTTATTACTACAGCTAGTAATTTAACAACCAAGAGTACAAAATCCAGCAAAAAGACAACCCATGATCTAGAAAGTTTGGAAAATTAAGTTTTATGTTACATATTTCCACCCTATTTTGCCTAATCATTTTTATTATAAGAGTGTCATTGACAAATGGTCTTTAGCATGCCCTATAATTAAATATACACCAAATTCAGCAAAGCTTAAACATTGTGAGGTATTCTTTTTTTAGCAGCCACCTAGGCAATAGTGTCTTTTCTGCAACTCTCAAATATCTTAGAGACCAAGTTATGCCTAGCTGGTATTCAGAGTTTCAGCTGCTGTTGAAGATCATGAATCGAGGCAGCTGTGGACTGAAGCTCCTGTGCCACAGTACCTTTATCCAGCAGTTTGATGACTTCAGTCACTCCACTAATTCCAAGCACACAAGGCACACTTAAAAATACTTCAGAGTTTATATTGTAACATCCCTAGAAAAGGCAAAACATAGTATTGGATATATTAGAATTCCTGGGACCCACAGGTTAATGTTTCCTCTATTCTATAAAAGCAAAATCAGATCAGTTCTGTGTTTACCTTCAACATTGTTGATATGGAATGTACTTTCCTTTTATCATTCAATATACTGTCTGCCAGGTCAGCTATTGACAGACCAACAGACCAGGATTTTTGGCCTCTTCCTTTCAGAACTTCCATGGCTCTATATAAAAGCAAAAGAATCAGGATTTACAACGCACTTTTTTAGCAAGCAATATGCCCCCTTTATAATTTCTGTACGTCACACTTGTATATCAACAAGCATGCTACACATTTTTGTAGTGGCCTTGTTCACATGTGCTAGCCAAACTGTCTAAATGTGAACAAGCAAGCATGAGGGTACTTGCAGTAAAAAAAATGCAGCCGCTTTGCTCCTCCCATGATTGTCCTACTTCCACACTAGCTATGCCATGCAAAACTATGGTTTGTTTGGCTTCGTACTGCATCTGAACCCAGACTCATGGTTTGTCTGCCTCAGACAAAACACAAATGGGAAGCCAAGAACAAACCATCAGAATGCATGTGATGGCTTTCGACCAATCAAAAGGTTACAGCAAAATGGTTACATATAGATTACATTTTCATGGCAACAGGTCTTGAGCCAAGCAGAGGCTAACTACATTACTTGTTGCTAATTTTATGACTAGCAGCAAAGCGTGTGTAAGGAATTTGCCACGCTTGTGTCTGTCCCCTCCCAACATCCTTAGTCACTACATCAAGGTTTATGAGGTGTTAGCTGTCTAGAGTGGGCTACTTTCTTAGGTACAAGACCCTGAGTAAAGTATACATATTTTAAGAATAGCACAGATAAGACTTCAACTAGAATTTGAGGCCTTTTATATCAAAACGTATTCAAATAAAAATGGGGTTTAATAGGTCAGTAATGAAGACTTCCCTTTCATATCATGTAACTAGGGTGTAAATTGAAATTCAGAATTAGGCTGCATTCCTATATCAATTTATATTGGAATAAGTCCCAGTTAACTCAATGGGACTTACTTCTGATAGTGCTGCCTCATGTCTAAGTGTTTTACCTGTTAGCTAAGAGATGCTGGGCATTTTGATTTGCTATATCTTCATCCTGATGACTTGTCACTGAATTAGAAGCACTCCATGCTGCCACTGAATAGGATAAAATTACAATCAATGTTGTTTTTAAACATTTGCATTTTTATCTCAGGAATAATTTCTCTGTAGAGTGTGTGCTTTCCATTTTGCTTTTAAAGAGACCAATTGTAGGATTCTATTCAGAGGAGTACATAACTCACAGATGTACAGAAAACACAGAATGTGCAATAACCCAACAGAGAAGACAAAGAAACTGCATGAGAATTCAGTGACAAAGCATCCACCACCGCAATGCAGTGTAAGCATTAAATATAGAATTGGAGAAGCTGTCTCTGGAACAGAACCACAAACTTCTTGTCTTGGCTATCCATTAAATAAATAACAGCAATTTAAACTGAAATATCTCCATGTACAGTACTTCTATTAAAAAAATAAAGTAATCACAATGTTTTCTGAAATTATCTCCTGATATAAAGTACACATGTGGTACCCTAAACTGCATAGTAAGCTAAGTAGTAAATAATCATTTTACCTTTGTTTTCCCCTTGTTCACCAATAATCCAATTATCTTTGCCTCTGATTTGAGCTTTTAATAGGTTTGCAATAATGTATTGGAATCTTGCAGAGTCTAGATTACAACCAATCCCGATAACCCGACTTTTAGGAAATCCACTCATCTTCCATGATACATAGGTCATTATTTCCACTGTACATTTGACAAAAACACATTGAAAAGGGCAAATGAATTTGTATTCAGGTCAAAAAGACATAAAGGTTTGCAATCAAGTTATCATTCATCTTTTTGGCAGTGGGGTTGATTGGATATCAGTAAATTATGCATTTTAAAAACAACGGCAACATCTCCAACAAATATCATGAAGGATGTTTTAGTAAATTTGTAATCTTAACCCCACTTTCCTGGAAGTAAGCCCATTTAATATAACAGTACTTATTTCTGAGGAGATATGGTTTTGACTGTGCATTATTTTGCACAGCTTAAATATAATTAAATATATCACTAAACTTGGTTAACACAATCACACTCTACAACATTTGGTTCTGGTAGAGTGAATTTCTGCTGGTTATTATTAGTTTCCAACAAAACATGATGAGAAGCTTTGATCTTTCAGAATCACTTGTTTCTTCACCGGCACCTCTCAGAATTTATGTCCCAAGAAGCATGTTTGCTCAAAAGGAAGACCTACTGATTTTGTGAGACTTTTCCTGGTGCTTTGGGGTTAAGTAATGAGATTAACCAGGCCGCATCAAAGCATGCTTGTATACAAATATTTGCAATCACAAAACCATAGAACTGTAGAGTTGGAAGTGACCCTGAGGGTCATCTAGTCGACACCCCCCTGCAAATCTCAACTAGATCATACATTACAGGTGGCCCCCCAACCTCTGCTTAAAAACCTCCAAGAAAGGAGAGTTGACCACCTCTCATAGGAGTGTGTTCCACTGTCGGACAGCGTTTACTGTCATAAAGGTCTTCCTGATGTTCAGTCGGAATCTCATTTCTTAAAACTTGAATCAGGGAAGTACTAGTTTTCCTGTTACTCACTTCTCTAAAGGAAAATGTCAAAAGACTTATTCCATATGTGTGTCAAGATATACACAACACACAAAAGGAAACTTTCTGGCCCAGTTTTCTACATTGTCACAATACTTGACCACAAGAGAGCAAACAGAGAACACCCTGAAGTCTCTGTAAAGAAATAGGTTTATTAAGTACGAGAATATTCATGACAAAGCACGTTATATCCAGGGAGCAATAAATCATGAAAAGGTAAGCGCTGCCATACCTGGTTGAGAAGCCACAAGTAGTACACTTTGTTGGCTATAATGTGCTACTGAAGGAATGATGCCTCTGAACAGTTCAACATTGCTCTGTACAACATCCAGATAGGACTGAGCATTGCCTAAAGAATTCACTGTTAGCACCACCAGCTTTGAGCCTGCTGAGGCGGAAAAATCTAAGAACACAAAGAAAGAATTTCTGCACACGTCAAGGTGAGAGTATAAGACCTATTTCATTATTATTTTTTAAGTCCATGAACTGGACAGGTAAACTTTTGTTTTATTTAAAGATACAGGGTCGTATCCAATGCTGTGCATGTGGAGTTCAACTTGTGCAATGGGACTCCCCCTTCCTTTCCTTTCCTCTCCTCACATGCCCTCAGAATCTGCTCCAAAGGTTCCTCCGACCCAGAGGATGCAAGAGGTGCTGCAGAGGAGAAGACAGGAAAGTTCTAGTGTGCAAGCAGAAGTCTGCTGTGTTAGCAGAACAGAAGCTTTGGATACGACCCATACGAGTGTAAAAGGAGTCGCTAAATAAGCACTGTGCCACAATTTCTTAGGCATGTGTGTGTCTATATATATATGCCTATATATATACGCGCACACATATATATCTCCTGCCTTTCTTTCATCATGAAAGCCATCTGTACACATGGTCTCCACATCCAGGCTCTGGCTATACTCAAACTTCCTTAGCTTCATCACATGGTGCCTTCATGTGCTTTCAGACATTATTGCTACGAGTGAAATGTTCTTACCAACGATTCCAAGAATTACATAGAAAGTTCACTTGAAGTATACGGGGTGGGGGGTGGGGGGTGGGGGAAACCACCACACACATCTCAGAAACCAACACAATACCTCTGCTGATTTCCACATTAGGCAAGGCAAAGATTTCCAGGTCCATAGCTGCTCCTTTCATTGTACCTTCTGAGCAGTCCAAGACAACCACTCTGTCAGCAACACCCTGGTACAAATTGAAAGCAAAGAAGTAACTATTCAGTGGAGAAAAGATAGAATGGCATTCTGAAAGGGTTTAATACAACTCTGATTTATTTCTTTAAATGCTGACATACAACCCTATTTTCTACATAAGCTGCTGTTAAATTTAAGCCAACGGCTATTCTCTCCCATCACACCAGTCGTCTGTTTGAATCAAGTTGCCACCGCTAGAGACAACGTGCCTCTGAATCCCAATTGCTGGGAATCAAAAGTGGGAAGAGTGCTGCTCCGCTCCGATCCTGCTTGCAGGTTTCCCATAGTCATTGCATTGGCCACAGTGAGAGCAGGATGCCGGACTAAATGGGCCTTTGGCTTTATCCAGCAGCCAGACTCTCCTGAAGATGGTCAGGCATAATTCGGCAGGCATTAAACATGCACTGAAATCCCTCCCGTAAAAATCAGTAGGATGCCTGGATCATGACAAAATACTTGGGAGATTCACAGAGCAATCTAAACCTCACCAAGGCAGAAGGTGAGTGGCAGATCCATGCTGAAAGCAACTGTGCTAGTAGCTTTCCAGCTGCTTATATTAGCCTGCTAAAAGTCCATACAGGCTGAATTCTGTTGGTGCTATTGGAAGATACACAGTTTGAGACAGCATGTGCCAACTAAAAGCTATGGTTACCATGTGCTGAGAAGTTATGCAAATAGACCCTCAATGCACAGTCCTTTGCAGGTTTACTCAGAAATACATCCCACTCTGTTCAACAGGCCTGCTCCAAAGTAAATGCGTATGGCACCTACTTCTGAATAAAGACACACAAGATGGCACTATTAATTGCTTAGGCAATCCATCGGTTCCAATCCTAATTTAAACCTACTTCATGGAGAATAGAGCACTAGTTGTTTGTTCCTAGATATTTTCAAGAATAATAATTTTATCCCAGTTTGGAATCACTACAGAAGCAATCACAGTGGTCATTTCACGTAAAGTATATATATACCTTTGCTGAAATAGCCAGTGCACAAGCAAGGCCCAGATCCCCTGCTCCAATCACTGTAACTTTGTTAAATCCTCCATCATTTTTCTTTCCCTCTCCCTTGGACTGAATGTTGTCTTCACCTAAAATAACAGATAGTCATTAATATAAACAAATGCACTCAACTTGGGAAGTTGCATGGAAAATGACTGGATCTAATGGAACAAACCAACCAAAAAAGGTTTAACTGGAAGCTATGGTGGTCTGTGGAGGACAAAGACATATTGTACAGCCTTCTTCATATGAATGCTAACTTCAAACCGAAGAAGAGCCCTGTTGCATCAGACCAAAAGTTCAGCCATTTCTCACAACGGCCAGCCAGATGCTTCAGGGATAATGGGAGGATGATAGCCATCTCTTGCTATTGTTCCTTAATGACCGCCGTTTATCAATGACTGAATCCTGCATACAGTACAGAACTTGGCTCCCAAACGAAAACCCCAAGCAAATTCCCAAAGATGATGCATACCTTCAGTGATTTTTGCAATGTAAGAGAGTAGTTCTGACTGTCTGGCTGCATCTGAAGATGATAATGAGAACAGAGGGAGCTCCTCTTCAAATTTTGCGCTCATTTCCTTTAATAACCCTATGATCACGGATTGCGGCTGAAACATATATAACAACAATTAGTCTCCTCCTCATCTCATTATGATATCCTTTCACATAAGTCTTAAAGCGATTTACAAGCCTCCAACAAGAGCAACTAAAAATAGGTTCCTAAACATCACTAACAAAACATGCAAGGCAGAGACTTAAAACAAAACAGAACGAAAAATCCAGCTGGAAAAGCTTCTTGAAACAAAATGTATTCAGTAGTTTCTGGAAACTACAGGCAGCAGGCACCTGTTGTATCTCATAATAATAATAATAATAATAATAATAATAATAATAATAATAATATTATTTATACCCCACCCATCTGGCTGAGTTTCCTCAGCCACTCTGGGCAGCTCCCAATCAAGTATTAAAAACAATACAGCATTAAATATTAAAAACTTTACTAAATAGGGCTGCCTTCAGATGTCTTTTACAAATAGGTTAACTGCTTATTTCCTTGACATCTGATGGGAGGACATTCCACAGGGCGGGCGCCACTACTGAGAAGGCCTTCTGTCTGGTTCCACAAAACAGGGGCAGCCACATTGAAATGTCTGCTCTCAACTACTGTGGGCTTCTGATATTTTAGAGACTTCAAGGAGAGACTCTCCCATAAAACACAGCCATCCACTGGATATGTAAATGGCAATGTGGTCTTTCATGGAACCCTGTAGAGGTTATATGTCAGTACCAGAGCCTTTAACGTGGTCTGGTACTGCAATTTTAGATAACAAACATTCTATGAACAAAAATGTCTTAAAAGGAAAAAAAAGGGCAGCTCTCCACATGCCTAAATGGACTGAGAATCTGAAGCACTTTATGTACAATTACTGTGTATAGGGCTTATCAAATTTCCCCCTTCATAGCTACATAAACCAGTTATCAACTTTTTCCCAGAGAAGCAGAATCAAGATAGGGGCTACACAGAAAGGAGCAGGCCTTTCTTACAGGGATAGAGGTGTAAGAGGATCATGACCCATCCCAGTGGGGAATTCCAAGTGCCTTTTCCTTTGCAAGTGAGATTTTTGCCATTCATTCATAAAAATCAAAAAGTAAAGCACTTTGTTTGGGGGCACTGTTAGACAAAACACTGCCCCTGGAATAACGCTGGTTGGCCATGCCTCTGCTGACAGAGAACCCGCAGGCCATGACTACAAATACACACTACTTTTGCTAGTCCAATAAAATAGCCTCTACTTTCTCTCACATTGCCTGTGTAACCTATCTGGCATGAAGACAGCTCATGTTAAAAGGCACGTTTTTATACAATTAAGGTACACAATATGGATGACATAAAATTAAGACTAAGACAAACACTGTAAACCGATTTTAGTAAAGCAATAATACTATTTTACATGACATGCACAGACATCCCTTACATGACTCCAGTTTTGTAGATAGGGCAAGTATATCCTTCCCCGGGCATCAACATGCTTTCCTACAGAAATCCCCATGTTTGCAGTGGGCTTTAAGAAGCAGATTGGAGGAGTAAAAGGATGAGAATCTAAAATCCATAGGAAAATTGGAATGTTGTACGAATTACCTGTCAAAATACAAAACATAAGCAACTATCAACAACCACTGCTCCTTGACTGGTCATGTATACTTCTTAAATTTTGCACTTGATATTTAACCCATGGGTGGGCGTACTGTAGGATCTATTGTACTTTGTTTTTCACTAGAACCCCAAAGTCCATGATCTGGAGCCATAGGCTAAGAAGGCAAACATATACAGTCCAGGAATTTATTTTAAATGCCAGAACTGAGTTCACAGTCTTTTCACATGGAAAAAATCCACTCCTGGTTTCTGCACAATCTCTCCTTGTTTCAGCAGCCTGAATAATGGAAGCAGGAAGACCTTTTGTAGTTACTCTTGAACAAGAGTTGCTATTGGACACTCTATTAGTAATATATATCTACTTATTTAAAGAATATATATGCAGCCCATCAATATAAATATTTCCAGAGCAGCTTACAAAAGATATACTATTGATATCAAGCAGGCGGTGTCACCGTATTCTTTTCAGTGCCTGCTGAAGACGTTCTTGTTTAGAGAGTTTGTATGAGTTTTAAGTTGTTTTAGTCTATTCTATTGTGGTATATATATATATATATATATATATATATATATTCTATTGTGGTTTTAAGAGCCACTATTGGTCTTGGCTGCTCAATCCACTGCAGCCTGGCTTCGCATGTCCTCACATGGTTACCCGGCCAGTCAAAGCTGTTTCCTGGGGTGTGGTTGCTGTCACATGCTGACAGCTTGTAGGAGCCACAGATGAAAGATGAGTAAAGGGTGGGAACCAAAGGTGGACAAACTTCCCCAGAGGGAGCATGATGTGTCACCCACCAGAGGTACTATCCCACCCCAAACATCCCATTCCACTTGCAAGTCCCAATGTATTATTAGGTAGCAAACAAAAACATAGTGAACAACTTACCCTGGTATTTCACTGGAACAGTGCCACTACAATTCAAAAGGTCTTTCTGGGAACCATCCTTAAAAGCTAAAGTTCAGAACATTAATTTGTATGCATGTATAGATTACATTTTTTCAGTAGCAGACAGCACAGTGAGACTGCCCTTCTCACATGAGCATTCTCTGTTTGCACAGCTGCTGTGTACTGTGACAGAGGGAGGGGGGGCAAGGCGCTGCTAAGGTTGGCACGGTGCAAATGCACTGGCGGAGTGTATCCGGCATTCCTGCCAGCAAGTTGGTACTGCCCTTCCCCTCTCTATCTCAGTATGCAGCAGGACACAGCCAGAGGGAGCTCATGTAAGTGGCACATCCCCACCATCTTTAAATTTTTGTCATTATTTTGTTATTGATAATACTGCTTTATTAACATCTGATATCAGAGCCAGATAACTCATTATTTTAAACGTTTATACACCACCAGTCTTTTTAAAACAACAAAGAAATTATGACAGCAAAATAAAAAGAGCATGTAAAATACAATACAGCCAGAAAGGAAAACAAAACAACTTCATTGGTTTGCTGCTATTTGCTTTATTTTCCTTTCTGGCAGCAAATAGCAGCAAACCAATACAAAGCTCACTCTACCACCCCAAACTTCATAAAGGAGCAACAGTAAAGTGATTACTTAACTCAGACACCCTCAAACTTGGCCTCCAGCTGTTTTGGGACTATCATCCCATCATCCCTGACCACTGGTCCTGTTAGCTAGGGATGATGGGAGTTCCAAAACAACTGGAGGGCCAAGTTTGGGGATGCCTGACAACTGTTGAAGGTTAAAAAATTTACACAAGGTGAAAGCACACTCACTTGGGAGTAAGCCCTACTGAATACTGCGGGCTTACTTTCTAGTAAACATACATAGGATTGTGCTGTAGGTAATATTGTGAATAACGAACATAAGTAACTGGAGTTGAATTCCTTACTTGCATTGACTACTATTCAAACTTTTATATACAAAACGACATTCTCACACAATCATTTTTCCAATGGGCCAAAATAATAGACGTTACTCTTACTGTAGGTATTCATGGCAAATGTGGTGTTTGGGTACAACTCATGTACGCTCTTCAGTTCTTCTATGGTCAGATCTCGGAATTTATACTGCAGAGAGAACAAGTACAATTTTATTCTTTTAAGCAATTTTATATTGATGCACCCTGCCTTTAAAACTTGTCATTGTTATTAAGCAATTTAGCTTCACAGCTGAAATTGGAAGTCTAAACCACTAATTCTTCTGAACCGGAAACCTACCGTAATTCGCTTCAGTATCAATACAGCCCATTCCCATGTGAAACTCATGCTGTGTAGATCTGCACTTATTAGAATGACTGCACCTTCCTTTAATTACACCTTTGTTAGCAGTACCTTTTCGGATGTGCATTGAGTTAAAGCACTATAGATAAAATTCTGCTCACATTTGTTCTTTAAAACTCTCTCTCACACACACAACACTTTTAAGTATGTAAAGCAGAGGTGGGGAATCGAATCGGGTCAGATCCAGAACTGGCAAACCCTCCACAGTAAGGTTACCAGACATCCCCATTTCCTGGGGACAGTTCCCAGATTTACAAATCAGTCCCCTGACAAAATCCACTAAATTCGACTGAAGTTTAAAAGTGTCCCCGGATTCATTGAAAAAAATCTGGTAACCTTACTCCACAGGGCTAGTTGAACAGGTATGAAGAGCTGTCAGTCACTTGATGTCAGATGACTCTAAGCGCACTCCCAGTTCTTCACTGGCAGCCATGGCTTGAACTCACCTTCCAAACATTCTTGCCATCATAATTGCAACACAGATTACACGTATTTAACACACGGAAGACTGGGCTGCCTTCCGAGCCAACATACGCAGGATTCTGCTGCTAGAGCAGAGATGGGGAACCTGTGATCCTCCTGAATGACAACCAGGGCTGATGTGCGGTAGGTTTCTAGAGATCCCTACATCCTGCGTCAAGGAGCAAGTTCTGCATTTCTAGGGCAGCTGACCTAGGAGCGCTGCACGCAGAAGCCTGTGCCCTAAATGCACCCTACGATGAGGCCTTGCTTACATCCCTGCCGGCAGCGTTGGCACACATATTTCGGCAGTCTAAAGAGCCACCCTCAGCCACGGCCATGTTGCAACCCCATATAACTTGTGGTGAGCAGGCAGGCAGCTTGCAACAGCGTCTTAACCGGGGACATCCCGAGTGACTCGACGGCAAAGCGGCGCCCATGGGAAGCCGGGGGGAGTCGCTCCCTCGGGCCGTCCACCAGGCGCGCGGAGAGGAGCGCCCGCGCCCGCCCATCCCGCCGCCGCCTGCCTTGCCTTGCTCAGCCACTTCCTCAGCTGCTCCTCGGAGAACTCCATCGCCGGCGGCCTGCGCGAGGAGGAACAAGCACCGCTTCCTGCTGCTGGCGCGCCTGCAAAGGCGAGCCGGCCGGCCGCGAGGCCTCTCCCAGTTCCTCCTTTTCCCCGGGCCCGCCCCTTGTTTAGGTAGACTGCCCAGGTTTTAACCCAAGGAAGCGGCGGCGCCGCCGTGCGGGTCGCGAGGCCTCCGCTTGAACCCAGGGCCGGATTTAGGTTTGATGAGGCCCAAAGCTACTGAAGGTAATGGGGTCCTTTAGATGTCCAGCTGGCCTTTGTCAACAACAAATTGTCGCTGTTTTCTATATGCTATATGGTAATTTCTGGACCTAATAGGTATCTAAAGCCATTTGTACATGTTGTCATGCAACCAGTCCATGCAGAATGTAGGCACCCTATATATAGACATGAGCAAACCAGTGATATTTTAGGGAGCGGGCAGGGCCCATTACTTACATCATAGGAGCCTACACAACACAAAACACTGATGCTGTATGGACGTTTTATTATTATTATTTTTTATCTTATATTAGGAAATGTACATCCAGGTTTTTTTCCTTGAATTTTTTTGCCACCCCCCCCCCCAAGAGAGGGGGCCCTAAGCTATAGCTATAGCTTGTTTAGCTTATACGTAAATCCAGCACTGCTTGAACCTTGCGGCGGCAGAGACGGCACAGCATTTAGGCTCAGAGCTGCAACCTGAGCAGCTCTAGGGATTTTGCGGAAAACAGATGGGGAAACCGTGGAGCTCCAGGCGTCGTTGGGCTCCAAAATATCTGAGCCAGTATAGCCAGGGATGGTGGGAGTTGCAGTCCTGCAACATATGCTGCACACTGAATGACTGGAAGGGGGTCTCTCCCTTGGAAAGGATACAGAGGTCTTTTCTTTTTAATTTTCTTTATGCTTTTCAGGTTTATACATTTCACTAATTTTACCATCATTTTAACATTTCAAAACCTGACTTCCTTCCCCCTCTTTCTGCGGTTCCTTAAATTTTTTTTATATCTTCTGCATATCCAAATTATCTTAATTTGCTCATTTATTCATCTACTTTAAATATATACTCTTATAAAACTGCAGGTTATTACAATAATCCTGCCAATGTTCTTATCTGTTTACAATTTATCTGTAAATATTCAATAAACCATTTCCATTCTTTTATAAAAAGTTTGTTATCTTGATTTCTTCTTCTTCTGGTAAGTTTCTTCATTTCTGCATATTCCATAAGTTTTTGTATCTGTTCTTCCTTTGCTGGGACTTCTGCTTCTTTCCATGTTTAGGCAAGTAACATTCTTGCCGTTGTAGTAGCATACATCAATAAGTTTCTGTACAGTTTAGGTAGTTCTGTCCCTATAACTCCCAAAAGAAAAGCTGCTGGGTTTGTTTTTTTTACAAACATTATTTTTAACATCCTTTTCAATTCATTATATATCATTTCAAAAGGTGTTTTTCATTGGCCACAGGAGGCAGTCATGGCCACCAACCTAGATGGCTTTCAGAGAGGATTGGACCAATTCATGGAGGAGAGGGCTATCACAGAATCGTAGAGTTGGAAGCCCCCCCCCCCCCCGCAATGCAGGAATCTTAGCTAAAGCATCCATGACAGATGGTTCTGCTTAAAAACCTCCAAGGAAGGAGAACCCACAACCTCCCAAGGGAGACAGTTCAGCTGTCAAACAGCTCTTACCATCAGCGGCGATGAACCATGATGGCTATGCTTTGCCTTTGCAGCTGGGAGGCAGCAAAGCCACATGAGGGGCGAGTTGCTCATGCTTGAATCCTGCTTGCGTGTTTCCCACAGGCATCTGGTTGGCCACGATGACAAGAGGATGCTGCAGTATATGGCTCATTGGCCTGATCCAGCAGGCTCTTCTTAGGTCCATATTCCCAGAAATGGCATAGGGCAACTTTTGGGGCAGCAGCCTGGCTTGTTCTTTTGTGAAGCTCTGTGGGAGAAAAATCAAGCCATATTGTTGTGATTAGGGTAAAAGTTAATTCAAGATTCTACTTACTGAAGCAAGACAGTTGCATTGGGGAAGACCCCATCAACCACATTTGCTTCTGTGCTGATTGATGTTCTGCTCAGATGTTCTGGAACGTAACAGCTTCTATATGGATGGCAATGTTGCCACAACTTGGTTCATGAGAGACCACAAGAGATTAGCTTTGAAAGGAACACCAGAAACAGCAGTGCTGGCCAAAACCCCATAACCATTCCATACTCCCTTCACCTTTTCACTTTTCAACGTCTCACCCTCCTTCATGCTGACTCTGCTTTTTTACACTCCAGTGGGAGATGTTGTGTTAAGATACAAATAGGCTCAGGCCTTGCAGACCCCAGACCCATACATTCCACTTCCACAGCATGAATGGTGCTATAGTTGGTAAGAAGGGAGAAAATGCTTCCCAAAATAGCACAATGACAGCAGCCCCAATAGCAAGCTGCTCTGCTTGTTATGCCCATTGCACCAGCTGGCCCCTGGTGAGGTCTCCTTGGTTGGCTTAGGCCTCCAAGGCCCGGGGCAAGTGTACCTTGCTGCCCCTCCCCTCTGCATGGACCTGGTGGCCAATAGGAGAGAAAACTGAAGTTGATTTTATGACCACTCCCAAGAGGGGGAAACGTTGGGAACCACTAACTTAAGGAAACTTAAGCTTTTAAATTTTGTATCTAATTTGTAATTATTCCCCCCCCCAAATGTAGTTTATAAAAACTCCAAACCAAAATGAAATAGTTTATTTAAACAAAAACTTTTGTAACTCCTGTATCTATCTGAAATACCTCTGGTTCTATCAGAGAAACTATTTTGCTGATGTCATGCTGGTTGAGTCAATTGTTACATAACAAATGATGTCACAATCTAGTTCACTGCACAGTCTGGCTCATCACAAATAGCCACCAAGAAAGCCAAAGTACTGAGCTGCCTAAAATCAGCTGAAAGGTGATTTTCTTTTGTCCTTAAAAATTAGCCATATCAAGTCACATTCCGTAAGTGGGAAAACTCTGAGAAATTGTACAATGATTGTTGTTGGTTGGCTGATTTTCCTTTTGGCTTTGCATCTGATGCATAGAGTTCCAAACGCTAAGGTGAGTAAACTTTGAAATACCAGTTGGAAATGCTGCCCTATGTCACCCTAGTTTGCTGTTTGATGCAAAACCAAAGAGTTTGATTCTTACAACCTTAGGATGTGTTCAGTCCACTGTTTTATGTGGTTTTGCACCCAGACAATAGGAAAGCATCCTGATCATGCCAAGGTACTTATCTGTCACCATCTCGACAAATAGCCTCACCCTTTAAATAGAGCTGAGACTTGTATGCCTTTAGAACATGTGTGCAAACCCATATAAGCCACATGACCCCACAGTAAACCATCTGAGGAATTGTGGCAATGAGAATATATGGGGTGCTGTAGTAAGCGAAGAAGTGCCCAAAATAAACCAGGTGTAGCATTACCCTAAGCATGAAGGAAGGAGATATGCATGAGTCCCAACCTTTATGCAATACTAGATGTGTCCTACATGTTCCGCTAATACTGATAAAAGCATGTTACAGGTGTTGATGGAGACTATTGAAGTTTTTTAAAACTACAACTTTATTGCAGTGGTTCCAAAATACCTATTAACTATTAAGCCTTTTTCTATTTCCAGAAATCTAGGTGAGACAGCCCTTATAATTTAGAAGAATAATAAAAATCAATTTTTTATATTGATTATAGTTCAGTAATTCTTTATTGTCACTGATAAGTGTAAACTGTTTAATTATTATTTACTGTTATTTAATTTTACTGTTTACTATTATATTCTAATAGATTATTGAATATTGCTTTATTTAAGTTGTTTATTTTAAAGTTTTTGTGACTTTTTTGTATTGCATCAGATTGTTATTACATGTGTGATCTTTGCTGTTTTGTTGTTTCTTCAGCTTGCAAGCTGCCTTGTGTATAGTATTATAGAAAGACGGTATACAAATTAAAAGTGAAATGAAATGAAAAAGAAGCATAACACCTCAGCCTAAAGTGCAGCGTTCTTTGTTGCTAAGGTGTACTCAAGTTCCAACAGCTTGAGATAGATTACTGGGCCTGTGGGTGACAAGTTTCCACTTGTACTTAATATTTCCTCGTGAGCTTTCATCATACTCCTTGCTCAGCGCTGCTAGAAGAGTGGGCATGCCACACGGAGAAAGGAAACTACCTTAGCTCAACGTGGTTGTCTGTGGCTGTGTGATTGTGTGGAAGTCTTTTTGGCTGAAGCTATAAAACTTCCATACAATATTTATTTGTTGTGCACTACAGTCCCAGATGGGACGCAGGTGGCGCTGTGGGTTAAACCACAGAGCCTAGGACTTGCCGATCAGAAGGTCAGCATTTCAAATCCCCATGATGGGGTGAGCTCCTGTTGCACGGTCCCTGTTCCTGCCAACCTAGCAGTTCGAAAGCACGTCGAAGTGCAAGTAGATAAATAGGTACCGGTCCGTCGGGAAGGTAAATGGCGTTTCCATGCGCTGCTCTGGTTCGCCAGAAGCGGCTTGGTAATGCTGGCCACATGACCCAGAAGCTGTACGCCGACTCCCTCGGTCAATAAAGCGAGATGTGTGTTGCAACCCCAGAGTTGGTCACGACTGGACCTAATGGTCAGGGGTCCCTTTACCTTACAGTCCCAGAGCTGGAGGAGAACTCATGGGGGTTCAAGATATGTGGGAATTCTGAGGAAGGATTCAAAAGACATGAAAATTGCCCAGTGCTGATGCTTTATTAAAGAAAGGTATAGACTTACAGCAAAAAGCAGCCTGCCAGTTCTCCTTGCATCTCGTGCGCAACGGACACCACCAGGCAAGAAGATGATGGACTGTCTGCACCCAAGCAAAGATGCACACATTCTTTATACAATAGAACAGCATACTGTACGTCACATGTCCTGTGGAATTGACTCAATCATTAACCTGGGGATTTGTAAACTTGATGAGAATTGTTTGTCTGGTGGTGCAAAAGCACAGGGATATCTTCACAGCTTACTTGAACACTGCCACACCACACACACACACACTTTGCCGCTAGTCTCCATCCACTAGCATTTGCTGCTTGAGGTGTTTGGCTCACTGTAAGTCCCATTAGCCTTCTGCACCAACCATCAGATCAAATGAGCTCCAACGTTCAGCCCAGTCAAAAGAAACACAGATATGGTTTGGGAAAGATGTGCCTGTCCTCGAGTAGTTCAGCAGCCTCTTTGAAACTCAACATCATAGTTAACTCTAATTACTGAGTAAACTTTAGATGAAGGGGAGAATGTGCATAGTATAAAAAGACTTGAAAAATATTTCAAATACTGTACGATATTTCGCATTTGTGCACACCCACACCCACAAAATAGGTTAAATCTACTTTTTAGTTATTCATGCCCCAGAAAGCTTCCAATTCATCACTTTTACAACAAAATTGATTTAATGACAACTCACAGGCAGATTAAACATTGTTCTGTCACTCCCATCCTGCTGCGTTCATCCCATACGTTGCTCCAGTGTGTCCCTTGTGAGGCCACAGGGGCTTGGGGGGGGCAGCCAGATAAGCCCTGGTGCATTAGTGAAATTCTACTTGCTCTTCTCAGGTTTCAGCCTACAAATGGCACAGGGCACAGATCAGATTCCTGACCATCTCAATTTTGATGATTTTTATAAAGTGTTTCCAGCCCCAATGGTTGCAAAGCTGTTACGCTTGAAAGGTAGTGGTCAGTGCCTGGTGAGATAGAGGTGATCTGCTGAGCAGCTAAGCCCTGCATATCTCTTTTCCGAAAACCAGAATAAACAATGCAAAATAGTAAGAATGGCACAGAAAAATTATGCAAATAAGGTCTTATGCATACAATGGTACCTCAGGTTACATACGCTTCAGGTTACATATGTTTCAGGTTACATACGCTTCAGGTTACAGACACCACTAACCCAGAAATAGTGCTTCAGGTTAAGAACTTTGCTTCAGGATGAGAACAGAAATCGTGCTCCGGTGGCATGGCGGCAGCAGGAGGCCCCGTTAGCTAAAGTGGTACCTCAGGTTAAGAACAGTTTCAGGTTAAGAACAGACCTCCAGAACGAATTAAGTACTTAACCTGAGATACCACTGTACTTGACCCAATGCATCCCGGTAATTGATTTGCTTCTCATGCAGAATCACCTAGTGAAGAGGAACAAAAGGAAAGCTGAAGGTGTTATCCCTAGACCAGTTTGTACCTGCGCACCTTAAACTCAGCCTCTGAGTCAAGCCTCAACATATGGCCCTTTTTCTATATGAATGTTGGTTGAAGAGTGAAATACTTCCCTCCAAACTTTTCAGTAATATTCTGTGTGTTTGGTTACAGGCTGAACCGGCAAAGAACGAAGGTGATAAGCATTAACTGGCATTGTCCTTTAGAGGAATGCAATCCAGGGCAGACTTCCCATCTTCTTTAAGAGCGACAAAGATGTTCCAGTTCAGAAGTGCTATTTAAAACATCAGCAAGAAAGGAGTTTCAGGAGCTAATGCTTACTGCAGTACTGAAGGCAATGAAGCATATTGTTTCTCTTGTTGGTAACACATAAATTGATTGCACAGCATCATGTTATATGTTTATGACCAAGTTACCTGGATCTTCAAATATGTTACGACGTTTCACGATGCGCAGGGCAAAGTGGATCTCAAGCATTACCTATAAGAGCATATTTGAAATAGACTATGCTTCTATTTAAGGGACAATCACATAGAACGTTTCGTATCCGATACAATTTCTGATGGACTATGTACTTTTAAAATTGCCTACTACCTGCAGTAGCAAAATTCACTTGGTGTTCACTATTCTGAAAATATAATGGGTGGAAAAAGACATAAAGGTTAATGTCTGCAGAATGATTTATTTAGTCTTTTAATGCATATGCCACCTTTCCCATGAAGATTTGAAGGCATTTCACACAAATGTGAAAGTTAAATACTGTAATAGCAAGCAACAAACTTCTTAATTTTAAAGTTTAATTTTTTTTTAAAGCATGCCTATTTATTGTCTGCTGATTAGCATTCCAAAATAAGCATTGTATAATGAACTATAGCACAGTTATCCTATTCTTCCCATGTAAATAAGCCACACATAAAGGAGACAAGACAGGAGTGCCTGGCATGCTCTGGTCCATGGGGTCACGAAGAGTCGGACACGACTAAACGACTAAGCAAAGGAGTATATAGCCCAGGGGTCAGCAAACTTTTTCAGCAGGGGGCTGGTCCACTGTCCCTCAGACCTTGTGGGGGGCCGGACTAGATTTGGGGGGGGGCGGAAATTAACCAATTCCTATGCCCCACAAATAACCCAGAGATGCATTTTAAATAAAAGCACACATTCTACGCATGAAAAACACCAGGCAGGCCCCACAAATAATCCAGAGATGCATTTTAAATAAAAGGACACATTCTACTCATGTAAAAACACGCTGATTCCCAGACCGTCCACAGGCCGGATTTAGAAGACGACTGGGCCAGATCCAGCCCCCAGGCCTTAGTTTGCCTACCCATGATATTATAGCCTAAAGGGAGATGGACTTAAATAAATACTTAACTAATTCCAGAGCCTAAGGTGTTAGCAGAGAACAGTCAAGATTATTGCATCTACACCACCAAAGGTAGTGCTAATTTATATTGGGGACAAGGTTGCAGAGCTGAGTGCTTCTGTTCAGCATTTCAGATGCTTCATTCAATCCTCACCACCTAGACTCTGCATTCCATTGCTTCTGAGCATACTCAGTCCTCACTGGGCAAGGCTGTTGGTTTGGTTTGTTCCCCATTTTTTTTGGCAAATATTGGTGCAACCTGGAACCTAAATACCCCATTATCTATAGATGCTGCCATTTTGGTACATAATATCAAATACTTGGAGAACTGGATTCATTATTACTGTCTATGACTCTATAGTGATTGTGTGAGAAAAGGAGATGTCCATGACAAAACCTTTAAGAAGCTTTCTCATTTAATGAAAACGTCATTTCATACTTGAAAATGTCATTTCAAGTCTTTTTGTTTCTCTTCAATAAAACGTGTCTATTCTGTTATCTTCTTTGGGAACATCCTGCACATCTTCCATGGTCATCCTTTGGGGTGTGAATTTCATCACCCTGAGGCCTGATGGTTCAAAGTATCTAGTTATCTGGAAGTCCAGAGTGTCTTTGCAGATGCCTTTTATGTTTCCTTTATTTGCTATTCTTAGTTGGACAACTCCTCAACCTCTGAGAATTTCTGCAGACACTTTGAATGTCTAACTGGTTCCTCATCTTAAAGCAATGCAGTACTCGCAACACAATACAGTGGTACCTCGGGTTACAGATGCTTCAGGTTACAGATTCCGCTAACCCAGAAATAGTACCACAGGTTAAGAACTTTGCCTCAGGATGAGAACAGAAATCGTGCGGCGGCAGCGGGAGGGCCCCATTAGCTAAAGTGGTGCTTCAGATTAAGAACGGACCTCCGGAACGAATTAAGTACTTAACCTGAGGTACCACTGTACATGCATATGGCTCTTTAAAATTAGCTTTGTGGCTTAGCTACAGTTTTGTCATCACCACTTTGCTCCCTCCCCCCCTCCAAAGAAATTCAACTCAGTTTTGTGCAGAAGGTATCTGGGGTAGCAAGTGGCTTTGAGTACCAAAATGAAGCTGCTAAAAGTATGGATGAAGGGGAAGAGGCCATAGGGTCATGCCGAGGGCTTGCAAAATTATTTCACTTTAACATCTAAGATTCTTTGGCTCCCTCATTGATTTAGGAAAGCAATTACAGAATACAAAGTACAGTCATGATATGGCAAGCATGACGTGAAGTTTTTGATTTTTGTATTAACTGGGCTAAAGCCATAAAGATGAAATTCAACAGATATATGCTGTGTTACAGCTCAATGGACAACTGCTTTTCCAGTTTTTAATTTTCCACTAAGATACAATCTTATATGTTACTGAACTATAGCACAGTATTTGTACTGAACTCAGTCAATATTATTCCCTAACATTAGCGACTATGACAAAGTAGTCAGAAACGGCATCATTCAATTAAAACTTTTAATATTTGATCTGCTATTTAATAACTCAGCTATTTTGATACTCTGTAATATGATCTAATAAATTCCAGCCGCTTCTGCATGGCTCAGACACTTAATAACAAAGTGAAATAAGCAAACTTCAAGGAACAAAGAATATTTTGCAAGGAGTCCTGTAGAAGGAACACCGCGGTATTTTAAAGTCTCCTACAAATTAATGCAAACCAGTGAAAAATTCAATAAAATGTTTTAATGTCTGTAATTTTTTATATACATAATTTGCTTTCAGACTGCACTTCAAATGTGCAAAAGCATACACTCTGACAGCACCAGAAAAAAACAATAAGGTTAACAGTTTTTACCTGATTTGTCACATTGTGTTAAACACAATGAGCTTCACAAAAAACAGAACATGGAATCTAGAAGCATCCTCAGTTATATGCTAACACTTGATTGTAGTACTCTGACTCAACAAAATAAATAGAAATCCAACATAGTCATCACAATTAATTTACTAGTCTCTTCAAGACTGTATTTTCTTTCCAGTGTTTTGGTCTCCTGCTATATATGTAGAAATACACTTTGGGGTAATTAAATTTACAGAAAGCCAAAGCCAAATAAAAATTAGTTATGCTGGATAAAAATCAGGGGCTTATAAAAAATAAGATTTTATACATTTTGAAAGAGTTCTCCATTAAAGAATAAATCAGAGTTGTTTGCTAGGATTTTCCATGAAACTTGCTGCCCTGGCCTCTGTCAGATACTGCTGTAAAAAGTGTAAGTACAGCCTTAATAAAATACATATAAGGCAATTGCAAAATTAAGTTTTAATTAAATACAAAGTGCCCTTCAGTTTTACTTAGTAATATCAATAAATACTAACTACTGTAGTTGTGCAATACAAGACCTGGAAGGACTTTATAAAAAAACTATGCTATTTCACATGATCAAGCATCAATAAAGCATCTTTGACAGCAGAATTAACTCTTCATCCTACATTCCTGGAAATATTAATGTATGTAAAAAAAGGCACATCTTTCACTGAACAGAATCAGCAACTTAGAGTTCTGCTAATGCAATCTATGACGTCTCTATAGAAGCCTGACACCTCCAAAAGGAAAATATTCAATTTGTTTCTTTTGCTTCAGTGTTGTATATGCCTTGAAAGAAATGAATATTCTAGCTGATTAATGAACCATTAAATAATTGATATGTTTATTTAAGGGGAAGAACCAAGAAAAATGACGGGAAAAACATTTTCCTGCCACACACAAATAATGCAAACAGACATGTTAAACAGCTCATCATCTCAAAAGAGAATACAATTATTCTCTAGAATGCATGATCATTCTCATGTTCAGGGCAAGTTTCTATTTTGGAAGTTCTAAAGTGATAAAAGAAGATTGGCAATATTGATGATGTTATCTTCTACAAGACAAGTAACACTGAAATGTTTCAGAATACAGTCTTGAACAGAACTTACAAGACGTGGTTAAAACATGCATGTGAATAATGAAGATTTCTGTTCAGATTTCTGGTGCAACAAATTCTTCAGCTTGCTGAGGACCGTACCTGGGCTGATGATTAAGATACATCCTCACATTAGAATAATTATAAAATGAACAGCAGCCTGGTCATGTTTCCAACAGTCATTGCCTTGAACGAATTAAAAAGACAAATGGGTGCATTTGCCAGATTCATGTGTGTATATATTAATCACAGCAAGATGTAACACAGACAAATGGGGGGAAATAGCACTAGTGATAACAGTAACTTTTAAGTTAAGAGTTCCAGTTCAGCTGCATACTAACTGTAGCAACTGTCCAATAGTTTCATTTCAGCAAACACCACCCAACAACAAAAAGGGGTGGCTGAAGGATTTTATAAGCAAAGGTTCTTTATTTTCTTTACATTAATTCTCCCGATTAAACTCCACTTCCCATTTTGAAGGCTGAATTCATTCATTCCTGTTACTTATTACAATTTCACCTCCAATTATTCTTTAAAATGTAGCCAATCTTTGCTAGAATACCTCTCCGCTAGAACACTAATCAGGATACACTGTCCAACCTTAGTTTTAGCTTTTAGAAGAATATCATATTCTTCATTATTGGCCTAACGATGCAATTTTTAGCAAGCATAATCTTTTTTTTATTTATTTGACAGCATATCATGGACACCAGAGTAATAAAATACATGAAACATGACTGAAATCCCAAAGCACAGTTCTTTTAAATGAGGGAAAACCTAGAACTTTTTGTAACATTCAATTACTGTGTTACTTTTGTAGTAGCTTTAAATTGGTGCGTAACCAAACGTTCAAAAACTAACAAAAATGACCTTTTGACAAACTATAAAGTTTGTTTCTTTGTGGGGAATCTATTCAGCTGCTTTATTGAACAACTGTTCAGAATAACTATAAAGATGCCTACAATGAGACGGATGTAGATTGAATTGGTGTCTATTCTGGAATAAACTAGTTGGCAATATATACCAGCAGGCTTTGGGGTTGTTATGCAATATGCAGTTAATCTAGAAATGGAGACTGAAAAAAATGGGGTATATTCTAAAAATATTCCTAAAATGTAGTTAAGCCAAAGTCATAGAAATTATATATCTATATAAAATGTAAGTTTGCATTTCCCAAGATAATTTTATTTTTATTTTTGGCAATGAAATCCCAGACCTACAAGGCAAACTCATCATTTGGTCCCATTTCTTATTGAAATAATTTCTAAATGACATGAAGTAGCTCAATTCTATCTTCTGCACAGCAGGATAGGAAAACATCAGGCAGTGGACTGACTCTTATCAGCTCAAGGAAGACTTCAAACACATGGGACTAGATACAGGGTTTCCCAAGGCCCCACTCTACTGAATTCAAGAAGCCAGAGAAACAACCTTATATTACTAGAACCAGCAAGTTAGCTTTGCAAGGGGAGGCAGGATGAGATTTCTGTTGGCATATATGATGCGGTTTTCTTTTCTTCGTGCCAGACACTGCTGTCTGTTTATTCCACAACAGCTACTTCTAGGGATAGGTTCAGTCTATTAGTTTTTGAAGACAATGCTCATGACCTTTCATGATAACATTGCTTTTTCAAATAATCTTCTCCAATACAGGTCAATATTGCTTTCAACATCAAGAACAGCAGCGACAATTTTTTAATCTGTGCTTTATCTGAATGGGAAGAATTTAAGAATCTTGACTCAGGACACAAACAACATTATTCCTTTTTAAAGTAAAATGAAGAATGCAGGCTGTCGTACTGGTGTGAGGGCCCACATTTTGCAAGCCAGTGCATAGTCAGTCAGTAGTCTGCTGGCATCCTTGAACTAATTTAGGCAGTAGTAACATTCATTTCCACTTTAATTCCGTCTATATTCTCAATTAGTGCATTTATTTTATAAAAAGGAAGCATTGGTAAATATTAAAAATATGAATTTGTGGGTCAAATTAAAGAACCATATTTCTATATTTCCATTTTCTACTCAAGTTTTTACCCTTTCATATGCAAAGTAAAACTAAAGCTGAAATTTGGAACAAGCAGCAGAATGGGGGCGGGGGGGAGAAATGGAAGAATAACAAGAAAACCATAGCTATGGCAAATTGATTAACGTGTTCTCAGCTTCTTTGCCTGCTTCTTTCGTTTCAATTCCTCTTCTTCACGTCTTAGCTCTTCTAGATCTTCCTGCATTCCAAGCCTCAAGCTGCGGAATAAAGATTTAGTTACACTAAAATCTGAAGATAATTAAACCCAAAATGTAGGAGCACAAAAAATCCCTAGCCAGGAGGAAATCAACATAACCCTCTTACAATTACCCATCACTAGACAGCTTGCAGAAATCTTAGCTAGGTTTAGGATATCCCCTAGAGAAGCCATATTAGAAACTGCCTTACATTTCCAGGGATGCAACAGCACTGGAATATGCTACAATTAGACTGGGAATAGAAAAATAAAAATAAATGGCTCCCATAACATATTGAGACGGCACAAGGTTACAAGCCTACCCAATACTAAAAACATGCTATATAAAGAAAGGCTGGCTAATTGTAATTGCTGCTGCAATTGGCCTGAACAATAATGATATCCCCCAATTAAGAGTATAAATATAGAGAGTTAGAGCAGCTGAAATTTGTATTCACATGTTGCTTTGAAGATGCTACAAGGATCAATAATACCTCCAGACAATCCTATATATGACCAGACAGGAAACCAAACTGATTGCGTTTATATTCTGTTTTTGTACAGTACACTTCCGGAGGTTTAGGCATGTAAGCTTGTTGCAGCGAAACCACAGAACAGGGACGACCAAACTTTTTGGAGCAGTGGGCATTTTACAAATTTCAGGAAAGTCCTGAGGGCACTAGTCACAAAATAGTGCACATGGACAGTGTGGTGTAACACAAAATTAGAGAGAAAACTTAACCCTGACAATCTTATGCTCACTATGGGGAGCCAGCCGATTGTGGAGACCACGCAATACACACAGAATTGCTATGCAATAACAACAGAGGGCATTCCTCTGTACTCGGAAAAATATACAAGGTGGCCACATCACACTCCCCCCACAGAAAAGGTACCTGTACATTTTGCCCAATAACTTTCATTTTAGGAGAGCTAGACATTTGCTTATTTTAAATGAAAACTCAGAGTGGGGGCGGTGGTTTTCCCAGGGGCACCTAATAAAAGCCAATTAGTGCCAGGTTGGCAACCCCTGCCATGGACTGTTTTGCAGCTTAAAGACCTGTTTGAATTAGATGTTCCATTCTTCCAATCATTTTGCCTGTGCAAGCATCCCAGCTTGCCAGATGGAACAATACCCCCCATTCTGTTCTAGGGATTCTTCTGACCCTTCCCCAGAGCCAATTTTGAGAGGCCTGTGGGGAGAGGCAGGGGAAAGCACTGTTGCACAAGCAGAGGTCCTTGTGCAGGGCTTCTGCCGACAGAGCTGGTTAGGTAAAAAATGTATTAAGTATTGCAATGAAATACAAGAATTACAGTCTTAGCTTCAATATATGCTAAATAAGTACGCAAAAACACAAAATAGCAGGAATTGGTCCATATAATCATCTTAGCTTCACTGAGTAGAACATTTGTAATGGGACAAAAATCATTGTCTCCATTTGGGCCCAATATTTAAAATTGTTTTCAGGAGATCACTGACTTTCTGAGGAAGCTACAGTCTTTGACAGTCTTCCCAGGGACAATCATTCAAGCAAGCATGGATGCTGAGGCTCTATACACTAACAAAGATGGGTAAGAATCCATCAGGAATATTATCCCAGTTGATCTCTCCACCAAGTTGGTCACATTGTCCTCACTTATTTCAAATTTATGGAGGGCTTTTGGTTTCAGGTTAACAGCACTGTGATGAAAACGTGCAGATCTCCACAGTATGCCAATATATTCATGGCTGACTTTGAATCATTTCCCAAAAAAACCTCCCCTTCACTTGAGGTCACATCACAGAGACTTCAGCCATTTTGCTCACATTGCTTGCCATGGCTCACAATGATTCCAAACTCATCATTATTTGGAATCACATTCATGGAACTGTTTCTTTTTGATGAATGACCAAAATCTGGGAGAGTGAAGTGGATAGATTCAACTCTGCTTACCTTTTGGCTTCCTCCTTCTGTTGCTCCTTCCAGCTGCTTTCCATGTAACGTAAGGCATAATCACTTTCGTCTTTATATCTGAGAGTAATAGGCAAAATGAAATGCAATATGTTCACTTTTGCTATAATACATAAATGCATGTGTTTCAGAACCAGAATTGTATATGCATTTAAATAAAACAGAAATATGTTTCAAGTAACCTTATAATTATGGTATATGGCTGGACCAAGTCAGTTCCTTTCAGTGCAGGGGTAGGGACCATTAGTCTCAGTAATCATATGCTTTGGCAAATACTAGTAAATGAATAGGCTGCATATTGTAGTATATCAGCCCCTTTCTTGCATTTTTTGAGTACATGCACATTCATATTTTTTATCCTCGATTATAGTTGACAGAAACCACTGAGAACTTTAGCTCAAACTCTGTTTTCTTAAGGAGCTCCTGATTAATTTCAAAAGTACTCAAGCAGACTAAATTATGAAACTGTATCGGGGAAAACTTTATTTATGCACCTTACATGAATGTTATAGAGACTGTCATAACTACACAATGGTATAAAATGATACAATTTTTTTTTTCCTCACCTAGCCCGATCATAGCCAAATATCTCTTTAATATGTCTAGAGATTTCTTCCTGGGACTCTCCTTCATCATCTATGAAGTCCTCCATTTCAGAATCGTATTCATCTTCATCGTCTTCATATTGCCTTTTACTAGTAATAGGTGGAAGAGATGGTCTTGGAAAACCTAAGGGGTGAAATTCAGACATGTAATACACACTTCCAAACCCGCTGCAACATTTATTTTTGTGCTGCATTAGTTTTTCACTAGCTAATACAGTCACTTCATGAGGCTTTACACGGGTTACATTCTGGGCAGCTATTGGTGTAATGCAGGGGCAGATTAACATTTGGCCCGCCAAATGCTGCTGGACTACAAGTTCCATCATTTCTGATTGCTGGCCATGGCTGACGGGGGCTGATGTGAGTTCATCATCATCTGAAGGCACACAAGTTAGTCATCCCCGCTACCCAGCATTTAAGTAACAAATTTAGTTGGATCACTGTAAATGGTTTGGCAAAAAGAAATGTTATTTTCAAATGCAGGGGCGTATTACATCAACACAACAAATCTACTCTTGGAATACAAATCTGAAATCCTCCTCATAATAAGAATACTAAATGGTGTGTGTTTACTAGGCCTATTGCTTCAAGCGTTATTAGGTAGCTTATTATGTACCAGACAGATTATTATGTACCAGACGCAAAGACATAGAGTCCGGCTGGACCAGGCTAAAGGCCCAACTGGTCCAACACCCTGTTCTCACGGTGACCAACCAGATGCTTATAGAAAGTTTGCAAGCAGGACCTGAGTGCAACCGAACTCTCCTCACTTGTGATTCTCAGCAACTGGGATTCAGACTTCCAACAGTGGTGGTAGAACACCATGGCAAGCCCTATCCTCCATTAATGCTTCCAGTTCACTTTTCAGCATATCTAAGACGGTGGCCATCACATCTTATAGAAATGAATTTCATAGTTAAAGTACCGGTATGTGCTGTATGCAGTAGTTCTCTTTTATCTGTCCTGAATCTTCCAACAATCAGGTTAGTTGAATTGCCCAGTATTATTTGGGGGGAGGGGATAATTCCCATGCAGTTTCTCTACACTAGAACACAAAATCTGCACTTAATTCCATCTGCTTGACATGTTAGGCCCAGATTTGGAAAAGCAGGGCAAGGCGAAGGATGATTTGTGCTTAGCAGCAAAGCGTTATCTGTGTACATCTACAGCATTCCAGCACCATCTCCCTCTCCAAAATGGTTGACATCGCTTCTTCATACAGTACAAGCACTGGAGTTGCAGCAAGCTAATCTAGAATAAGAGAACCTTTGTTATGGGAGAGTAAGGGCTACTGACTGCTGCAAAGATTAAGTTGAAATCCTGTCTGCCTTGGCAAAGGAGTGCTCCAAGAAAAATAAAGCTCAACTCTGCCCTCGCCCAACTGGAGTGATTCCTGTGCTTCAGATCAAGGGAGCTTCTTACCCTTAAATCAATCATGGAATTATATCTTTGTCACAATATCTTTGTTACAGCCTTTCCTGCTCACACTGAATTTGCTTGAACTTGTAGAAGCCAGAAATCACATAAATGTACCTGACGTTAACAAGACCATAAAATTTATCTAAGGTTTCCTACACTCTACCATACGTATGTTTGTGAGGAGCAATCAAATCTGCAAAGTAGTTTTAAAAACAGTCCATGCTTTGCTTTGCTTTTTTTGTTTACAAAGTTCATGGTAGAATGAGATCCTATACAAATTCTCGGAGTACTGTACTACCACTGAACTCAATGGAACTCACATTCAACTAACATGCACTAGATTGGAAGACATGCAACTCCAAGTCCCAACAGATACAGTGAGACAACAAATGTATGAATGAAACAAAGAGTACATATCAAATTATTCATAAACTCAAACTTTAAAGATACCTTGTGGGGGGATCCTGGGTCTTTGCTGTGGAAATGGCCTCATCCCATTCATTTGTCCGCTACCTTGTCGTGGTACCAGATTTTTAGAAGAGATCGTTTCTGATACAACCGTACACTTTGGTTTCAGAGTTCCAACTGAAGTGGTGTTTGGCCGGCCGGGTCCCAATCCTGAGTTACTACCTCTTGCCGGTCCTGCATTTAGACTATTTGGCCGCCCGGGTCCTATGTTTTGACTACTTCCAGAACGCACTGGTCCTGAACTGTTGCCTGGTCTGCTAGATCCCACACCTAAGTTACTGCCTGGCCGTACAAGTCCCGCACTTGAGCTGCTGCTTCGTTGCCCTGATCCCGAGCCGCCACCTAATCGTCCAGGTCCCATGCCTGAACTATTGCCCTGTGGTCCACGTCCAACAATCAAACTGCTGCTTGGCCGACCTGGACCTGTACTCAAGCTGCTCTTTGCTCGTGGAAGAGGTCCTCCTGCGCCTGAATTGCGGCTTGCTTGCTTGGAGCTGACATTTTTAACACCTTCATGCTGGGAAGGAGCCACACCAGATGGTTTTGTTTGGCTAGTAGTTTTTTTCAGACCAATTTCTTTAGCAGATGGATGCCTGAGAATTCCATTTGCAGCCGTTTTCAAAGTTGGGGTATGAGAGTTAGGTCCAGATTTCCCACCCCCATTAGATGCTGGTTTAATTTGACTGCTGTTCGATGGGCTTTTCAAAGGGACCTTATGTGTAGGTTTTGCTTTCTCAGAAGGGTTGGGTTTGGAGGCAGATGACAACTTCAAATGCTTTTCATTTAAAGCTGGTCCCTTGGATTTCTTGTCAGTACTACTTTGAGAGGAAAGGCTTCCTTTCGACAAGGAATGTTTGTCCGCTGAATGCTTACTAGGTTTAGCATTTATGAGCTCCTTCTGTGAAAATTCCTTCTTGGAAGAATTTGATATAGTGACCTGTTTTATTTCTTTCCCAACTTTTTTCTCTTTTAGTATAACCCCCTTTTTGTGTTTCCGCTCTAAGTATTCTCGCTCTCTCAGTTCTTCCGCTGTCATGGGTCTTTCCTCTGTCTTTTTCAGAGGAACTTTTATTTCAACTGGCTCATACTGTTTCTTTTCAGCCAGCTTTAAAAGGTCCCTAAAGTTCAGTGTTGGAGGTGCGCTTTTGGGAGGCGCCTTTGGTTTCACTGGTGCTTTGGATGGCTTTTCTTCATATTCTTCCAATTCATGCTCCGATTCTGTCTGATCATATTCAAATTGCTCCATTTCATCACCTGTCATGCATTCACCTCCTTCTGTGTTCCCTTCAGAACTGTTTTCACGGCCTTGCCTCTTTTTAGGCTTCTCTTCAACAGGAATGCCATTATAGCCACGGAAATTGTCCTTCGTCCGTGAAGCCATAGCTCTTGCTTTTCGGTCATGCTTCAGTTCTACACGTTTAGCGAGAAGTTCTTCTTTTCTTCTTTTTTCTTCAATGGCTGTAAAAGAAGGAAAGTCCCTATGTAAAATATTTTTTGCGCTTGAAAAATCTTGGGATAGCTTGAAAAACTGCAATGGCTAGTAAAGTTCATGCTCAGAGTTTACATTCTGACTACAAACTATCTAAGCAATCAAATAGCAGACATGGAACATAAAAGCTACCCTTGGAAATAACACAGCAGAATTTTAATTAAGAGCTCCACTTTAAACACAAGGGCTGACTGAGATCTAAAGAACTGCACAATTAATTCAGCACACCCAGGAGGTTGTGGGTTTGGGTTTCTCAGGCAGCAGCTCCCCACTGAACATGGGCAACTGCTTGCAAAACTGAGGAGGACTTTCAAAGAGCAGTTCTGTCCAGTATCTTCTGGAATTTGTCAAAAAGCCTGTTAAATAAAACTTGCTTTGAAAGAACAAGGTGTCAAAACTATGCACCGATCTCTGTGATGTTGTAGTTTCTAGCTATTGTACAAACTGAGAGGAATTCAACACTCTGATGTTCCAAACAACCCAGCAGCATTGATGGAATTCCTGCTTGCCTGATGGAATGATCTCCCCCTCTCCCTGCTCACTGCATGCTGTACTACCCCAGAGATATTGATAGGGAAGGTGGGAAGCCTTGTTGTGCTCGCAGAAGTCCTTGCATTGGCTTCAGTAATCTGAATCCAGTTCTAAATGCAGAACAGAGGGGAGGAAATGAACCAACTTTTTAAGTTTTGCCACTGCTTTCAGAGGATTATAGAAGCCAATGCACATCCAAAAATGAGGGAACTATGGCAACAATATTCAAAAAGAAACAGAAGACAGTTATCACCAAAAATAAGTGACAGTGGCTCTTGGGAGGAGAAAGATAATTTAAAAATATACCCTTTTTCCTTTGTTCCTCTTCTTGCCGCTTGAGGAAAGCTCTCACAGCTGCTGACTGAACACCTTTCACTTTTGGATCCTTTTTGGGAGGGCCTACTGCCAAACTGTATCTTTTCTGAAAAGAGACAAAATGTCAGAACCACACACCAATCTTGAAGGCTCTAGGTTTCTAGCTACTGTACACAACAGGTTGGGGACTTTGGGCAATTTAACAATAAAAGCCTTTTCAGCAATTGATTTCAGCGGTGTTTAAGGTGCTTAGCACTGGCCACAACCACATGCCACAATACGTCATAAACCATCTTAACACAACATTTTGAATGACATCATCTCAGCCCACTGGCTATGTTGGTTGGAGCTAATGGAAATTGCAGTATAACAATATCAGAAGAGCATAGATATAACACGATACAGGCTATATTTTATTCAAAAAGCTGTCTCAGTGCTTATGCAAGTAAGAGTTTTTGTACTTAATTTGTGATTTATTTGGGGGGAGTGTTTAAACATGGTCAGATTTAATTGTAATTACTTCTTTAGCTGTATAAGAAAAAAAGCTATGTTATATATATATATATTCCTTCCAGTAGCACCTTAGAGACCAACTAAGTTTGTTATTGGTATGAGCTTTTATGTGATGCACACTTCTTCAGATACCAATCTTCTTTGTATTTGAAGAAGCGTGCATGCACACGAAAGCTCATACCAATAACATACCAAGTTGGTCTCTAAGGTGCTACGGGAAGGATTTTTTAAATTTTGTTTCAACTACAGCAGACCAACACGACTGACTACCTACCTGTAACTGTGTGTGTGTGTGTGTGTGGTATGTTTATAATTACCAATTTAGAATATATTGATATTTCTTCTCAATGAAATAAGGAACACTAAAACAAATACTTTAATACAAGACTTTATACAACACATAGCTTGTATGAGGTATAAAAGTCTACTGCAGCTACAAGTTCTCTCCAACAACTCAGTGAACAAGCTAGACAGGCAGTAACATTCCATTCTCATTGTTTGATAAAAGTACCAGCTTTATACAAAGATTTGTCCGCAGTGGCGAAAAGCACAGGTCAAACTCTCCTGGTGTGCTTTTTAAAACACTGATTATCCTTTTCTGAGCACCTCCAGATGGCAACTGTAGGGTTGAAAGCTGTAGCAATATGCAAGCTGCAGATGGCTGTTGTTACACAGCATTTAAGCAATAACTGAAATTGAAAACCACAAAAGCCTTTAAAAGTTCATTTTGTAAAACTTGATTACACCCTCCATGCCTTGAAATATTGGTGAAAATGATTCAAAACTATGTTAGCTCCAAAATTAGCATTTATCCCCTCTTTAAAAGAGAGCAGGTGTCTTTTAAAACACTGCCCTCTCCAAACTAAGAGTGAAACCACCACCTGGTTTTTCTTTAAGTTACTTTGACAGAAGTAGGCAGTTGTCATAAGTACAATGAAGAAATCTCACAACCCTGACTGAGCCAGATATTGAAATACGACCCACTCCACAGAGTCGCTGTGAAGCTAAAAAATAAAATAACAAGAATGCAGTAGCCCTTTATTTGAAGATCCCAATGCTATTTCTGAAACTACAGCTTAACAAGAAGACAAAATCATGTAGAAATTCTAAATGTTATAATTCAAACTTTGAAAATACTTTCTCTTTTTATCTTATACTATCACATTGCCTTTGGCCAGATTCATTCCCTACGCTACACAGACCCTATGTGTTACTGTTGAACAATAACAAGGACTACTTTTTAAATCAAGTTAATAGATATTTACATACTTGGGTCAGATCTTGAGTTATCTATAGCAACAACTGAGCTATCAGTGGAAGCATTACTAAGCCCAATAGTCACTTCATTTTGAAAACAGCTAATTATTGCTTAGCATGGTTTTCCCTAAGGGAGATGAACTAACAGCTCTATAATTTTAGCGAGACATGATGCAATACATTATTGCTTCTATTTCTCATATAAATGATCATGAATGTGCTTATTCACTATCTAGCAAAGAATAGTTTTAGCCTAAAATCCTTCTTAGCAGTAACATTTCAGTAACTGCTTACTACTTGATAATGGTTTTTAAAGTGTCTCAAATCTGAAATTACCTTCAGGAAAACTTAATACATACATTTTAATAGTCCAATCCTAGTCATGTTTACTCAGATGTAAAATAAGTAAGACTTTCAAAGTTAATGGGCTGGATCCAATGCTTCTCTTCCAATGGAAGATAATTTGAACAGAAAGATTATTTCTGCTGGAGGAACAGACTTCCTGTCAGAGGAAAGGAACCTCTGAATGCTGTTCAATGTTGCCTAGGACCGCAACCACAGGAAAGCAAATGTTAACTAACTCTGCTAGCTTACAGGAAGAGATGAACTTCCCAAAGTCAACAATAAAGATAAAATTGTAGTAAATGCTCAAGATTTTATTAATCATTTCTGAGCTTTCATTCAGCACAAGCTCTTTAAGAGAAATACACTTTCAGGAATTATATTTCTAAATCAGATGTGGGGAACCTGTGGCCCTCCAGATATTCATGGAATACAATTCCTACCATCTCGAACTATGGTTATGTTGGCTGGGTCAGATAGGAGGATGAGTCCAATAACACCTGGAAAGCCACAGGTGCCCCACCCCTGTTGTGAATTGTGATTCCTTTTCATTGATTAAATCACTTTTCCCATGAAGAGATCATGATCCACACACACTGGCAATACACATTTAATAAAACATGAACTTTACTGATAGCTTCTTCAAAACATATAATATGTTCTCTTGAAAGCGAAAACTCCATTTACTTGTCCTATTTGGAATCTATACGGTAGTTTCTTGCTTTCATTAAATCTCTTTTAGTAGCTTAGACTCCATTTTCCTGATATATTGTAGCCTAGCAAAAGCTGCATGAACTTTTACTAACCCTTCTCGTTAGGAAAAAAAACTCACTTGCTTTTAGGAAGGAACAAGCAGCAGCCAGTGTCCTGACACTGAAAGAATTCAAGGTGGTCAATTGCCATAGCAATGCTGAAGGGAGACTGGCTAGGCAGAACGATTGCAATTAATATTATATCAATATATAAGAATGGATGTATTAATCACAAAATAAATGAAAGCAGATGTTGGTGGACAGCTAATAAATAAGGTAATTAATATAGATGGACATTGATGAATATTGTTATAATGAGAAGGTTGGGGAGGGCTCAAGGTATCTAAGAGATTTCTGACCGGTTTAGACAACAGTGGGATGTAACTATTATAGAAAGTTTTATTGCAGCCACATGATTGGCTAATAGTGATCAAACATGTAGCACAGAAGTATATAAGAATGCTTTCTGTATCAAGTTGCAGTCATTCCTTGATTTCTAGGGGACTGTCCCCATGCCTAGTTTCACCTGAAGCCTATTTTGCATAGAACTGTAGAGTCAGAAGGGACCCTGAGGGGCATCTATTTCTTTGTTTTGTGTCAGGGTTCCCAAGAAGAACACCAATTTCTCTCTTTCTCTGACAACCAACCCTTCGCACTTGCAGCTGTCCTTTCATCTAGTAAATGTTGAAATCTGTATTGTATTCAGGAGCACTTACAAGACTCAAATTTCTATTTAATCTATTTTAAATTGAAGAGCGGCCCAAACTTTCAGATTACTAAAACAGAAGAAGGCATTGCTGAAAATGAACTATTCATAAAAGATTTATGTGAAAAGAGACCTGAAAGCATCTGTGACAGGGTTGTCAAACCTGTGACTCTCCAAGCAATGGGACTCCCCACTCCCATCAGCCTGGCTAATGATGGAAGTTGTGGCCCAACAAGACTTGAAAGGCCACAGGTTATCCACCTCTGATCTAGAAGAGCAGTCTCCAGCTGGCGGGGGGGGGATGTTATGGCTAAAAAAATATACAACCTATATACAACCTACTTTGAAAACTGAAGGTCAAGTATAAGAATTGGAATGGTGGTTTTTTTGGTTGTATGGAGAAGTTAAAAGAAACTTTTTTTTACATGTGTAGTAGACATGCATATTGAACAGCTATTTGGTGCAACTGTGCTAAGGGTGTCCAGGATATATTTGCTGCCCGGCCTTTTTTCTGTATCCAGTTTTTGTCTAAGACTGCAATCCTATGAGCACTTACTTGACAGTAGGCCCCACTGATTTAAGTGGAATTTATTTCAAAGTAAGCATGCATTGATTTGCCTGCAAGGCATTTAAATTAGAATTGCTAATACATCATCTTTCCTACGTCAGCAAAGATTATAGCTGCACACTATTTGAGGAAACCACAGCAACCCAGCACTGGTAAAGGTTTGGGACATTAGAATAAATATTTCAACTGACCCTATTAATGAGATACAAAGAGAAGAACGTTTTTTCGTTAGACTGAGACTTGCGTGTTTTCCTGGAGAATTAAAATCAAGACATGGACTAAATAAAAAGACCTGCAATAGGCATTTAAATCATCATGCTGTCTACTCATAGAAAATATACCTTGGGCTTGGTCCATCCCCTGAGGATGTAGCATCACATAAAAGTCTCCAAAGGTTATAACAAAGCCCTGTTCCCTCCATCCTCCACAGCATATAATGGGGCTGTCACCATGCCAGTCCATTAACTCCAAAATCTCTAGCCAGTCCTCTCTGTCCCACTCCACTTGACCAAGGAAGAGTGATGAAGGGACAATGGTCTGCTCCCTCTAACTCCATAGGGAGAACAGAGCTCTGTTATGCTCTAGTCTAGGGCAGGCTCCCTCAAACAGAAGGCTGGGTGCATACCAGTGGGTCTTGGGCCACTCTGAGGTTGGCCTCAGTGCCACAGCCTGTCCAGAGCCTCCTCAAATACCTGCCCAGTTTCCTAACCATGTGATCAGACTTTTGATTGGACCAATGACTATATCAGCAACTTCTTGCACTCTGGTGTCCAGGAAATAAGTTGAGAGAGAGAGAAGCGAGGCAATCCCTCCCTTCTCTGAGAGGAAAGGACCAGGGTAAGCTTTGATGGAAATTAGAAATGGAAATAAAAGTTTCATTTTTATGGTAATAAATAAATGAACTAATAATACATAAACTAGGAAAAGAAAAGAAGAGGATGAGAGAAGCTGATATAAAAGGTGTGAATATAAAAGGATCAGGAAGGTGGGATAAAAAATATTGGGAGTTTGGCATGGAGGGAAGGGAATACAGCAGATGGTTACAAACACTTTGAGAGGCATTGGTGGGGGGCCGGAAGGGAAAAATATAAATGAACAGGCTTTCTCTACTTACAGCCTCTGGATAAGCACACTTTGCTTAAAATGGGGAGGCTGAGCAAATGTATGTACTTAGCCTGAGGAAAGCTGAGCTATGAAACTCCCTGCCACAAGGAAAATACTGTGGCAAATAATTTAGTAATTTCTGAAGGTGGATCAGATATCAGTAGAAAGTGATGTCAGTAACCGCCAGCTGGTTATGCCAAACTCTGCCTCTGTCTGCCACCACTGTGTTACTGGCTCTACATCTGAACCACCATTTTGTGATTAGTGGATCTCAGTGTAATTTGAAGCCATCTCCAGAGGGCCCTGAGGATAAAAAGCCTGAGAACCTCTGACAAATAGGAAATCCTTCATGCCCACTACTATGCCCGTGGTGCACTGGACCAAGCTTAATCTATTCTATTTAATGCTGCATTGGATTAATTATATGAGTAGAGGGAGAGAGAAAGAAAAAATTAAAGGCACTGTCTCTTACCAGAACTTTACTAACAGCTTCCAAAAGATTATCATGACCCAGTATTTGAGAAAATATTTGATACCAAATTTTAAGATACTAAAAAAGGTGGCATAACTCTCAGGATATTCTTCCCAACATGCTTCTTCAGGAAAAGGAAGAAAGAAAATGTCAATACAGTGGTACCTCTGGTTACAAACTGAATTCGTTCCGGAGGTCCATTCTTAAGCTGAAACCGTTCTTATCCGTGACTTCCCCTCGCATCCTGGGGCAAAGTTCACAACCAGGAGCAACTGCTTCCGGGTTAGCGGAGCTCGTAACCCGAAGCATGGGTAACCAGGAGCGTTCATAGCCAGAAGTACCACTGTAAGCTCCTTTGTAACCCAGTAGCTACCTACCCTTAACAAATGCTACATAATACTAATATTATGTTGCCAGTTTTTGTAACACCTGAAGCTTTTTTTTAAATAAACTTTGCTTTATCAAATATCTTACACCTTTTACCAGAAGAACATGCAATGATCACCATGATCCTAAGAACTCTTTCATTTAGTACTTCCTTGCTAACTGTAATTCTCATACAGCCATTCAATGATACAACAAATCTATATATCCATTTGTAGGCATGCTTAGGCTGGCTTTTGCTGCTGTTGTTACACCCAGAAAACCCTGCTGCACATCTTCAAAGCCTGGAGAAGCTCGCTTAGAAAGTATAAGCCAGATAAATCCCTTTAAGAATTGAAGTTGATATAAAGAGGAGTGGGATATAGCTATTAATGATAAATTAACATGTGCCATTAAGGTAAGATGGGAAATATGCAGGAGAAAGGATTTTGAGGAGATATGGAGGGTGTTTGTAGAATTTGTACTGTTCAAACAGAAAGGGGTCAAACCATTGTAAGAGGTGTTGAAATTTTGGGAGGTTGTATAGCTACAATGGAATAATCTCGGTGGTGGGATGCACATTTCTATTTATGATTATTACTTTGTCAAAATAATTTTAAAAAAGAAAAAGAAGTGATGGGGTCGGCATCCAAAAAGTTCCCTGTACCCTCACATCCTGCTTGGACATTGTACAACCTCAATGCAAACATTAGCCCTACGTTTTTAGGCCAAGCTTCAGATCAACTGCAAAACGATTTTAAGGTTAGCAACCTAGCATATGTAGAGGTAACTGCAAACCAACTTTTTGGTCTCGTTTTCTAAAGTTTTAAAGTTATTTTTTGCGATTACAAAAAAAGGAAAGGGTCGGGATTTGAAGTCAAGTGTTCGCTATCCGGAAAAAAAGGAAAAGAAAAAAGCAGCAGCAGCAGCAGCTTTTGAACAAAGGCATCTTTCTGTGACTCAAGCGAGAAATGCATTTGATAAAAGCATCCCCCCCCCCCCCGCGCCGGTGACACCTCGCCGAACAGGCTCCTCTCGCCGGGCGCCGGCAGCTGAGCGAGCAACAGATTAGCAACACAAAAGCTGAGCAAGTAGCGCGCACGGAACACCCGGGATGTACGCGCGGCTGGGAGCGAGAGAGACCGAAAGAAGAGCCCGAGAAGACTCGACTCAGAAGAAAGTCCGCTTCGAGGAGAGCAAAGAGAGAGGGACCCAGAAGGGAAGCGACGGGCCGCAGCCGGTTCGGCGAGAGGCGCTCGCCGTCGGCTCTTCCCCGCCGCCAACCGTCCTTTCGCCTCCCTCCCTCGCGCCCCCGCCAGCCCTCACCGGCACTGCGCTCAGCCCCTGCTGCTCCGACGCCACCATCAGGATATCGCGGAACTCCATCCTGGGCTCCGTGGCCCTTTCGCCCCCGGAGAGGGGCGCCGCCGCTCAGCCTCGCTGCTGCTCCTGCCGCCCCTCGAGAGGACCTTCTCCCTCCCTCCCTCCTTCCCTCGCCCAGCTGACGGAAAAAGTTCCTCACGGACGCCTCCCTCCCCCTCCTTCCCTGCCTCCCTCCTTCCTCACTTCCGGCCCCGAAGCTCCTCTTCCCACCTCTTATATCACCTCGTAAGCGTCAACCAGTTGTTTTTTTTTGTTTAAATGAGCGTGAGGTCACTTCCGCCACTCCGCTCCATGCGGAAGCACGTAGGCGCCCTTCTTCTTCCGGAGAGGACGTGTTCCGACGCGCCACGTGACATGAACAGCGCAGACAGGGGGTTGCTCGCCACGTGTCTGTGCAGCAGAGCGGTGGGGTTTTCATCTCGGGTTTAAAATGCTGTGTTAGTTCGGTCCTCTGCCGGAGAAGGATTCGGGTTTTGTTTTTGTTGTTTTTCTCCCGAGAGTGGTTTTTTTTTTGAGGTGGGATGGGAGTACCTGCTGGGCTGACAAGGTGAGTTTCTTTCAGTGGCCCTCTCATTTTGCATCTGTACTTCATTGATTGTTATTGCTTGGGGTGGATCCTGCTGCTTTTCTTGCATTCACTCATTCGTTCGCTGCGGCTTCTGCTTTTACCGCCGCCAATCATTCGAGCTGGTAAAGTGCTACAAAAAGGCTGGGGTGCGGGTGACAAGTGTGGCGTCTGTTTGCCATATGTACCCCATAGTGGAAGAACCCTGGCATCTTTAGGTAGGGCTGGGAAAGACTGCTGACTGAAACCCTGGAGAGAAGTTGATAGCTATGAGCTAGAATGCTAGATCAACCAAAGGGTTTGACTCTGCTTCAGGCCACTGCCTACATTCTTGGTGTGCGTTTACTCAGAAGTAAATCCCATTTCATTGCATGGGTTTACTTCCAAAGGAGAGGTCTGCAAAATTGTAGTCTTCCCAGTTGTTATAGGAATTCTAAGGTCTAATATATATAGAATAAATGTTCATAAATGTACAAGGCAAACACACATGCAGAAGTGCAGTGTCTGAAACAGCACAGGAGAGCAATCCTGAAGCCATTTTGACTCCCTCAAATTGACCTCAAATATTTCGCTGCAAGGAGGAAGGAAATGGGAAAAGCTTTCCAGTTGTCTTTGGACTGTAAGGGGCTTACACCTCCCTTTGCAAATACAGTCTGGCCAGTATCTGTTAAGCTGAGCAAACTATCAATATATGTAAGAGATTCAGGAACTAAAGTATTTACCATCACAAAAGAATGGCCATGACTATCCTGACAGACAGGTTTTCTGCTGTAGACCGCCCCCCTGTGATGTATGTATGATGTTTTGGGGGGTGGTCTTGAGCTATAGGGGAGGCAATTTCAAAGGTCTATATAAGAGCTTGCACACCATTGTTCGGGGTTCCTCTCCTCCCTCCCTGCGTGGGATGAGTGGGGGACCCTGTTGCAACAGTTTAATAAAGATCATGCTTACTAGCTGCTTTGCTTCTCAATATTCTCTGGTTGGCCTCTGTTATTTTCTCCTACCGAAAGAGAACCTACATAAGGACTCTATACGGGCTCTTGGATACCCCATAAGGGATAAAGGAGCAGTATTTTTCTTATAACACAGTACTTTGTACAATCAATTATTTTTTCAGCTTGTTTTGGGTCAATACAAAAATGATTTGGTTTGTGGTCATAGCTTCACAACAAAGCTATTTTTCAGCACTAGTACAGAAGTGGATCATGCCAGCATCGTTCTTGCAGCAATAGTAGTTGGCAGTAAACTTTGTAAAGGCACACAATGGTAAATTGACATTGGCATATTGAAACTTTGGTTCAGGTTAGCTTGACCTTGTTGGCAGTCTAGTACTTGTTAAACTCATGGCCTTATGTTCACCTAAGCCAACTAGTTTATGCTACTCTTGCAAAGGCCTGTGAGACCCCTACAGAATCATCTTTTTAATCTTCTGCTGTACAGTATGACCACATCTTGGAAGGTAAGGATGGTCACATGGGGGTGGTTCAGGTATAAGTGTTTTGTGTATACATGCCAGCCCTGGAATGTGACCCCCGCACACAATGTGATCATTTGTGCTGAGTGATGGTCTGCTATGTAGCTGATCCTTTTTGCTATAGCCAGAGTTTCTGACTCCCCCAGCCCCAATAATGTAGCCCTTTCAGTAACCTGGGGGTCAGTTTATAGTCATCAGAATCACGTGATTATTTTGTCCTTGACCATGCCAAATCTGGCTGCAATTTGGGATAGAGGATTACATTCATGCTAAGCATTTTTGGGAGGGTACACAAGCCTAAGATCCACGCACATAACTTTAAATTATGATCCCCATTGCATGTCAGCTCAGCCAAGGAGTCAGTAACTTGAAATTCCATAGTTGTGCATACAGGGCTAGTGATTTGATTACTTCTCTTTGAGACTCTTAGGAGTACCTGTTTTTATTTGTGTTTTATTAGTTGAATTTTCTATTCTGAATTCTGATACAGGTGCTGTCTAAAGCCTTTCTAATACAAATTTTGATTGCAAGGTTGGGGTGACTGATGCAGAGGCAACTCCCCAGCTGAAGTTCAGACGGATAGTAAGTTGTTTTTTCTGTTGCTTCAGCCTTCATTGATCAACCCTTTTGAACAGCAAGAGAATGGGTCCCATATGATTTATTTATGTATTTATTAAATGTGCGGTATATTCTGGCCTTCATCTGGGGATCACAGGTGATTTAGAATATAAAGAACATTAAAATACATAACATAAGAACAATGTGTGTTCGGCTGCACATTGTTTGAATGTCCTCAAATAATAATTGCTTTGTCAGCCAGTCATAATTTTGGGGAATATTCGTTTATCCTTCACAGTTAACAACACTGAAAGAGAGAAAATGGTGAAGACACTTGTGCTTGATGGCAAGTGATGACTGATCCAGAGTACCAGGGACGGGCACAACACACCAATGAAACCACGTGTGTGTTTACTCTGCAGTGGAAAATAATATTAATTGCATCTGTTTAATGGTCTTACATGTATTGCATTGCAAGCTATTAATCCAACTGCAATAATCTGTTTCTTACATTTTATTTATTTTATTTTAACTTTGCTTCTGCAGGCAGTCACATAATTGGTGCCAGAGAGTGGGCTCCTGGAGTCCTGGCCAGTTCCACCATCGCTCGCTTTGAAGCTCATCCATTTGCCACAGACATTTGGATCTGTTCAAGGCGATGGGCAGGCAGCAGTACTTGGAAGATGCAGCGCGGCAGCTGGCAGACACTTGCCCTGCCCAAGCACGGTTTTTACTGTGGACACTCAGCAACAGAGAAGACAAAACCCAAGATTCTGTGAACCGAGTGTGCCATTACTGTTTCCAGTTTCTCCTTCCAGGTAATGTTAGGGTACGTCTGATGCCTAAAAAGAGGGTGACTCCACAGATACAAAAACTACTTAATCGGGAAGCAAAGGGCTACAAACTCAATTTAAAACAAACAAAGCTTTTGAAGAAGTACAAGGAAGCAAAGAATGTTCTGCTGGTTACCTGCAACGCATGTGGGAAAACAACAAGGCATTCTGGGAATAGTAGAGAAGGTTTGGGTAGAAAGGCATCAGCCGGGAAGTCTTCAAACAAAATTACACCTGTCAGCCACCGTCATTCTGGATCCAACAGAGGGACACCCAATTCCAGAACATCATCTGGTCAATCAACACCTCGTTCTTCCTCCAGGACTCAGAGAAACATCAAAGACCACTTCGCACAGCTGAAAAGACTGCTTCATCTTGAAGAAAATAAAAAAAGTAATAAGGGGGACCTCAAAAACTTCTTACTATCACTTTAATATTTTTGAAATAATTGATGTAACATAATTCCAGCTAATTAAAGGAATGCATCACTTAAAAATAAGCCCGTGGTACTGCATTAACTATAGTTTTTCATGGAGCAAAGTGCTATGAAACTAGAGGTGCAAAAGGTCTGGGGAAAAAACTTGGGAAAATAGGGGCAGGAACTGCCCCCCCTTCTTTCCATAGCCTTTTTCTTGTAAAAAGATTATGGAATGTTTTCTTTTTTAATGATGAATAAAACGTTTAAGAAGAGCTGTTTGTATATTTACTCCCCCCACATGATTTCCCAAAACTATAACAGGAAGACTTATGCGAGAATATGTACAGTATCGGATCATTACAGTTCTTGCAAGTCCTGAGTTGAAGACTGAGACTATGGGTGCATCTGCACCGTTGCTTAAATCAAGTGGGAAGCAAAACTAACTGCTTAATTAGTTTTGTTTCCCACTTGTTCCATCATTATTCTCAGGAAACCTTTAATGTTCTAATGAAAGGGTGACATCTCAATTTTCTTTTAGCTTACAATATGCCTTTTCACTAACCAAATGCTCTTAAGAAAATGTTATGGTGGCACCAGGAGACCCCCCAGGTTTTCGCTGACCTAGTTTGGTGAATACCACCTCCCTCTTGCCTCCTCTGCTCGCCTCCATATGACTCCAGACCTCATTCTTGCTTCTGGGAGAGTCCCTCTTTATTTCTTAACCCCACTTCCCCACGCTTCATTAGCTTTTTCTGAAAAATCATTGCTGGTACTCCAGCTAGTCAAATAAACAAGCGCACACAGAGATGCTTGTAGGGTAAGAAAAATAACAAAGTAGTTTATTGTATGAAGTAAATAACTAGGCTAGGAAAGTTTCTAGTTCTCTAACCTAACAAGCTAAAGGAAGGCAGGCATCCTTGCTCCTTTTACTCAGGATAGCTCCCAGCTGACTTCTTGAAGTCTGTCAATGTGAGGGAGGTACAACCTAAGACTTATCAGTCTAAATAGAGAAAGAGCGAGGAGCCTTCATATTCTCCTGTTTAGGGAAGTTTTTAATGTTTGGTGTTTTATTGTGTTCTTAATATACTGTTGGAAGCCGCCCAGAGTGGCTGGGGAGGCATGGCCAGATGGTCGGGGTATAAGTAATATATTATTATTTATTATATTCCCAGACTATCACTGTACCTTTATGCTGACTTCTCTGTCTTTATGCAAACCCCTCTTCTGCAAACTGAGTTACACCCAAACTTCCAACACTCTGTGTGTGTGTGTGTGTGTGTGTGTGTGTGTGTGTGTGTCAGAGAGAGAGAGAGAGAAGCTTTCTTGTCTCTTTCCTGTACTGACACAGGAGAAAAGCTTTGTTTCCCTCTGGGATGAGGAAATGAGTACACACATGCACACCCGTGGAAGTGAGAGAAGGTGGCGATTTTTTATGCTAAAGGTGGGTAGAAAATAGATCTCTAGATGTTTTGCAGTAACCAAAAAAGATTGCCGACTTCACAGTGGTTTGATAAAGGGATCAGGAGCCTCTGACCTTCCAGGTGCTGGAGTCCCAATTCCCACTTGCCTGAGCCAGCATGAGCAAAGGTCAGGAATGGTAGGAATTGTAGCCAAACCATATCTAGAGGCCTGCAGGGTCATTCCCCCCTGTGTAATGGCAAGAACTTCCCCACCCCCAAATTAGGCTGCTTAAATGAATAAGGGTGGAGGGGAGGAATGTGTTTGAAAGAACTATGAGCTCAGTTCCCTGGGCCAAGATGGATGCAAAGATCCTTAATTCTGAGTTCATGTCTGCCCCTTTTGGTAAATTACTGATTTGCACAGTTCCAGGAAGTGGAACTCAATACTAGGATTTGTGGAATTTAGGACTGAGTCGGCCCACTCCTACCATGTCCTGGCTTTTTTTTAAAAAACAGCTAATCTGATCACTAGATGGCACTCTGTCATCTCAAACCAGACTTGGTGCTCCAGCAGGAACAGCAAGTAACAAGTCTTCTCTAGCTTTCTGATACCACAATTGTGATGGCAAATGGTTTCTTTTTATTTATTTAAAGAGTCATAGGAGGTTTAGGATGTTCTGACAAAATCCTGCCAAACTTGGAACTGCCATACTAGATGAACTCAGTTCTTTCAACTCGGTATGGGACGCCATCTCCACAGAATATGGCTAGCTGTTTCACAAAATACACAGGATGAAATGGCAGAATTCTGGTCTGTTTTACTTCAGGTGGGGGGAATTGCATTGGGGAAGGAAAACCTGGCATCTTCATGTCACTTGGAGCCCACTCTCTGATGAGCCACCTTACCACGTGGAGAAATACTTTTATTGTGGCAGGAGTGGAGGGCTGAAAAAAACCCATGACCCCTCAACCTCTACGGGCTGAACTGCTCCTTGTAATTTAGGATTTCACTATCATCTCATTCTTTATAGCCTGTAGAATGGCTTCAGTGTTCTGTTACCTCTACCCCCATAGAACTTGACCATCTTCTCTGGTCCATGTATGTTTTAGGACTTTTGACTTCCCTAGAGTAAATTTACCAGCCATGGTAAATTTCCAGATGCTCTTTTACAGACCAATACCTGATTAAGTTGGAATAAATGAGTGTATTTCACAATGGAGGGATGTACAAAATAGCAATTGGGATAGTTCGTACTATTTAATTCATAAATGTTCTGAATTTAGGGGGGAGCACTGAAGTGGCAAACTTCATCCAATTATTTGGAATTATGAGAACCCAAGAAAACAGAAGAGCTCCAAAAGGATCTCTCCAAACTGAGTGAGCAGGTGAGGTTCAATGTAAGTCAGTGCAAAGCAATGCACAATAAAATCACTTCACTGGGATGTAGCATTTAACTGACCAAATACTGTCAAATGATGGGTTTTCTATTCTTGTACTGAATAAATGGTGAAATGGCTCTCAAAAGCCTCTCTTCGTCCCATGTTTTTGATGGCATCAATATAGTTGAGAGCACTGATTTTATTTTTAAAATATTTAAAAAATGGGAGGTATCCAATTAACATATAATAAGTTAATAACAATAATTTATTATTTATACTCCGTCCATCTGGCTGGGTTTCCCCAGACATTAAAACATCAGTCATTAAAAACTTCCCTAAACAGGGCATGCCCTGTCAATACAAGGATTTCTGCTGATGCAATAGGAATTTCCCCTGCTCCTTCCATGCACTCCCCAAATCTGCTCTGGAGGGTGGGGGAACCTCTAGAACATATTTTAGGGGGTGCACAGGGAGAGGAGATGGGGGATGTCGCGTTGTGCAAGTGGGAATCCTTGTGCTGTCAGGGCATGTTACTTTGCATGCAACCCCATATGCTTTAATCATCAAATGGTGTGATACCTGGGCAGCTATCAAAGTCAAATCAGGGTATTGTTGTCAAACAATTCAGATTTTAAAATGTTTCCGTAACTCATGGCAGCAGGAGAAGGTAAAGAGAGAAAACATCTTAATACAGGGAGATTAGCTTCTAAATTTCTGGTCCAAGGTGTCAAGATTACTCTGCTGAATTTTATCTCTTAGGCAGGGTTTAATATTTTCGTGTCACTGTGTCACAGGGACGCGGGTGGCGTTGTGGGTTAAACCACAGAGCCTAGGGCTTGCCAATCAGAAGGTCGGCGGTTCAAATCCCCGTGACAGGGTTAGCTCCCATTGCTCGGTCCTTGCTCCTGCCAACCTAGCAGTTCGAAAGCACCTCAAAGTGCAAGTAGATAAATAGGTACCACTCCGGCAGGAAGGTAAACGGTACTTCCGTGCACTGCTCTGGTTTCATCAGAAGCGGCTTAGTCATGCTGGCCACATGACCTGGAAGCTGTCTGCAGACAAACGCCAGCTCCCTCGGCCTATAGAGCGAGATGAGCGCCGCAACCCCAGAGTCGTCTGTGACTGGACCTAATGGTCGGGGTCCCTTTACCTTACTGTGTGTCACAGTCAGGAGATGTGATGAGGCAGGGCTTCCCTGACCATTGGTCATGAGAGTTGAGACTCCAACAACACCTGAAGATTCCCAAACCCTGGTGGAGGTAAACCAGTAAGGAGCTCTTCCAGCTGATGGTGAGCAGCTTGGTTTGCTCAAATAATAGAAACCTGCCTTTCTCGTACTGGATAAATGAGATGTCTCCCAAAAACCTCTCAAAGAAATCTTACTCCCATGTTTTTGATGGCATCAATATAGTTGAGAGCACTGATTTTTAAATAGCTTGCCACACTGTCTGAGTTGGGCTGCGGTTCTAATAAATGGGATTCCAGTTTCTGCCTCTGCCTGTGAATGAATGTATTTTGAGAATTACACCCCTGGCAATGGAAACTTTTCTTACAGTAAGCTCTCCTGACTTCCAGTATTTTATTGGCAGTTGTGAGTCAGCGTGATCCATTGCTCCTGAACTAGAAGCAAAACATGAAAGCTGCCTTAGGATATATATGGATAAACAAGAATAAAATCCAATTATTTCTCTTGCTTCTCACCAGCTGTGCAGGCAAACAAAGCTCATCTTTACTTTAGCGTTCTGTGAATTCTAACCAAATTGTAAAAGGGCATTATTTTTTCAAAGCTTCGCTGATAGGAATTAAATTTTGATTTCAGATGCTTTGTCCCTTACTGATTGGAGTGGTAATATTATACATTTCCTACCTCAAGCAGCGAGACAGTTGTCTAACAGAGCAAAAATTGAAACAAGGGTTGTAAACTAAGCCAAACTAAGCATTCGTGAGTCTTGTTGGTTTTAATGGGAGGACTGAATGTGTGGTAAGCTCTTTTTCCCCCTTCCGTTGAAATCAATGAGCTGAACTTTGGCTAGTTCTATCCAATGCTCTAGATCAAAATATTCAATGCTTACATATATTAATGTATAGAACTGGATTTTAGTGATCTCTTCAATCATAGTGGCACTGTGTTCTAAACCACCAAGCCCCTTGGGCTTGCTGTCGTAAGGTTGGCAGTTTGACTCTTTGCGGCGGGGGGAGCTCCCATTGCTTTGTCCCAGCTCCTGCCAACCTAGTAATTCAAAGGCCTGCCAGTGTAAGTAGATAAATAGGTACCACTGTAGCAGGAAGGTAAACAGTGTTTCTGTTGCACCAGAAGCGGTTTAGTCATGCTGGCCACATGATCTGGAAAAGCTGTCTGGACAAACAGCAAATTCCTCGGCCTGAAAGTGGAGATGAGCACTGCACTCCATAGTAGAATTTGACTGGACTTAACCATCCAGTGGTCTTTTACCTTACCTGTCTATTTCTACAAAACCATGTTTTC